CCAATCAAATTGGACACTCCTGGCCTCTTCTTCAGCCAACCCTAGCTCACGGTACAGATATGTGTTGTTGAATCGGGTCAATTTTTTTCATTTATGTTTTACCAAATACTTTGTGTCCATTCGAATCATCAATCTCTAATTTGAATTCTCAAACGTTTTCCAATCAAATTGGACACTCCTAGCCTCTTTTTCAGCCAACCCTAGCTCACGATACAGACATGTGTTGTTGAATCGGTTTTAGTTTCTTTCATTCGTGTTTTAGCAAATACTTTGTGTCCATTCGAATCATCAATCTCTAATTTGAATTCTCAAACATTTTCCAATCAAATTGGACACTCCTAGCCGATGCGACAGTCAACCCTAGCTCACGGTTTAAACTGATATTTTTGAATCAATTCAGATTTTTTGATTTATGTTGTTTCAGATGTTTTGTGTCCCTTCGAAGCCTCAGTCTCAATTCTCATACTTTTTTCAATCAAATTGGACATTCCTAGCCTTTTCTACAGTCAACCCTAGCTCACGGTACAGACATGTGTTTTTGAATCGGTTCAGTTTTTTTCATTCATGTTTTAGTAAATATTTTGTGTCCATTCGAATCATCAATCTCTAATTTGAATTCTCAAACATTTTCTAATCAAATTGGACAGTCCTAGCCGATGCCACAGTCAACCCTAGATCACGGTTTAGACTGATATTTTTGAATCGATGTAGATTTTTTGGTTTATGTTGTTGCAGATGTTTTGTGTCCCTTCGAAGCCTCAATCTCTAATTTGAATTCTCATACTTTTTCCAATCAGATTAGACATTCCTGGCCTTTTCTTCAGCCAACCATCGCTCACGATACTGACATGTATTGTTACATCAGTTCAGTTTTTTTCATTCATGTTTTAGTAGATCTTTTGCGTCCATTCGAATCCTCAATCTCTAATTTGAATTCTAAAACATTTTTCAATCAAATTGGACACACCTAGCCGATGCCGCACTCAACCCTAGCTCACGGTTTATACTGATATTTTTGAATCGATTCAGATTTTTTGATTTACGTTGTTTAAGATGTTTTCTGTCCCTTCAAAGCCTTAATCTCTAATTTGAATTCTCATACTTTTTTCAATCAATTGGACACTCCTAGCCTTTTCTACAACCAACCCAAGCTCACGGTACAGACGTGTTTTTGAATCGGTTCAGTTTTTTTCATTCAAGTTTAAGTAATATTTTGTGTCCATTCGAATCATCAATCTCTAATTTGAATTCTCAAACATTTTCTAGTCAAATTGGACACTCCTAGCCGATGCCACAGTCAACCCTAGCTCACGGTTTAGACTGATATTTTTGAATCGATTCAGATTTTTGATTTACGTTGTTTGAGATGTTTTTTGTCCCTTCAAAGCCTTAGTCTCTAATTTGAATTCTCATACTTTTTTCAATCAAATTGGATACTCCTAGCCTTTTCTACAGTCAACCCTAGCTCACGGTACAGACATGTGTTTTTAAATCGGTTCAGTTTTTTTCATTCAAGTTTTAGTAAATAGTTTGTGTCCATTCGAATCATCAATATCTAATTTGAATTCTCAAACATTTTCTAATCAAATTGGACACTCCTAGCCGATGCCACAGTCACCCTAGCTCACGGTTTAGACTGATATGTTTGAATCGATTTAGATTTTTTGGTTTATGTTGTTGCAGAAGTTTTGTGTCCCTTCGAAGCCTTAATCTCTAATTTGAATTCTCATACTTTTTCCAATCAGATTAGACACTCCTAGCCTTTTCTTTAGCCAACCCTCGCTCACGATACTGACATGTATTGTTGAATCAGTTCAGTTTTTTTCATTCATGTTTTAGTAGATCTTTTGGGTCCATTCGAATCCTCAATCTCTAATGTGAATTCTCAAACGTTTTCCAATCAAATTGGACACTCCTAGCCGATGCCACAGTCAACCTTAGCTCACGGTTTAGACTGATATTTTTGAATCAATTCAGATTTTTTGATTTATGTTGTTTCAGATGTTTTGTGTCCCTTCGAAACCTCAATCTCTAATTTGAATTCTCATACTTTTTCCAATCAGATTAGACACTCCTAGCCTTTTCTTCAGCCAACCCTAGCTCACGATACAGACATTTGTTGTTGAATCGGTTCAGTTTCTTTCATTCATGTTTTAGCAAATATTTTGTATCCATTAGAATCATCAATCTCTAATTTGAATTCTCAAATGTTTGCCAATCAAATTGGACACTCCTAGCCGATGCCACACTCACCTTATCTCACGGTTTAGACTGATATTTTTGAATCAATTCAGATTTTTTGATTTATGTTGTTTCAGATGTTTTGTGTCCCTTCGAAACCTCAATCTCTAACTTTAATTCTCACACTTTTTTCAATCAATTTGGGACACTCCTAGCCTTTCTTCAGCCAACCCTAGCTCACGGTACAGACATGTGTTTTTGAATCGGTTCAGTTTTTTTCATTCAAGTTTTAGTAAATATTTTGTGTCCATTCGAATCATCAATCTCAAATTTGAATTCTCAAACATTTTCTAATCAAATTGGACAGTCCTAGCTGATGCCACAGTCAACCCTAGATCACGGTTTAGACTGATATTTTTGAATCGATTCAGATTTTTTGGTTCATGTTGTTGCAGATGTTTTGTGTTCCTTCGAAGCCTCAATCTCTAATTTGAATTCTCATACTTTTTCCTATCAGATTAGACACTCCTAGCCTTTTCTTTAGCCAACCCTCGCTAACGATACTGGCATGTATTGTTGAATCAGTTCAGTTTTTTTCATTCATGTTTTGGTAGATCTTTTGTGTCCATTCGAATCCTCAATCTCTAATTTGAATTCTCAAACGTTTCCAATCAAATTGGACACTCCTGGCCCATGCCACAGTTAACCCTAGCTCACGATTTAGACTGATATTTTTGAATCGATTCAGATTTTTTGATTTACGTTGTTTCAGATGTTTTCTATCCCTTCAAAGCCTTAATCTCTAATTTGAATTCTCATACTTTTTTCAATCAAATTGGACATTCCTAGCCTTTTCTTCAGCCAACCCTAGCTCACGGTACAGACATGTGTTGTTGAATCAGTTAGTTTTTTTCATTTTTGTTTTGGCAATACTTTGTGTCCATTCTAATCATCAATCTCTAATTTGATTCTCAAACATTTTCTAATCAAATTGGACACTCCTAGCCGATGCCACAGTCAACCCTATATCACGGTTGTTGAGGCCCAAATTTTTTTTTTTTTTTTTTTTTTTTTTTTTTTTTTTTTTTTTTTTTTTTTTTTTTTTTTTTTTTTTTTTTTTTTTTTTTTTTTTTTTTTTTTTTTTTTTTTTTTTTTTTTTTTTTTTTTTTTTTTTTTTTTTTTTTTTTTTTTTTTTTTTTTTTTTTTTTTTTTTTTTTTTTTTTTTTTTTTTTTTTTTTTTTTTTTTTTTTTTTTTTTTTTTTTTTTTTTTTTTTTTTTTTTTTTTTTTTTTTTTTTTTTTTTTTTTTTTTTTTTTTTTTTTTTTTTTTTTTTTTTTTTTTTTTTTTTTTTTTTTTTTTTTTTTTTTTTTTTTTTTTTTTTTTTTTTTTTTTTTTTTTTTTTTTTTTTTTTTTTTTTTTTTTTTTTTTTTTTTTTTTTGGGGTTCTTTTTGAAAATTCTACAAGTAAGTATCTTCAAGTGTTACATATCTCTAGGAAGTTTTCCCTTAGGAAGATCGTACGGTAGTGTTGCGACAAATAAATGTAAACCAGAGATGAGAGGACTGCCAACCTTTTGCTTTCCAGCCAATCTTCATGATTCACTTTATATGTGTTGTTGCATAAGGAACGGTGTTGTGTCAAACTTTCAACTGGGCACTTACCATCCTCGCCAAAACAAAACTGAGCAGGGCACTCATTGGCGCTGTGTGTTTTTGTAAGCCCTGAAATTCTCTTCGCAGAGAGAAAACGTACATCATCAGCGTAATCAACAGAGGATAATATTAGATTAAAGAGCAAGAGTACTGGAGAAATTCCAAGAACGGATCTCCGTGTAGAAAGGTGCTACTTGCTGAAGCTGCAAAATGCAAAACATCATTGATTAACTGCATATCAGATGTTAATATAAATAATGTGGCATGCAAAGCAAGGCAAAAAGTAAATTAAATCAACAAAAGACAAGGTCCTGATGCCGCTGACAAAAAAATTAGCTTATTTGTTTTGGGTTGTCAAATGGGCGCAGCATTCCTAAGTTATTACATACATTTGGTCTTTACAGAATCAAAGTCAGTATAAAATTCCATTACTGATTCGGGTCACATTCAATCACATTAATCCCCCAGTTTAACTATTTATCCAATATGGATCCCAAAATACGTATTTATTTAAAAAGCAAACATACAATACATGTACATATAATATTCATGTTCAATACACGTGTTTTTAAAAAAAAAATCAATAAACACAAAATTTTCACATATTATTGAATATAAATAATTAAAAAATAAAATATTATATAGTGGCCGAACTTTTCAGTTGTAACTTGCTAAAATATTTCCAAATAAATCACATACATATTTTTCCCATTCCGTATTTTACTAACTATGAAAGAATGTGAGAGGGTAAGGTTATTTCTTGTTTCAACAAAAATGCAAGATGGTGAACTTTCGAAATCTCTTTGCCAACGAGAACAACAATTTCAAACAAAGATGTATGAGTATAGTAGTAAGTGGTGGTAGTATTCTTTATTTATTTATTTATAAACAAAACAAGAGATTAGGCGAGATTAGCTTTCAGTATCGGTCATCGAATGCACAAACATCCACAACTCTCAAAGAAGATACCAACACATTCCGGGGGGCCCTGGCCCATCCCCTTGATCATAATTTTATTAATATAAGCGAAACATATAAAGAAAACAAGAACAGCATGGGGACTAAACTGCAGAAAAGAAAGACAATGACATAAAGTCACAGCAACATGCGGACCTAAGAAACCAAAACTCTGAAAGAGTAAACAAGAAGAGACTAGGTAAAGTGGTAACTAGGCATGCCCAGCTAGTCTCGATGACGAAGACAAAATAAATGAAGGTGCAGTGTCCCACCATGTGAAACCAAAGCCCTGAATACTGTGATTTGCCAAAGCATCAACTCCATGATTACCCTCACGAAATAATTGAGAAATCTTAAACAACATGCGGTGGAGACGATGCAAGCAATTCTGCCAATCAACCTGCAGGTGCCAAGGGACCAAATGAGGAGAGCAAAAGAATTGAGTAACTAATAACGAATTAGTTTCAATCCAAACCTTATGCCACGCATGAAGCCAAGCAAGCTTAATGGCGTTGATGACATCTAAAACTTCAACATGTACCGCACTAGGGACATCTAGCAAAATGCCCCAAGTACACAACCATGATTTTTTTTTTTGGTCAATCAAAGTTCATTAAGACCCCAAAAAATGGGAGGAAAACAAACAGAGAATACAAGGCAGAAAAAGCCAAATGCAGAAACAAAGTACCACAAGCACAGGGAAGATTAAACTAAGAACCAGTACAGTCTAGTATAACAAATCTTCCCCACACAAAATCAAAGCAAAATATAAAACCGAGCCACCGTCGCTGCAAAGGTACTAGAGACCGCACCAACCGCACCGACAAGGCCACAAAGGAGGGGATTCACATCCTCCACACAAGTCAGCATAGCTGCACATAGAGACCCACAGATCTTACGCCAAGAACAAAATTTCCCCAAAAACCAGAAGCACATCAACACAAGAACATTCCTCCAAAAGTCACTTTCTGCTTCACACCCGAGTCCGCTTGTACACCAAGAAGAAAACAGCAACCAATCACAACACCAGCATGGTATATACCAAAGGATCAAAATCAAGGGAGTGGAGAGTATTGGTGCAAGCACCAGAGCTAGAACCGTAGCAAGAGCTCTATATACAATCCGATTAAGAAGCGACAAAGCGCTTAGAGAAGTAGTTGATATATCCCAATGGAGAAAGCAAGGGTAGGAGGGGATGTTGTGGGAGAAGTAAATCTAGTTGAAGGGAGTGTTTGGCGAAGAAAAGAGGACACAAAATCGGCTTGAGACATATAATCTCAGCCCAGAGCACGAGGCTTAAGCAGTCACTAGGAGAAGCAAACAACTCTCAAAGACAGCCACCAATTCTCAGAGGAAGCTACCAACTCTCAGAGACAGCCACCAACACAGCCAAACAGGCTTGAACACAAAATAAGACCAGGCCCACAAAAGAATCCAAGGCAGGTGAAGTTGAGAACTAGCAGAAACGAAGGAGAAAAGGGGGGGGGGGGGGGGGGGGGGGGGAGGGAGAGTGACAGACCTCCTCCCCCAATGGAGTCGTGCGGTGCTGAGAGGAAAAAGGGGGGTGTTAGGTTTTGAGAGAAAAGGCGGTGCACAATGAATAATAGTACACAACCATGATAATCTCAAAACACACCACCACTACCTGCTTTACCAAAGTCACTTTTGCGAGTGCCATCAGTATTAATTTTGACCCAACCAAAGCAAGGGGAATGCCACGTAAACTCAATAATTTTAGGATTGGGGTTGGGTCTACAGTGCACCCCAAAGGAACAAATAGTACAGTACAAGTCACGCACCTAACTATGACCCTTGGCCAAAGTACTAGAGGCACACACATGATTTGGATTGATGAGATGAAGATGAATCCCATGCATGTTGTTACCTTGATACGCGTCCTTATCACTTTCAATACTAATGCACGATCATCATCATTTCTTTTCCCCCATCATCACCATGATGGTAAAAAGCAGGAGACGTTTGTTTGCTGCTGCTGCCCTTTCTCTCCAGCACGTAGATGGGTCTCGCACCAAACTGGGTCAAATTCCAGAAAGCGACATAGTCACCATGCCCCATGGAGGTGAAACCAAGGAGGTGGGGGGGGGGGAAGAGAGAGAGAGAGAGATGGTAACTTGATATGGGTTGGAGAGAGTCAGATCTAATGGAGGTGGGGCGGAGCTGTGGGGAGGGTGGGTTGGAGGTCAGGCTGGAAGGCAGGGGAAATGGGAGAAGTTGAGTTTTTTTTTTTTTTTTAATTGTTTTTTCATTTATTTTATTAATTTTATTTCTTATGTGGAGTCCACGTTAGTTAAAAAAATGGGTCCCACAAATGCCACGTAGGCAGATAACGGATTTTCTGTCGATCTCGCTAACGGAGTGGGCAAATTGTAGGTTTTCCGCGACGTTGAGTATGTACTCGTAAATATCCCCAAAATCGGGTATACAATCGTAAATGATCCTATAGGTTGGGAGGTTGACTATAGTTTACCCAAAATAAAATTCAGAGAAATTAAAAAAAAAAAAAAAAAAAAAAAACCCTGAAACCACTTGCTTCATCGACCAAAACCCTCCTTCCCCCCCAACCCACAGCCATTGTCTGCCATGACTTCTTCGTCACTCTTTCACAATCATTCCACTTTCACAGTAAATAGAAAATTTTGATTCGGCTATTGGTACATGTTAATGACTATGCAACCAAGATTGGATTCCTATTCACCTACCTTATTTGCTTTTCTTGTCAAAGATCTCAATGGCCATAGACCTTGTGGGACTTTGGAAACTTATCAGATTCCTCAAAACCTTAGACTTCCTGACCTTCCTATGAAATTAAATGATTCCTTAAAGACCATAAACCCACCCTAAAAAAAAGCTAGGACGATGGCAGAAGGTGGGGAGGAGGGCCTTTGGCGGTGATCTTAGGGAAGTGGTTGCTGGGGATTTTTATTAAGGCTAACAACAAAAGACCTCCTAAAGATTTGAGGCCGTTCTCAATATGGGCCCCGATGTATCAATTTCATCAAGTGACACCCTAACATTTTCAAAATTGTCCAATTTTATCTGTCTGTTAAGTTGACCGTATGGTCAATCGTTAACTGCCGACGTGGCACCCGTGAGACCCACCCCACAAGCGGACTAATCATTCCACATAGATCATCTGAAGGGTATTTTGGAGATAGATTGTCTCCGCATTCATATTTTTCTTGCAGGACGAGATCAACTCTAAATCCAGTTGTCACTTTGAATTATGACAATTTGAGGATTGGAATTGGAACATCCTTTTGTGAGCGAGATAGTTTAATATCACAATGGAACTGTATGAGATTTGATTTGGGTTTGTGTTTAGGAATTTGGTAAGGGGATTTCATTTGAGGATTTAGGTTTGTGTTTGAATTTGAGGATATGATCTTAGGGTTTAGAGTCGACCTAGGATCGGCTGCTCTGATACCATGCTAAGAATTGTATGGTTTGAATATTTGGATGATTGTCTTCTTATCATATATAGTGTTTTACATGTGTGCTTTACAAAGAAATAAATAGGAAATATCTCCTAGTTATATAGGGATATGTCAACTGCACTTAAAGGTTTCTTATACACACTACTAAGAAACCCTAGCCATTCTTTCCCTCAGTGAGTCCTAAAGGAAAACTCCATATAGGGGAGGAAGAGGAAGAAGCATCACTGCCCCTCCTCTCCCTCCTCTCTTCTCGTCTTTTCCTTTTAGGTTAGTGAATAAGCCCACTGGGGCATTTTGAAAAAAAACCATCTTATGGTGGTTTCTTTTGAGCCACGGTTAGATTGAAGTTCCCCATCACCCTTTTAGTCTATATTCTCAATCAAATCCTGCTCCCAAAACCCCTTCCCTGACGTTGCTCATGTTCTCTAAATTTGATTATACATCGTATTTGACGGAGGTTTCTACAAATCACCAAATTGTTCTTTGGCAAAGTTGTTGTTTTTGTTTATTTGTTCGCTCTTATGCGCATGTAGATCGTTGGAAATCATATTTTCCCCATATATGTTATGAATGCGGTGGTGGGTGTGCCCACGACGACGCTTCATCAGGTGGTGGTGGTAAGGTTCATCTAGGCTCATGGGTTGTTTTAGGATTTTGGTTATGTTGGGTTTGTGAGCTTTGTTTAAGCTTATGGTTAATTGTGGTGATGTGGTCTAATAGTTTTAGTGCGGTTTTTGTCGGCATTAGTTGTGTTTTTAGCATGTTAGTTTGTTGCCCTCTTAGGATTGGTATTTTAGATGTCTTGTTGATGTCTTTGATTGTACCGTTGAAGTTAATCTATTGAAGTTTCTATTCAATCAAAATAAATAAATAAATCACCTAATTAACTTAGGAAATAAATCTCGTCAACATAATACAGTGGTGATATGAGGGATCACGAGCTTCTACATTTAGCATTCATGCATTTATACACATTGAAAAGAATCTTAACCATTTAATTAAGAATGCTGCTATTTCCACCCACTTGTCTTATTTTTCCACCCACCTTATCTTTAAACTTTTAAAGACAAATTTAACCCTATTGTAAAATGACTTAAAAGGACTTAAGGAAAAAAGAAAAGAGAAAAAAAAAAAAAAAAAAAAACAAATCAGTTCTCAAGTAAACCCTGTCGTTTGACAGAGAGAAAAAAACACAAGAATACGACTCTTTGCTCATGAGAAGGTGAAGAAGGTGAGTACTGTTGTTTTTCCCTTATCTGTTTGGCTTTATACTCTTTGACATTCCCATGTCTTAAGAATGGGCGTTTTATATTTTTTTTATTGCAAAATTCAATAGATTTTTGGTCCTTGGATAACTCTAGAGAAAAAGTTTATTTACAATAGTAGAAAGCTAAGAGCATAAATGTGATTATATTCACATAATCCATATTTGCAAAAATAAAAATAAAAATTACAGCAAAAAAACTGTTTTAGTTTAGTAAACATGAGAGACAGAGATGGAGTGTGAGAGATGGAAAATAAGATAGAGCGAAAATGAGAGAGAGAGAGATGTGTGGGCCTTCAGCGAGAGAGAAGACATGAGCAAAGAGAATAAAGGAGAGAGGAAATGAGGTAATAATTAAAAGGGTATTTTAGGAATATTGGTGGGTGTAAAAATTGTGTTTTTTAAAATTTATATGGTGGGTGGCAAGATAAGGTGGGTGGGAAAATAAGACAGGTGGGTGGAAATAGCAGCACTCTTTAATTAATCTAATATGGAGATTAAGTATTACACCTCATTCTAGTTATATGTTAGTAAAAACTCACTTGTTACACCGAATCACTTACTTTTCTCTCCTACAGTCTTTCTTTCTCATTCACTCTTATAATTATATCATTTTCATTACTATCCAAACGCATAAATTGATCCCTTCATTAATATATATATATATATATATATGTGGGCGGATCCGTGGCACCATATTTTTGACACAAGTTTTGACACAGTTTTTGGATCATTAGATTACTCCACTTTTAATGGTTGAGATTAAACCTGACATGGCAAAACAATATTTTTTTCTTTAATTAATATTTATACATTGGGATTAAAATTTTGATACCATATTCATTAAGAATTCATTCTCTCTCATCTCATTAATTATCTTTAATTTATTCATTATCTCCCTTCTTAAGAGAATTGACATCCTCCTCCACCTCTTCTTCTTCTTCTCTCTCTCTCTCTCTCTCTCTCTCTCTCTCTCTCTCTCTCTCTCTCTCTCTCTCTCTCTCTCTCGTCCCATTCTCATCCCCAAAGCCACCCTCACCACCACCACCACCACTCTAACCCCTACCCTACCTAAACCAAAAATCACAGGGACTCTCTCTCTCTCTCTCTCTCTCTCTCTCTCTCTCTCTCTCTCTCCAGTAATGCCATCGCTTCTGAACAAGGAAAGAGGGATTGAAGATTGTCGATCTTGGACTCGATCGTGCCTTCACTATACCTCTTAAGAGTTACACGCACGAGATTGGTTTAGCTGAGTTTGTCTTTCTCAATTCCGTTATGAACTTTGTAGCCTAGTAAAACAAATATTATAAATAAAAAGTGCAAAACGATTTGGTTTTCTCAATTCCTTTATGACTCAGTTTGGCTTCATGTTAGACTTCTGGCTAGGTTGCCCATTGCACTATAAATTTTACTTTTACTTTTTAATTCTTTCAAATGTTGTCCCTTAAAATAATTATGCATGGATTTTATAATATTGGGAGGGATAGTTTGCATACATGGTAATATCAGCACGACTACAACATATAATTGAAAACCTCCAACAGTCGATGCATATATACTTGTACCAAAATCTCTTAAGCAACTGTCTACCAAGCACAACCTCCTATTGTCCAGGATTGATCCGGCGAGTGGATGCTTAATTATCATGTTCTCAAAACTTTCTAGGAACTAATATGCTAGATGAATTGTACCTATATGGTGGGGGGAGAGAGAGAGAGAGAGAGAGAGAGAGAGAGAGAGAGAGAGAGAGATTAGATTACCAAGAAAAAAAAAGGATATTACCAAGAAGAGATATTACATTTCCAAGAAAAAAGGGAGGAGAGAGAAAATAATTTTATTTTAATTTTATGAGAGAGAAAATAATTTTATTTTAATTTTATGAGAGAGAAAATAATTTAATGATTGTCTATTTAAAACATTAAAACTATTTCTCATGTTAGATTTAATCTCAACCATTAAAAGTTGAGTAATCTAATGGCCCAAAAATTGTGTCAAAACTTGTGTCAAAAATATGGTGCTACGGATCCATAGATATATAAGGGAGCAAAAATCATCAAATAGATCAAACAAAATGTCAATGAAACTTGAATTTTTTCGGATAGGCTTAACCCTGTTTGGACTTAATGCAGATTGCAGATTAGGGTTGGTTGGTTCTCACAAATGGGGATGGTCTAGTGTTTGCGTTGTGTTATCCACATGGCAAAGTGATTTCTCTTCTTCTGTCATATTGAAGTTGCCTTGCCTGGATACACGTGAGAGAGTTACACGCACGAGATTGGTTTAGCTGAGTTTGCCTTTCTCAATTCCGTTATGAACTTTGTAGCCTAATAAAACAAATATTATAAATAAAAAAGTGCAAAACGATCTGGTTTTCTCAATTCCTTTATGACTCAGTTTGGCTTTATGTCAGACTTCTAGCTAGGTTGCCCATTGCACTGTAAATTTTACTTTTACTTTTTAATTCTTTCAAATGTTGTCCCTTAAAATAATTATGCATGGGTTTTATAATATTGGGAGGGATAGTTTGCATACATGGTAATATCAGCACGACTACAACATATAATTGAAAACCTCCAACAGTCGATGCATAAATACTTGTACCAAAATCTCTTAAGCAGCTGTCTACCAAGCACAACCTCCCATTGTCCAGGATTGATCCGGTGAGTGGATGCTCAATTATCATGTTCTCAAAACTTTCTAGGAACTAATATGCTAGATGAATTGTACCTATATGGTGAGAGAGAGAGAGAGAGAGAGTAGATAAAAAAAAAGGATATTACCGAGAAGAGATATAATGTTTCCAAGAAAAAAAAGGAGGAGAGAGAAAATAATTTTATTTTAATTTTATGAGAGAGAAAAAAATTAATGATTGTTTATTTAAAACATTAAAACTATTTCTCATGTTAGATTTAATCTCAACCATTAAAAGTGGAGTAATCTAATGTCCCAAAAATTGTGTCAACACTTGTGTAAAAAATATGGTGTCATGGATCCGCTCCCTATATATATATATATGTTATGAACCATGTATTTTTTGGTCGAACCACAATTAGACTAATTGCATATCGACCAACAAACCATACAACCATGGAGATCTTTTTCAAATTCTCAAGAGGGGGGAAAGACACATGCTTCTCTCCTGCACATCCTTTTCTCCTTGACTTGCAGGACCTTGAAAATTTTGGTAAATTACTCAAATGGTCTTCAAATTTGTACCCGATTTACATTTTGGTCCATAAACTAAATTATTCGTTCAAATGGTCCACCAACTCTTTATTAATCGGCGATTTGGTCCTACCGTTACATTTTCTGTTAAATTTAGTTATGTGAGCAGCACATGCTACATTTATGGGGGTAAATAAGACTTTTGACCTATGTATCACCCTTTTATCACCACTGTACCACCTATGTATCACCACTTTATCACCATTTTATCACCTATGTATCACCACTTTATCACCATTTTATCACCTATATATCACCACTTTATTACCATTTTATCACCTATGTATCACCACTTTATCACCTATGTATCATCACTTTATCACCATTTTATCACTTATTTGGGGAACATAAGACGGTTTTACCCTTACATTTGGTAGCAACATTAACATAATATAACGGTAGGATCAATGGAGTAATTAATATAGAGTTGATGGACTATTTGAACGAATAATTTTATTGAGAGACCAAAATGTAAATCGGGTATAAATTTGAGGACCATTTGAGTAATTTACCCTTGAAAATAAATACAAAGAAAAGCTCAAAGCTTTGCTTGCTATTAAAATATTGAAAATTATTTAACCACAATAAATTTTTAGGCTTGATATAAAGTAATTAACATTTTGGGCTCATTTCTCTAAGAAAAAAAAACGGTTTTTGGCTCATGTATTATCAATATCATCATTACTATTTACCAAAATAAATATTGATTATTTATTGCCGTTTTGGTGCCACTTTGTTCTTTGATAGTGCAAATTGTGAGTTTAAATATAATTCAACTATTTTGAGGTGGAATAATTAATTTTCATTGGATTAATTAAATAGTTAAGATTTTTTTAAATGCGTGAATGCTAAATATAGAGGCTCGGGATCTGTGAAATGGATTCAGAGTGATTTTTTGCATAGATGATTTGAAGGAATACCTAGTATATAATCATTATTTCCATCCTTTTCTTTTTTTTAGGAAATATGTCTTTCTAACTATTATAACCAATATTATATACTTTCTTTTGAAAGGAACAATGACAATACATTGTCCCGTTAACTACACAAAAGATCATATAGCTTTTTCAAGAAAAAAAATAATTTAAATTTAATATCTTATACATATATACATACATACATATATATATATATATATATATATAACACCATGCGAGGCCCTAAACATCATCTAAGAATTTTTACAGATCACCATCCCAAGATTCAAGCATCATAATTAACTTTTTCTGTTTCAAATCCATTCAAGCTAGTGGAAGCAATTCCAGAGCTACCAGAAGATATAGTCTAGCTATGATTCCAAGCTTTTCCATTTCCAACTCTATTTCTCTCTCTCTTTTGCTAAACTTATGGACTCTTAGCTCCCACGCCACAAGCTTCTTATGCCAAGCCTAGTTGTATCTTGATTCACCAACGCAAGCTCTCATGCCAAGCCTATACAACATCAATGCACCATTTCCAACTCTTTTTAGAGCTGTCGGAAGCCCATCCAAACAAGTAGCAGTTGTTGGAACACATGTTCCGCTATGTTTCAAGCAAAGCCCTTTCAGCACCTGCTCAACTCTATCGTCGAGCAATGTCCTTACAGCAGCTGCTATATCCTTCTCATCAAAACTTGCAATATATTGAGGAGCCATTGAAGAAGACCAAAGCACTCCTTAAGGCTTCAACTTTTTTGGGGTGTTTTGGGGCCTGGGGCCACAAACTCAAACATGGGTGAAGGAGAGCTTAGTCTTACAAGCCCATTGCAACTCTCAACAAAAAGACCCTTACAATAATTTTTTTATATGTTTTGTTTATGTTTTTTTCAAAGTAATTTTTTGCATACATGACATATAATTGAGTATAATAACGGGTTCCACTTGTACCACATTAGCATTTTTAATAGATTTTTTGACGGACTTGACGGCGAAGGGTAAAATGAGATGCAAAATATCAGGTAAAGTGGGTCACTTCAACTTTCAGAAAGTAAGGTGAAATTTGACCATAATTTCAGAGGCACTACAGTAAATAAACCTTTATACTATTACTTGTAATTTAAAAAAATACAGTCAGCTAAAGAATAATATTGATGAAACTTGATCACTACCGTTTGTTTACTTATGCTTTAATTTAAAACCTTCGTTTTAACAACTTTATCCTCTACTATTTTCTTTTTGTATATAAATATTTTACCAAATTTTCATTCTCTTTTTTTTTTGTAATTAAATATGTTTTTATTAGAAATAATTTTTAATTAGTTATTATTATTTTATGAATAGAACTCAGGAAAGGGCAAAAAAAGGCACTCGTCGGAGAAAAAATTGGTTAATTGTTGTCAATGGTCAAGGATTGTATTTTCTCCCAGTTGTCAATGGTCAAGGATTGTAGTATTTTGTTAAATACGAGCTAGAACTCCTCCTCCCAAAAATTTTTTGGAGAAAAAGGAAACAAATTGTTTCTATTCTTACACTATTATTTGTCATTATTTTGCCAAGAAATAGAGCGTTATAGTTTTTTTTATTTTTCATTTAAAGTCGACTTTATTTTATTTTATTTTTTTGGTTTTTAGAAAGCTTTCTAAATTCTACTCAGCCAACAAAAACAAAACAAACAAAAAAACAAAAGGAAAAAAAGAAAAAGAAAAAACCGGGGGTCCTATGCGCAGGGATGATTATTAATTAAGGAAGTTTTTTTTGGTCTTATAACACTGCTTTCACTTTGGTCCGTCATACCACCTCGCCTGTAGTTGCAGAGTACTGTTCCCGCAGAGAAACGAAGCAGAAGCAGCAACAACCCACCACCACCACCAGGTGCCTTTTCCTTTCGTGTCTCTGATCAATATCCACAACTTATTTCAATAAGAAAATGTTAGATCTTGGAATTTTGTTGTGATATGTTGGAAGAATGCTGTTAAATTCGACGATCAGGAGAGTGCTGTAGGATATATGTATATGTTTTAATATTTTTATATCGAAGTACATTAATTGTGATTAGCCTTTGAGTTGAATTGAGGTTATGTGTGAGAGAGGAGGCGATTGATCTATGCATGATGCGAACATTTCAATCTGTTGATTTGGTATTTGAATTATGAGTTTCTGAATTTTGGGTATCTTTGTTTTTGTTTTGTGGTTGTAGATTTGGATTGTGGGTTGTTGATTTGATAAATTGAAGATTTTTTGTGAAGAAAAAACGGGATCTTGGTCTTTGATTTCTGTGATCAATGGCAGCTTTTGTGCCTCCCCCAGGGGCACCCAGGCCCAATAACAGTAACACCCCACCACCCCCTAATTACAACCCTAACAATGCTCAGAGAAACCCTGATTCATTAGCAGATAATATGCAGAATTTGAATCTTAATAGGCAGCCTAACGTGCCTAATTCTGCCCCTAGACCATCCCCTTTTGGCCAAGCACCACCTTTCCATTCATCAGCCCCTCCCGCTGGGGCTCCTGGCGCTCCGCCCCCGTTTTCTCGGCCTGGCCCTCCCCCCACTGCACTTGCACGACCTGCAGCACCTCGATCAGGACCCCCGCAACCAGTATTACCCCCTGCCACCGCCCCAGTAAGACCCACTGGGCCGCCTGTTGGCCAGCCTTCATCTTTTGTGTCTAGACCGCCTCCTGGGTCTTTGCCCCCTGTGGGTGGGTTAGCTCCTGCTTATGGGCCACCTCCTAGTCCTTTCCAGACATCAGGTTTACAGAGTGGTCCAGTTTCAACACCGCTACCAGCATCAGGTCCTCGCTCAGGGCCTGGGTCTTTGCCGTTGGGTCAGAGCATGCCCCCTTCGAGTGGACCAGGTAGAATGATGAGTAATGGGCCACCAATGTTTGCTTCCGGGGCTATGCCAGGTGGGCCCCGTTTTCCTCCTCCTGGAAATGCACCTCAACCACCTGTTGGACATCCACCAGCAATGGCAACAACATCAGGTCCTCCTCGAACTCCAACCATGCACTCTATGCTGGGTGGCCCAGCAGTTAGTGCTCCTCAAGGTCCTACTGTTCAGCAGGCGCCACCATTTTCGGCAGCATCTCAAGCCATGCGTCCACCTCCAGGTTCTCCCTATGGCTCACAGCCATGGCCGATGCAACAAGGGCAGGTGAGTGACGTGTATTGTTTTTGAATTATTATGGAGATATCAAATTTCATAGTTAAGTTAATTGATAAAATCCTAATGAATGGCCATATAATTCTAAGGTATATTTCATATAGAAAAAGTAGTATGTATGCTGGCAATTATTTATTTATTATTTGATATAGTGATCGTGGCTTATTCTATGCAAGACCAACTTACTCCAATACAACTTAAATGAAACTAGATAGATCAATTTACGCCATAAGATTAGTTCAAGGGACCGACTAAGATGACACATGATTTAAATTATCTCTTAGTAGCAGACCCAAAGAAAAAGAAGTGAACTTAGTGGCTGATGAGTGTGAGTTTAGTGGCACACACCAGTGTGCACCATTGTGGAGGCTCATGTCTCTTTTCAAGTGAAGAAAATTCTTGCCACTGGTGCTTTTGAGTTTTATTCACACTATAATACAAAATTATCATCACAATCTGTCTAAACTGATACTTGTAGCGTCATTATTAGTTATTTCCTATAATTCTTTATAAAAAACGTTATGATTTCACATATTCAAGCATATCTTGCAACTTATAAACTAGAACACTATGGCTTTCTTCTCTTGTTCGTTTCTTATTCATTTTGAACACTATTTTCAATTTCTTTCTTTCCACCAATGCTTTTTCAAAGAGGAATACAATAGTTGTTCTGATAGGGGGAAACAAGGATGAATACATGGATTCATTTCTTCTTACTTTGATTTGGTTCCTCAAATATACTGAATTGCATTAGGTGGCTCCACCTTCACAATTTCCTGGTTCTGCTCAACCACCTAGAATGTTTGGAATGCCACCCCCGCCACTACCAAATCAGTCCATGACTACCATCTCACCTGCTGTTGGTCAAACTGGAGCACCTTTGGCTGGATCATCAAAGATCGATCCCAATCAAATTCCTCGGCCTGTACCAAGTTCGTCAGTGCTCATTCATGAAACTCGTCAGAGCAATCAGGCAAATCCACCTCCGGTATTTATTCATCCATAAAAACTTGAAGGAAAAAAAAATATTTGATTTCAAATTTTTTTCTTTAGCTGTATTTCCTAGTACTTTATGACTTCTCTAGTCTCTCCCTTTTCAAATTATGTATTTGTACTTCAATTGTCTTTGCACAAATTCCTGCTACAAATTAAATTTAAGACAGGTGAAAGACTGGATATTGTCTATTATTTATTTCCTTCTGATTGTTTTTATTATTTTGAAGCCTGCTACAAGTGATTATATTGTTAGAGACAATGGGAATTGCAGTCCTCGTTACATGAGGTGCACCATCAATCAGGTTGGGATCAAACTTTCATGGGTTGTCTGTCTGTTATATACTTAAAACACTTTTGGATCTCAATTTCAATGCAGCAATTTCATTTAATAAAATAAAATAAAAATGTAATGTTATTGTGTTTTGTCAATTTACCAGATACCATGCACTGCTGATCTTTTGACAACATCAGGGATGCCGTTATCTTTGTTGGTTGAGCCTTTTGCCCTTCCTCATCCATCTGAGGAACCAATCCAAGTACTTCATAATTTCTTTTTTCCTCCATATACAACATTACTTATCATTGTAGATAACTGGTTAAAAAAGTAAACTTTAGTCGTTTCTTCTAACAGCAAGATCATTTGTTGATCAACATGTGATTCATGAGTTCATTTTATTATGAGAAAAAGGAGACTTTATTAGAACACAGTTAAGAAGGTACAATATTATTGTCCAGAATTAGACAAGTAGTCCACCAACAAGACAAAAAGAAAAAGAAATGCTGTAGATATTGAGGACCCACAAAGAAACCCAAAATCGCACTCTTTCTGACAAAAAATTTGCCTCCTCTCCAGCTTTCTTTTGTAAATTCTAGCAGTCCTTTCTATCAAGACACCTTAAAAAAGCTAATACAAAACACTTCCACTCTGCTTTTGCCTTATTTCCGCCACTAAGGGCATGATAACTGTCCATAAATAATGATACACAAGAAACCAAAATCACCAAATTTTAATCAATTAAACAACCAAAAGTTGCATTGAGCCAAAATTTTAGTACTGAACCTTTTTGTTATAGGTTGTGGATTTTGGTGAAAGTGGTCCTGTTCGATGTTCTCGTTGCAAAGGCTACATAAATCCTTTCATGAAGTTCATTGACCAAGGCAGGCGATTCATCTGTAACTTGTGTGGTGAGGGAGATTTCTGTCTGTATTATGTTTATGTAATAGTTTCAGTTTATGTAGCAGGATAAATATGGTGGTCTTGAAACTTCATCAAAGAAGTGTTTACGTTCTTTACTTGTTTTTTATTTTCGTTTTTGGTTTTGTTTTTCTTGTTTGTTTGTAGGTTTTCACTGTTTATTTGGCTTGGAAAAGTTTTTGAACTTTTATCTGTAAAATGAACATGGTTAAAAAACGTTTCAGTTTTTCAAACAATCATTTTAAATGTTCAAAAGAAGGCCGTTTGCCAAAAGTCATACCTTCTTGAGAGTATGTAATTTATCATTCCTGTTTTAGCTCTTGGAATCTTGAAGGTCTCTTCTTTGGACTGTGGATTAAGGTGTACTCTGCACTATGTATATTTATGCAAATGTGGTGATCCTACAATGGATGCCATTCTTCTGCAGGATTTACTGATGAGACTCCCCGTGACTACCACTGCAATCTGGGTCCAGATGGTAGGCGCAGAGATGCTGATGATAGGCCAGAACTATGTAGAGGAACAGTTGAATTTGTTGCTTCAAAAGAATACATGGTTAGTTTATCTGCAATTATAACTGCAGTCAGATTACCATGTTTTGTTATCCAGTATATTTTTTCCTTTTTGTCCTTTTGAGACAAATGAATGCAAATTATCCTTGGCATGTTGGTAACCTGCCAATAATGGTTACCTACATTTGCAGTGCATCCGACAGACTCTTATGTAAGCCTTCTATTACCTTTGGACTTATTGTTAAGTCCAAAAAAGCCTTGCTTCCACCTCTTCTCTCTCTCTCTCTCTCTCTCTCTCTCTCTCTCTGGGTCTAAGAACTCTGGAGATTCTTGCAGGCCCAGTGTCCTATCAAATCATTGTGACATGGAGTAATTTCATGCCCAAATACTGTATTCCATTTTTATTTTGCATGTCTAACTTATCAAGGGAACAGAAGGAATGAATGTAAATCTTTTGAAGATGGAGCAACCATTGCAACACGTTTTTTCATTTCTTTTTTATAGAGTTTTGCATAACATAAGTGTTCTCTATTGACTCGTATTGACTAATTTGAATTGGCCTTTTGAGCCCCAAGTAAAAGGGCTGTTTCCATTGTCTGTTTTTTTCAAAGACTACTGAACAACTGAACTGCTTTTGCGTACTTCACTAGACTTATAATTCTTTTATCTGTTTCTCTTGATCATCTCATTTATGATTCAGCTTTGATAATTCAGGTGCGTGATCCTATGCCAGCTGTGTACTTCTTCCTCATCGATGTATCCATGAATGCCATACAAACTGGTGCAACTGCTGCAGCTTGCAGTGCAATCAATCAAGTTATTGCTGATCTACCTGTGAGTTATCTTGTCTATATGCATAATGTTCCTTTTTACTTTTCTTAAACAGCTTCTGATTGTGCTGTCAATTAGCTAGAGTCATTTGCTTATGTACTGAATTGCATACACATTTTCTTTCTTTATGTTGTATTCCTTATGACCTGAGGCCGTTGGTAACCATATATATGTCTCTGACTATGTATGTTTGTCTTTGTGTGTGTGTGTGTGCATGTATCTATGTATCTTTTTATGTATGCATATTTGCGTGGTTCATTTTCCCAAAACTGTAGTCATTAGTGATGCATTTAAATGAAACAACATTTGACTCGAGTGTTGAATTATTTATTATTGCAGGAAGGTCCTCGGACAATGGTGGGAATTGCGACTTTTGACTCCACAGTCCATTTTTACAATTTGAAACGCGCGCTGCAGCAGGTCAATAGAAATTTTCCTTGCTATTATCGTCTTAAAGTCTATTATATTTGGTTTATAGGTTTGGTTATATAAAGAGTAACTTTTGATGGATTTGGCTTCTACTTTTGGTGAACAATTATTTTGAAAAGGTTTAACACTGATAGTGAGGTCCAACATGTTTGCAGCCTTTGATGCTTATTGTTGCTGATGTACAAGATGTTTACACTCCTTTGGAGACTGATGTAGTTGTTCAACTTTCCGAGGTCAGCAGCTGTTATTTTTTCTCTTTTGTGAAATGTACTGAGTAGTTATTCAATGTTAATGAATAAATTTTTTCCAACAATCATTGAATTTCTATATGCCTCTTATTAAATTTAGATTTTTGTTTTATGGATTTTTAGTGCCGTCAACATTTGGAGCAATTGTTGGACAGTATTCCAAACATGTTTCAAAACAGTAAAATTGCTGAATCGGCCTTTGGTGCAGCAATCAAGGTATGTTGCTTGTTGTATGCTATTTCATTTGGAAATGCAGAACATTAAAATTGCAAATGGATATGAAAACATGCTTCGAGTATATGTGATATGCGTAATATGTTTGATGCTAGGAAGCTCAGTACCAACTACTATTAGTTGGTTGTGCATGCCCTTTTTTTTGGATCTAGTTCCTCTTTGGCTCTTTTGTCCATAGTAGAGCATTATCAGAAGGGAAAACATTTTATGATTTTGGAATTTCATTTTAGTTGAATAACTTGAGGCAAAGAATGTACACGTAACAATTAAAATGATGAGCTGAAAAATCCATATAATTAATCTAATGTCATTCTTTGTTGCGTTTAGTCTAAGAAAATATTCGGAACAATTTATGAAAGGTATAGGTGCTTCCATAAACCAGAAAGCTGACTGTATCACAGTTTTGTTCTTGACAAAATACTGATCAACTTTCTTATATATCCTCCTTCAATCAGCTCGGGTCTGGAGAGATTTATGGAATGGAGTTGTTGTGATATGTGGTATACAGTCTGACTGGTTGGGCCTTCAACTGGACTTACTTCCAGTCTGAACCTTCTTAGTTTATTTCAGTCACAAGGCAGGTTGTATTGTTTGACTAGTGGTCATACCACCACCTGGGGCCCGGACCCATTATTTGAGCTGTTAAACCAGCCATTGGTATTAAATGATAAATCTCGTTTGGGCTGGTCATTGAACACTAGACCTAATGATTGCAAGGCATTAAACAGCCATGCTGCATAGTGCATTTATCTAGCTTTTTCTATTCTAGCTACAACTTTATGAATAAAAAACGTAAACATTTATGCTCCTCTGACATAGTTTTATAGTATCATTAATAGTTTTAATAGTATCATTAATAGTTTTAATAGTTTATAACAGAATTGTATTATATTTTATATAGGCCAATTTCTCAGCAACTTATGAAATTATCACTAGAAGTATGTTTACATGAATATTAAAATAAATAAATCATCAAAGCAGCTAACACTTTGACTGCTGTTGGTTAACCAGTTCAGCCATTGAACCCTATCCTTGGTATTTTTCTAGCCTTTCCCGACATTTGTTTGACAACCAAAATGCGTTTGGAGTGTTTTTATTATGAGGATTTCACTAATAAACCCATTTTAGCATGGCATAATATACAAAAGCCCTTATGGAGCCTATTTGGAGTGAAAAACCCAAAATTAGCCACTTATTATTTTCTAATTGGTTCTTAGTTATTATTTTCTAATTGGTTCTTATAAAATTTTAACACACTAAGAACCAATTAGAAAATGACTAGTGGCAAGTTTTGGGTTTTTCTCTCCAAATAGGCTCTATATGATTTTTGTATAATATGTCTTGCTAAAATGGGATTTTGAATAAATATCTCTTTTACTATGAGGAGCACCGTGTCTAATATCACTGAGAACAATTAATTGACATATTTCTCTGCTCATTTGTTGCTGTTATGGGCTTTGTGGCCTAGCTACAGGAATAATTAATACTCTATGCTTTGCATTTTTGTTTTTCTGGGATAGATTGATTGATTTGTGTAAATTCATAGCTTATATTCAATTTTTATTTTGTTTTCTTCCTTGCGCAGGCTGCTTTCTTGGCAATAAAGAGTACTGGAGGGAAACTTTTGGTGTTTCAGTCAGGCAAGCTCGTACCCGTGTTTCTTTATAAACAAGTTTATATATGATTTCATTCCAAGAATGAACAACTACATGTTCGGGATTGCAGTTGCTTTCTTGTTTGGATACAAAAAAAATGGCTCTGATCTGTTAAGGATCTCAAGAGATGGTGGAATGTTGCATAAACATTACTAGTCATAAGAATTGTTGGAAAATGCATATTTGTTGCATGAAGTTTCAGTCACTAAAATTACCTTTTTCTTATTCCTTAAAGATGAACAAGCTATCTTATTCGGGAAAAAAACCAACCTAGAACATATTGTCAAAGTTTTCCATGGTCCCAGTTATCAAAGAAGTTATTTTCTTCAGTTGTAATTTATGAATTCTCACCATGTCTTTGTTGTTGTGTCTAAATGATCCAATATTCATGCTATCAGTTGAATTAAAGCCAAATGATTTAGTGATGTTGCCTCTTATATCTATTTGTCATGTATGCGTTTTATAGACCAATTTTTGTAACATCTAGTTGAAGATCTGTATGTGTATCCATTTTCACATTTAGCATATTCTTTTTATTTTACAGGATACCTGGTTTCTTGTCATGTATACTAATGATTTATGGTGTTTGCAGTGTTGCCATCAACTGGAATTGGGGCCCTTTCTGCTAGAGAAGCTGAAGGAAGAGCTAACATATCTTCAGCTGAGAAGGTATGAATACCTTTTCTGTGTTTTCATCCTCTGTATGTGTGTTTTAGAGTATATCACATGGTATGGTTTCTCCTTTATTGCAGTTACTATTAAGAAACCAGCGCATTGCATCCTTATTTGAGACTCCAAAAAGAACTTATGGTTATGAAATCCCCAATAGCCATATGACCTGATGACCGATCTTCTACCTCGTTTCGGGAGTCCCCCATAGCCCAATGACCCATCTTGTACCAAAGACCATGCTTGTGTTTTCTTTTATGCCTGAATTACTTCCATAGGGAAATCTGAAAAGCTACTTTATGGTTGTAGGACAGCCCATTCAAAGAGAAGAAAACAATGACAAGATTAAAGGATACAAAAAAATGAAAGGCCTTTTGCATGTGACAAAAAACAGAATGGTCTTTGGCTCTTTTTGTTTAATTTCAGACAAAGAAAACCAAAATTCTTGCTCCATTACTCATTTGGAAAATAAATTTACAAAAACTTAATTAATAATTATGTATCTCAAAAGGAAACAAATTATAAGGAATAAAAAAATATTATTTTGTAATTTATGTTGACATATCAAATTAGGAAGCCCTCGTGTGTAACTTTTGCCTTTGGCCTCACTTTTCTTTGTACCATGTTGCAGCCTATCCTGCTTTTTATTACATATATCCAGTTAATAGGAATTACATACATTTTAAAGATTTCTCCAATTTCTGAACCCTTCAAGAGGATTTGGCGAATTACGTGGCCACGTAGATGGGGTTGGACTGATTATTGCAAAAGAAATTTACATTTCAGGTCTTTGTTGATTTGAATATGCTAAGTGGTGATAATTATCATCCGATCAATTTTACTTTCTGTTGAGCTGTCTGTTCAAATGAATGATCTTGTAATTTTGTTTTCTTTTTTTAATTATATTTCAGGAGGCCCATAAATTACTCCAGCCAGCAGACAAAACTTTAAAAACTATGGCAATTGAGTTTGCTGAATATCAGGTGAATGTTTGACTAATTTCTTCACTTGATAATCTGTTAATATATTGATGTGAGTTATTTGCTGACTGAGACTTTTATTGGTAATTAGAAATTTGTTGTGCGTAATTTGTTTGGAATTATTTTTTTTTAATGAATTGCTCCAGGTTTGTGTCGACTTATTTATCACTACCCAGTCATACATAGACATCGCTTCTATCGCTGTCATCCCAAGAACAACTGGAGGGCAGGTACTACTGAATTTTCTTTTATCACTACCATAAATCTAACATCACAATTTCTACATGTTCTGATCTTGTTAAGGGTTTTGTCTTATAATTTTTCTAGTTTCTTCATATTTTGTTTTTCTTGAACTACACATCCACCTCTAGCATAAATCTGTAAAATCAGATTTGAGAAGCATTTGAGAATTGTAACTAAAGATCATTTACACATAGGGAAGTCTTAACTGCATGTATTTCCTTCTTTTCCTTTGACCTTTTACTTTTGAGGATTTAACTTCAATGCTTTGTTTTTCTCATCTTCCAGGTTTATTATTATTACCCCTTCTCAGCTGTCTCTGATCCTGCAAAGCTCTACAATGATCTTAGATGGAATGTCACAAGGCCCCAAGGTTTTGAGGCGGTGATGCGTGTAAGATGCAGCCAGGTAATTTTATTGAACAACCTCTTTCTCCAGTATTATGATTGCTTGTGTTCTTACAAATCGATTATTCTAGTAAGCTAATTTTGTTTTCATCATTTGTAGGGCATTCAAGTTCAAGAGTACCATGGAAGCTTTTGTAAACGTATTCCTACGGATGTTGACCTACCTGGGGTTCGTACATTTTCTACAAAATCCCTGATTGCAAACACATTATGTCTCTCACTTATCATTTATCTTCCATGGAAGTGAATGCCCCTCAACCCCTGATTATGTTGACTATTGCTCATTTATTTAATTATTGTTTTCTGGTTTTCATTCTCTTTTGCCTCTCTCTCTCTCTCTCTCTCCTTATCCATTTTTCCTTTTCCTTGGAAAGAGTGAGAGTGGCTGTAATACTGTTTGTTGAAATCATGACCAATCCTTTCTATCGTGCAGATTGACTGTGACAAAACTATAATGGTGACCTTAAAACACGATGATAAGTTACAGGATGGCTCAGAATGTGCTTTCCAGGTAAATTCCAATTTTTCTGCTCTCTGTGGCTCTGCCTAGGCTTCCAATGCAGTAATATAATATAATACTTTTTGACCTTTTACTTGTATCTGTTATCATACCACTGAGTTGACATCACCTAGCACTGCAGCTGTATGTCTATTTCATTGTTTAATCATATTTGTGTATCTCAATGTCCAGTGTGCCCTTTTATACACGACTGTGTATGGTCAACGGAGAATTCGAGTTACAACGTTGTCTCTGCCATGCACAAGTATGCTAAGTAATCTGTTTCGTGCTGCTGACTTGGACACTCAATTTGCATGTTTCATGAAGCAAGGTATACGATTGTATGCGGTTATTCTCGTTATGATCCTTTCATAATTTATAACTATTGTTTTCCTCGGTTAAACCCAGAGCTTAAATCTGTGAATGTATATATGAAAATCAATATCTTTAACATTTGTATTCCATCATTCCCATCTGGCTGATTTGAATGCGCATGTAAAATTATATTTCTCTATGTTCCTTTCAATTGCTTGCTACATCCTGCCAATATATTAGTTTTACGGTTGTAGTTTGTTGTGACTTTTGTCTAATTTCATTTGGAAGATTTCTGACAATAAGTCCTTTTTGTATATTGTGTACAGCGGCAAATGAAATTCCTTTAAGTGCCCTCTTGCGTGTACGGGAACAAGTGACAAATCTGTGCATCAGTAGTCTGCTTTCATATCGTAAATTCTGTGCTACTGTATCATCTTCTGGACAGCTTATTCTTCCAGAGGCACTGAAGCTCCTGCCTCTTTACACCCTCGGTATATTCTTTTTTGCATATATACTTATACCAACTTATATGAATGTAAGAACAAATGAGTTCCAGCTTCTTCCTCCTTTTTGCACAAGATGCACCAGTGAGAAGACAGTTGGATCTTTTTCTTTGAACCAAATCACAAGTGTTTATTTTTCCATGAACTATGATCCAATCAGACCCCAAAAAATGTCCCTTAGGAGTAATACTGGACTTCCGAATCATTTTATCTGGCTGGAACACAGCAAGGGACTGCTTATCACACTGAAAGCGTTTCTGTTCTGGTTGATAAAATATTTTTAAAGAAAAGCATACCTCTCCATTGCACAAACATATTTCACAGAATTATCAATCAGCTTCTTAAAGAAAGTTTGTACAATATATTGATGATTGTCATGCTCCTGTTCCTTTGTCAGCATTAATCAAAAGTACGGGGCTACGAACTGAAGGAAAAATAGATGAACGGTCCTTCTGGATCAACCATGTTTCTTCCCTTTCTGTTCCTTTGGCAGTGCCACTGGTTTACCCCAGAATGGTGGCTATTCATGACCTTGACTCTAAAAAGGTGTGTCATTTGACTTCTTGTATGATGCTTTAAAATATGAATTTTACATCACTGGTAGCTTCCCGTTAATTTACAGGAGGGTGACGAATCTCCAATTCCTCCGGTGATTCCGCTTTCTAGCGAACACGTGAGTGATGAAGGAATTTATCTTCTTGAGAATGGTGAGGACTGTTTTATATATATTGGGAACTTGGTGGATTCCAGCATTTTGCAACAACTTTTTGGCGTCACCTCTGCTGATGAACTTCCTACTCAGGTAACCTTATGATTTATATTTTTGGTTACTTATATTCTGCTTGGCATAATTGTAAATTACAATCTTAGCCTCATGCCTCAGGTGTTGAGTTTGAACTTGATTCCCTGGGACCTGTTTTGGTTCACTAGAATGAGGGAGCCTGGGTGCTTATTTCGTTATTCTTTATTCTTGATTATAAATTATGATTGTTTAGATTTTGATAAATGAGGATTTTGTAATCTGTGTGTCAGTTGAATTTGTTCTATTTTCTTTGTAAATTATCATTGTTTAACTTGTAAGTTCTTTCGCCCAGTATGTGCTGCAGCAGTATGATAATCCATTATCGAAGAAGCTGAATGAAGTGGTAAATGAAATACGGCGCCAGAGATGTTCCTACCTTCGGTATGATTGATACTGTTTCCGTTAGTGATTTCTTATCCACAAGGAAGAAAAGAATTACAGCATTTGAATTCAGTTTTTGATATTTTCATGTGAAGTAATGATTTGTAATTTGTCTTGTTTTTCTGCAGCTTAAAATTGTGTAAGAAAGGAGATCCATCAGGTGAGTGTGTTAGAACCACCGTATATAAAGCAAACTATCCCTACAGCTTGTCTGTTGTGAAGTAGATAATTTTATACTACATGTATATAAGTAACTAGTTAACTATAGTAATAGCATCCTTTCACCTTCCGAAGATAAGTTGTGGATGACTAAGACGAAACTTGTCTTTGAAAAAGAATCCGACAGAATATCTGATATTCGGACTGAGATACTATTACTTAAGTGAACTATTTAACATAGTTAACATTGTTATTCAGTAGAAGGCATTAAGATAAAGAAATCTTATTAAATGGTTTGATTAAGTATTGTATTCTCTTCCCTGTAGGAACATTATTTTTCTCTTATATGGTCGAAGACCAGAGCCCCAATGGCCCCTCCTATGTTGAGTTTCTCGTACATGTCCACCGGCAAATACAGATAAAAATGGCATCATGACTGCTTATGGTTCGTCAGTTTGAATTACAAGTTTTTGAGCAACTTCTTGCTAGAGTACACATGGATTCAAAGGATAGAAGAAAAATTAGGTGCTTGCTAGCTATACACATGCACTCTGGGATCATCCCTCCGGTTATATTTATGTGAAGAGTAAGCAAAGCTGAGTTTTGGCATGATAGAGGTTTGGTAAATTGCCGTTGATATTCTTAGTAGACAATACTGCTAATAAATACCAAGTTTATTATTGTATTCAAGTTGCCCCAACCCACTTTTCTCCTCTCGGATATTTTGCTTTTCATTTTATTGATGTACTATGAGGACCAGACATGGGAAAAAGATTGTAAGAATTGTTGGCTCTTCTGATAATCCTTGTAAGTTATGGTGGGAGAAAGAGAAATGTAAAAACAGGTTGGTTCAACAAATGTTTGAGCTTCTACTTCTGTTTTTGTTTTGTTTTTTGGGGTCGGATTCTACTGTGTGATTGGACTGGGAGCTTTGAGCAATACCAAATTCTACGTAACTTTTAGATTCAATATTAGCTTTTTAGTTTAGATTTTTATTACATTATTTGCCACTTAGGCAATTGCAATTTCTCCAGCAAAGGTCTCCTGCCGACCATCCTCGGTGACATTTTCCGTCCGACTCCACTGACTGGCTTTCCTCTACTTGCCCTCAAAAAAGACATGACTTAAGTGACATTAGCAGGATGAAACTCCCCACCTCAAAAATAGCATACACAACCACTTTCCCAGGGTACTTTGAATGATATTTATACTTGAATACCATTTAATTTTTAATTTTTCTTATCCTTCATTCTAACTTTAATTTGCGTGTGGTCTTGAACTCTACATAAATAGACCAATTTCACGTCATAAAGTTTAGAAACTTAAGCTCTCGTACTAACACATGTTCCAACTTTAATTATCAAGCCCCTTTTAGCATAAATCAATTGCATCCTAAAAGAATCAACCCTAACTCCAAGCTTAATTAGCTTAATTAGAGTTTAGTTATCAAATTCTTTCAAAAAAAAAAATCAATATTTTTAATCTCGTTTTTGACAGTTGATTACTTCAACTTTAGGATGTGGAATTGTTCTACAAGTTTGGATTTTTGGGTTCAAAAGTCGAGAAAACTTAAAATCTAATTGAGAAATATATACCAATTGACCAATAAAAGAAAAAGAAAAATTACACTTCTAGTCAATAGACTACGGTATCCGAACAATAATCATATATAAAACATTTAGATAAGAGAACATCTTTATATAGCAGTGTTTGATTATTCTATAAATTCTTTGACAATATAGGGGTAATTTCGTCAACTCAAAATCCTTGAGTGTAAAAGCTTGTTTGAAACTCTTCCCATTTCATATTAGGACTTGAAATTGGCCATTTGAGTTTGGGGTTCTTTAAAAAATGGGATTATTGGTCGAATTTCGAGCCCTAGTATGAAATGAGAAGTGTTTTAGACGAGCTTTTACGCTCAAGGGTTTTGTATTCACAAAATTGCGCCTTATATCGTAAAAAAAAAATGACATAAATACTACAATTACAGAGATTTAGGTTTCAAAAATAGTTGAAGTGTGAAATTACAGGGACCAAAAGTGACTTGCCTGACAAAGCATCCATTAGCTCTTGTTGTCTTCTTTTTTTGGTCAAATTATTTTCGTTGTCGGATAGTGTCAACTTTACAAATTATTTTCTCCATACGCGCATCGCCAACTTCTTCCGTAGCTTACAATTATTAGGGTTCACACAGACGGGGAGAGAGAGAGAGAGAGAGAGAGCAACCGCAATCGGACTATTAGGGTTAGGGCTTTGGAGACATAACCAGACCTTTCGGAGGTGCTGTTGGTCATTTGCCTCAATTCATAGTAATGTCCTTCCTCGAAGAATTTAACGCCAGTAATCTCTCTCTCTCTCTCTCTCGCTCTTTCCCCAATTTTATGGTCATAACAATTCATCAATCGAAAGACTTTTCTCTTAAATTTCAGCTGCAATTTTGATTATGTGCAAACCTTTCCTTTGTGTATCAAAATTTTGTGTTCGAGTAAATTGATTAAGAAAATTGGGCTTGAAGCTTTGTGTGATATAAAGGTGTTATTGTTGGGTTTCAAAGTTTGAATCTTTTGTGAATTGAGGTTCCAGTCCTATTTGATCAAATGGAAAGAAGAACTTAACTTGAAGAAATTTACAGAGGAACAAATTAAAGAAAACAAAGCAACACATCATATGAATATGAATAACAGTCTTAACAACACTCTTGATTTCGTAAAAATAGATGTAAAACCAAATCCCATAATGAATCGAAAAACAGAAATCTTCTCCACAGAACTTCAGACTGCTTCTTTTTCTTCAAAACTCCCTTACTTCTTCCATTCCAAAGAACCCAAAGTAATGCTTTCACTGCACACCTCCATAAAATTCTACCTTCTTTGTCTTCCCAAAACCTCCAAAATACATGCTAACGATACGAGTAAATGCAAATTACTGCATAGGAGAGACTCTTCATAGATACCACTTTTTCATTCTGTTTTCACTTTCTTCAAATTGCAACTGTATTTCCCGTTTCGCAGATCTGGAATCTCTACCTAATATTTTGGCAAGGCATTATGCAGTGCTGCGTAATCTAGATAAGAGTTTACAAGGTATGATTCTGCCTACTTTAGCTGTTGAGTGCTTTTGTCATCTTTTTTTCATTTTACATTCACCACTACTTTGGATCTACTGAAGTACAAAAAATGGGAACAAGGAAACATAAGAAAGTGACAGATTCAAATTGTGAACCCATATATGGCCAGTGGCTCATCTAACGAAGTTTTGGATGGGAAGACAGCAAAGAAAATGCAAGCATAACTAATGTACATATTCAGTCGGTTGTGGATACATTAGTCACAATTATGTTCTTCGCTTAGATAGTTGTGAAGACATGGCACGCCAGATATGTGATTGAACAAAAAAATTTATGTGTACCACAAAAGGGTTTATTGGAGTTGGTTATAGTTATGTTTGTGGTTTAAGCGTTCCTTGGAAACCTATGTTTTCACCATATCTTTGTACTGTGAACCCGCTCTAACATTGAAGGAATGCTACTTCTTCCTCTTTTTTATATTTATTCTGGTTGGAAATGGGGACTGGGACATGTCTTCTTGTAACGCTTTGCATTAATAAAATATATTAAAATCTGTAAAAGTTGTGCATGTAGTTACTCAAATTTTGTCACATCTCTTTCTTGGGGTTCTCAAGTAAACTATTTATTTTCTATAAACAGATATTCAGAGGCAAAATGAACAGCGCTGTGAACAAGAAATAGAGGACATTAAGCGTGAAATTAAGTCTGGAAATATTACACCTGATACGTCCCTTATTAGATTCTCGGATGAGGCTCTTGATGAGCAAAAGCACAGCATTGGCATTGCAGATGAAAAGGTTATGTTGGCTGTTCGGGCATATGATTTGGTACGTGGATGCTCCATCTTGCCCTATACATATGATTACCGAATATTGACAACAACAAAAATTGATTGGTTATTTTGCCAGGTTTTAGAGATTTTGTGAACTCTGAATATTTATTTGAAATTTTGTAATGATGTTCAGGTGGATACACACATACAACAACTTGATCAATATTTAAAAACTTTTGAGGAAGAGCTGCGTGGTACTCTACTTTTATTCTTTTTCCACCTTGTTGAGTCTTTGATTTTTACACAGTTAAGACTACACTTTTGGAGTCCTTTATTTTTAGTCAAGACAACACTGAGAGGTTTCGTTATCTTGAGGACATAATAATTTCCGCCTCGGTTATGTGTGTTCCCTAATTTTGTTTGGTGAAATGGTTCATGGCAGAAAGAGATACTGTTGCTGCAAGCGCATTGCCTGCTCCAAGTGCCGATACGGGTGCAAAACCTGGAAGGAGTAGTGAAGGTGGTAGAGGAGGGCGTAAGAAGTATCTACCTATTCTTGATGTTTTATTTATATTATTTTCAGTCGAGTTTCTGATTTCATGCTTCTACCAGATTTTCCCTTTTCAATTGAGTTATCATTAACCATCCCAGAGAGAATTCTTGATTGAGTTATAAATGATAGTTCTTTATATTACTGTTATTTTTACTGTAAACTATGGGGTTATAAAACTCGTTTCCTACATTCATGAGTTGAGAATGTTTCCAAATTAAGGTTTTAGCATGCTTGCTTGGTGGGAGATGTGAAAATTAGTCTCATTTTGTTTTCTCTGGAACCTAGTGATGCTTTTTTTTTCTTCTCTCCAGAACAAGACTGGCAACAGCAACAGCGGCAACAGCAACTGCAGCTGTCAATCCTACTGCTATGGATTTAGATATACCAGTGGATCCAAATGAACCCACGTACTGTTTATGTAACCAAGTTAGCTATGGAGAGATGGTTGCGTGTGAGAACCCCAATGTATATAATTTTCTCCTTGTTTACATTTATCCTTTTTAAGACGCATCCTTTAAACTTTATTATCTAATTTAGTCTTTGCTTCCGACAGTGCAAGGTAGAATGGTTCCATTTTGGGTGTGTTGGTCTGAAAGACAAACCAAAAGGGAAGTGGTACTGTCCAGATTGCGCGGCATTGAAAAATCGCCGCAAGGGCAGATGATTCCAAGAACTTGTTCCAGGAACCATCTTGTAGTCATGATCTGAACCCTAGTACCTTGTTTAGTTTGTAACATTTTGTTTGTTTTGACTTGACAAATTCTGTATAAAAATACTGTAGGATTACGGAGTCACTCATTTTTATTGCTTTCAGCACATAAGGATATGTACCATTTTGTATTATGGAACTCAAGTCGGGAGCAGTCCCTGACAAAAGAGACATTGTTGCTTTCCTCAGATTTATATTGAATTTTCAAGAGTTGAATAAAGAAATGAGTCTTATGAGCATCATTTTTTTTTTCTGTATTCGATTTCGCCATCTGCAGGCACAGGTTTTGTAAGTGACAAATGAAATAATGTCATTTTATGTTTCGATTAATTGGCAGTGTTACAATTTAAGTACCCTTCAATTAAGCTTCAGACTCCAAGAACCCTACAAGATGTTTCAAATGTTTAATGCAAGGGAAGCAAGATGAGATATAGCCAAAAATGTAAGATTAACCTTATTATTATTAAACCCTCTATACCTTCGCTGCGAGAAAAAAAGGAGGAAAAATACAACTCAAAATGACCAAACTACAACGGCAAGAAAATAGTTTTTATTTGAAAAGAATAATTGGTACAATCGAATTCGAATTCTCCCATGCAATAACAGGTTTTATCCTGAATTACAGGAGCTACCTACACGCTGATCTCTCTCTCTCTCTCTCTCTCTCTCTAGCACTATGACTACACGATGCCTTGCAACCAAAACTAACCCAAGATAAAATTACACCCCGTTTTTTTATTTTACATGCGGATTTTGTGGACTCAATCAGGGGTGGGTTGTCAAATGAGTGTAAAATTGGGAGGAGCCTCAATAATCCATTCCACCCATGCCACCACCCATTGCTGGAGTCTCCTTATCACTGGGAAGTTCAACTACAACAGCTTCAGTAGTTGTCAGCAAAGACGACACGCTGCACACAAAAGGCAACAAAAATCAATGGATGAGGGAATCGGAGCTGAAGCTAATCCTTAATAGTAAACATAGAGAATGTCTCAGGCGTACCTTGCAGCATCGACTAAAGCAGTTCTAATTACTTTCAATGGGTCTATTATTCCAGACTTTACCATATCAACATATTCACCTGGTTAGGCCAAGGGAAAAGCAAAACCAACCAAAATGAGTAAGAGTGTAGATATATAGTTTTCCAAACTGTTAGCGGCAAATAAAAGGACTATTGTGGAAGCATCTCCTACCTTTAGCTGCATCGTAGCCAAGATCAGGGTTATCTTGCTCCAATAGCTTACCAACAACAACAGCTCCCTCCACTCCAGCATTAGAAGCAATTGTATGGACAGGTGCCTGCATGGTCAGTACATGACTTAGAACAAGGAGCAAAATAGAGCAAAAGGATGCAAGTAAAACGAAAAAATACATTACTTCAAATGCAATGAATCATAGAAGTCAAGCTCAAGACACCAATAGAAGATACCAACCTTCAGAGCATTCTGAATAATCTGAACTCCAATCTTCTGGTCAAAGTTAGCAGTCGGGAGCTTTTCCAACTCTTTCGATGCATAAAGAAGAGCAACGCCACCACCTGTAAATGGAAGAGAGTTTTAAGATTGTCTATCGAACTTGATCCAACCAGATAAATCAGGACAAATTGAGTACACAAACAGGCGACAGACTTTGTGCCAACTGGCATATCTTCATCACTCTGGATGCAAATGCATCTAAGTCTCTTAGGTGTGTAAATCAACTTGACACGCAAAAGTGGGCAAAATGACAAAATAGATTACCTGGTACTATACCCTCTTCAACAGCTGCCTTGGTGGCATTTAAGGCATCAGTAACTCTATCCTTCTTCTCACCAACTTCAGTTTCGCTAGCTCCTCCAATCTGCAACATAAGCAAATCTCACTCTTTTATCTACAAGTGGCGACATGTGCAATAAATACAGGATAAGGAAGCTCAAACTATTTTTTGCTTTACTTTTATTTTTATTATTATTATTATTTTCCAAGGGGTAAAATGAAGAGGAAATAATAAGACCGTATCAAGACTGATTACTAGAGCTGTGATGATGAAATACAGAAGAAATAGATAGTTTACTAGGCATAGAATGTGAGCCTTAATATATATGACAGGACAGCAAACGGACCTTCAAAACAGCAACACCACCAGAGAGCTTTGCCAGTCTCTCCTGTAACTTTTCCTTGTCATAATCGGAAGTACTTAATTCAATGGCCGATCTAATCTGTAACGAAATAGGAGATAAAGGTTATGTACAGATCTGAAATCATAGCTGCAGATGATTCTCAATTAACAAAGAGGAAAACCATTTTCTTTTATACCTTTTGTTTTGAAATATACAACAAAATGCAAACCATTGATGACAACAGTTACAAACTATTTCACAAGGAAGCAACAGTAACCTGTTCAGATCTTTCATCAATAGCCTTCTTGTCACCAGCACCGTCAAGAATTACAGTGTCATCTTTTGAAATTGTGACCTGTAGCATTACCCCATTCATTAGGAGAGTGGAGGAAAAACTAGATATGGAAAAATAGCATTAAATTGGATGGGAAACTCCATTAATCCAAATCCACAGGCGACTTGTGTGTCAACAGATATTTCAACACAAAGTAAAAGTTCTCCTCATCAAAGAACTACATGTCATGGTTAGGCTGACAACGCAAACAAAAACTCAAGTATACCAAAGCTCACCTTTTTGCAAGTGCCGAGCATATCCAATTCCACTTTGTCAAGATTCAGACCAAGCTCCTCAGTAATAAGCTAAAATACAAAAGAGATGTCATTTTCAGGTCAAGAAAAATCCAAAACAGATGCAATTGATTAGGTCAGGCAATAATAATACAAAGCTAAATAAACTTACAGAACCCCCAGTGAGAACGGCAAGATCCTGGAGACTGGATTTCCTATTTTCACCAAAACCAGGGGCTTTGATTGCACAGACCTGTAGCAAATCACATTAGATTAGCAAATGCTGACTTCCCTACACAAAGAACCAAACGATTACATAGGAACGAAAAAAGAACCTCAAACAGAGGCATAAAAACGATTGAAAGCAAACCTTGATTCCAGCACGAAGCTTATTTAGAATAAGGGTTGCCAGTGCTTCACTCTCCACATCTTCGGCAACAATCAGCAAAGGCCTTTGCTTCTGAAAAGGAGGAGCAAAAGTTTGTCAACCAATTCATAGTAAAAAAAAGCTAGTGAACCTAACCAGACAAATGCTAACCTGCAAAGCCAACTCCAAAATTTTCACCACAGCATTAATACTTGAGATTTTCTTCTCATGGATTACGATTAGGGGATTTTCCAATTCCTATCAGCACATACACAAGTTTGAAGATAATCAGCATCAAGCAAAAAGGGACTTGAGGTGCTGACAAGCAGCCCTCTAACAGTTTCAAGACATAGTCATTGCTGAGTAAAACTTAAACTTACACATTTCTGATTTTTCTGGTTGGTGATGAAATAAGGGGATATGTAGCCCCTGTCTAGCTTCATTCCCTCAACAACCTCCAACTCATTGTCCAATGTTTTCCCATCCTACAAAAATTAACGTATGCTTACATGTCTTGGGTATCATTTGGGAATAAAAAAACTAAAATAAAATTATTTGAAGTAGTGCTACTTCCATTTCGCTATGATTATTTTACTATTATGACTCAAATCTCGACATGAATAACATAAGATGCAACTCAAGCTAAGCATGACTTAGCCCATATACACAGCACCAACAAAAGTTAACATACCGAGATTGTGATTACACCCTCTTTGCCAACCTTCTCCATGGCCTTTGCAATCAACTCACCAATTTCTCTGTCTCCATTTGCAGATATTGTTCCAACCTATCAGAGTTGGATTACATTACTTTCAAATCCTAGGAACAAAAAGAATTATATCGAAGATAAACAAGGCTTTACAAGAAAGACCTGTGCTATCTCTTCAGAAGTGCTGATCATTCTTGCTCTGCTCTTCAAGTTTGTTACCACAGAATCAACTGCCATAGTAATACCGCGTCGCAAGTCCATTGCATTCATCCCAGCAGCAACTGACTTGCACCCTTCGGTGTAAATAGCTCTGGTCAGGATTGTAGCACAAGTAGTGCCTGCAAGAACAATGGAAATTTGTAATTGCTCAGGTAGAGAGATATTAAGCAATATCGATGCATTACTACATAAGCTTCAATTCCACTTAAAAAAACTGAACCTTCTACCCTGCTTTTCAATTATGCAAATCAATCCAATTACAAATGAAAAATATTGTTACATACTGATGAGGGAAACAACATATACAAGCATAAGACTTACCGTCACCCGCTGCATCATTGGTGGCATTAGCAACCTGTTTCACCAGGCTAGCACCAACATTCTTGATTTTATCCTTGAACTCTATACTTTTTGCAACAGTTACACCATCTTTTGTTACTTTGGGTGCACCAAAGCTTTGTTCAATAACCACATTACGCCCCTTTCATAGAAAAAAGACAACCATGTCAATATTTTTTTAATATAAGAAAAGGAAAATACAAGAACACAACATATCAATTGATTTAACTATGAAAAGTACGAAAATGAGCAAGACAATTAAATAGAAGAAAATGGCTAAATCTATATTCTATTGACAAGGAAAACAGATACGGGGAACTATTAAAGGCCTATGAGCTCTTTGATTCTCAATTTTTTTTCCCAACCGTTTGATTGTATATAATAAAAAAGTTAGAATTTGAGAGAAACATATGGCAATCAAGCTTCTTTCCATGAGTGCTGTGAAATAGCTCCCTCAAATACAAGCAACAAACATTTCCCAAGCCTCCAATTGGTCTATACATTCACATCTACAAAGACCAAAACATTTTGAAAAGCTTCACCTACTTCCATTGCTAAATTTATTAAAAATACTACAGGATTTAGGAACCAGTAGATTCATTCACATTTACCCAATATGAGTAAAACACCACCACATACACATGTCAACCAATACACTTTATTGCCAAGTTGGACATCATACATTCATAAAATCATTGGATTGCTCCTAATGCAAACTGAGCACACTAATAACTTAAATTCTCAATCCTATGTAAGATCAAAAGATTGCACTAATAAATACAAAATGTCAATGTGATAGGTAAACAGCAGAAATATAATACGAATAGCAGCGTAGCACAAAACAGTGGGGTGTGGTAGAACCTTAGGGCCCATGGTGACTTTGACAGCATCGGCAAGATCTTCGACACCATTGAGCATGAGGGCTCGGGCCTCCACTCCAAATTTTATGTCTTTGGCTGCATAATTTCTACTCCAACTCAACGTACCACCAATCTGAACGAAAAACAAAAACACAATAAACAAATTAAAAATAATTCTTTTAAACAGAGAATGCTTCGCATTGCTTCAACCAATAGACCCTTTAAAGCACACATCCAGACGAACCTGCTTGGAGCAGTTCCTAGCAACTCTGCAAACCCAAAAATAAAAAATAAAAAATCGAAATTAGTAAAAACCAAAAGGAAAAAGATTCTCACTGGAGAAAAATAAAGTGTAAATTTTGAATTTTGTGTTTTCATGCTGACTTGTCTTACTGGATCCCACAAGTTTGGAATTGTACATTAAAAATGAAAATCAACATCCTTTCATTTCCTTTACGTTTCGTGATGAACAAACGAGACAAGTGAGAAAATAAAGAGAACCCGGATAAGATAAAAGGGAATAGATAGCGGAAAATAGTGGAAAATACCGAGCTTTGGATGCGAGGCTTGAAGCAAACCGATACATACTGAGATTGCAAAGTGACAGAAACAGAGAGAGTGATAGAAAGAGCGAGAAAGCGCACGAACTGAGAGAGATGGCTAGGAGAGAGTGCTTATTAAGCGTAAGGAAGAGTCTAGAAGTAGGGTTTTAGGGTTTTACAGTCTTCACAAGTCACAAGTCACACGTCGAACTATCGCAGTTGTATTTTTGAAAGGAAATTGATTGGACTTGGACTTGGAGATGTGAAAGCCCGCTACGGTTCAAGTAAAAGCCCATATAATCCACCCTGCTAGATGAAGTAAATAGTAAAATATGATCATAGTGCTGAAATTAGAAGTGTGCGGCACTTGCTTCCGGTTGATTTGGCCGATTTACGGTTTACGGTTTAAGATGCCCTGCTTAGAGCATCTCCACCCACAAGGGCTAAGAGCATCTCCACCCACAAGGGCTAAGTCTAAGGCAAGGGCAAGCAAGGGCTGCCACTATTCACGTGAATAGTGTCAGCCTTTGCATTTGTGGTTCCACCCATGAGGGCAAAGTCTAGGGCAAGTCTAAGGCAATTACTATTCATTGTACTTTATTTCCTATTTGTTTATACTTTAAACTATTAATTTTGATAAGCTTTTTAGATTATATTTTCGGTTGTCACGTGTCACTATTTATTATAAAATTTTCATTTAAAATTTAAGATAACATTTTTCGAATAAAATTTTCAAATAAAATTTTTGGATAAAATTTTTCGAATAACATTTTTGGTTTTGCCTTGACTAATCTATTAAAAAAAAGAAATTGGAAATGCAAGAAATATATATATATATATAAAAGACATTAAATTTTTTTTTGCTCATTGCCAATGATTTCAAGATGTTGGATTTGATGTGAAAAATAATATGGAAAGGAGATGGAAGGTTTTTATGAGAGATTTGGTGTAGAAAGTGAATAAAATGGTTAAAGGTATTTATAGGGAAAAAATACAGAATTTTTTGGTATTTAAAAAAAAATTCAGAATTTTTCAGAATTTTTTCGAATTTTTTTGAAAAAAAAAAAAAAAAATGTTTTACTGTGCGCTGACGTCAGCGTGACGCCAACGCTGACGTCAGCCAACTCGGGCTTCAGCCCGGGCAAGACTTGCCCTTGGGCTTCCTCGGGCTCGTGGGACCCGCCACCAAACTGGGCTACGGGCCCTGCGCTGGAGCGAACTCGGGCTGCGTCGGGCAGCCTTTCCCCCTTGCTTCGGGCTGCGTTGGAGACGCTCTAAGTCTAAGGCAAGGGCAAGCAAGGGCTGCCACTATTCACGTAAATAGTGTCAGCCTTTGCATTTGTGGTTCCACCCATGAGGGCAAAGTCTAAGGCAAGTCAAGGGCAAGAAAAAAAAAATATATGCAACAAAATATAAAATTGTTATGTATTTATAGGGAAAGTGAATAAAATTGTTATGTATTTGTAGGGAAAACATCCATAATTTTTTGTTATTTTTTTTAAAAAAAATTGAATTTTTTTATAATTTTTTAGATTTTTTTTTGCTCGCTGACGTCAGCATAACACAACGCTGACGTCAGTGCCCTCGGGCTGAAGCCCAGGCAAAATCTGCCCTTGGGCTTGCCCGGGCTGGTGGGACCCAGGGCTTGCCCGGGCTGCAAGTTGTGCGCTGGAGCTGCATTGGGCTTGCCAGGGGGGCCTTTTGCCCAGTTTGATAGCAGCGCTGGAGCTGCTCTTAGGATTAGGGGAAATAGAATCAAGTTTAAGAGGGCTTCTCTTGAATCACTTGAAGGTGACCTAACCCAAACCAAAATCAACTCAAGAGCACCACGTGCCGCTTCCTCATTGATCTCCAAAAGTTCAGTCTTCCAGATTTACCCTCACCACCAAATTAGCCTCAATGCCTCACTTGGTTTCCACCCCTGCAATCCTGAAAGCTTTCTCCAAACAGTGCCAACAAAGACTCAGCTGAGGCTCTGATTCACAGAAGCTCAAAGAAGCTCTCAAAATGACAGAGGCAGTGATAAGAAACAAGCCAGGGATGGCGAGCGTCAAGGACATGCCGGTTCTCCAGGACGGTCCCCCGCCGGGTGGGTTCGCTCCGGTCCGATACGCTCGTCGGATCCCCAACAAGGGTCCCAGCGCAGTGGCTATTTTCTTGGCTGCCTTTGGTGCCTTCTCTTGGGGCATGTACGAGGTCGGCAAGGGCAACAAGATCCGAAGGTCAGAGCTTATTTATTTTATATTTTGTATGGGTTTTTATTGTTTTGTGAATTGAGGGTTGAAAATTTGATGGGTCCTGTGAGTGGGTGAGTGGGGGAGTGAGAGGTAGTGATCTTTCTTAGGGTTCTCTTGGTATTTCTTTGAAGTGAGCTACAGAAATGCAGATTATCTTTTGGGTATTCTCGATTTCATTGAAGTGCTTTACAATTGTTACCAAGTTCGTGTATTTTTAATAAATTAATATCATTTTCATATTTATATTATAATTTTTGGGGTTATAATTCTTGTAAAAAATTTTATGGTCTTTGTTATGAATTTATGGATTTTATAAAATAAAAAAAAAAGGTTCATTAGTTCTTGCAAACTATTACTTTCTGCATTGTTTAGAAAAAAATATGAGTTAATGAATGATATGCGGGATGCTCATATTGTTAATTGAGAAGAGCATTGTTAATGATGGGGCAAGGGAAAGAACTCAGGTACAGATAAGCAGATGCTTGGAGAGCTTGGGTTGTTATGCCCAATTATTATGGTAAAGTTGGATACTTGCTAACAATAGATGTGAAGACATTCATATTTAGTGAAGGGCTCAGTTTGCAGCCTGTTTTACATGGGCCAGTGCTCCATATCGTATCAAATAGTTCAAATCTCATATTTGCCATGGTTTTCTTAGCATGCTCTATTTTATCCAGATGCCACGCCACATGGTAAAGTATGCACTCTATTAGTAGAGTCAGGGGCACATGGGTAATAGCTGGATATGCTCCTTCTGCATCTTCCTCTCCCTCTCCTCGACTGCACATATATTTGTGACGTCTGCTCCTTTTCCTCCTCCCTCATCCTTTCACCCACCACTCACCAGATTGGTGCCATAACAAGCATCCCACCTCCGGTGACTATCCTTTCCCCAATCTACACATATTGGTGCAACGCTGACCGCGGTGCTAACTAAGCGCAATCGTAACACAGATTGATCCTGTGTCATATGAACCCCAAGGGAATAAACTTGGAGGCCTGGTTGAAAATGTCTGCATGACAAGTGTTTGAATAGAGATGAAGAATAGGAGTTGGAGTTTTTCCCTTGTTTCTTTGAGAGGGAGATTTTCATGTGGTGGGTAGTATAAAATTAGTTTTACTTTTTCCTTAACAAAGGCTAATCCTAATATTAAGGTTTCAGAGAATCATGGATATGGAAGGGAAACATGGATTTCGAATGATAAAAGAAGGGGAGATGATGGTTTTCCCTCCTCTTGTTTATCCTAAAGAATGAGATGGAAGGTGGTCAAAAGTTCAAAGCCTTTTTTCTTTTTACTTCTTATTGACCCAAGAACCAAACCTACTATGAAAGATTAGTTTCAAGGTCATTGAGTTTGTGCTATACTATGCAGTTCAGTATTGGTTTTATTTTTTAACCCGAATAAGGATGCTTTGTTTTTATATTTCAAAACTGAGCCAACTTGGCCTGAGTTCCATACCAGATACACTACTTGCATTTCCCTGAAATTGCATGGTGGCTGATGCCTTAGGTAATCCAGGTGGAAATCGTTGTGCCCTCATTTCACCATTTCGTTTGAGGACTCAGTTTTGAGCTTTGGAGCCGAAGGGCATGTGTTCTGGGTTAGTTCTTCCACCCGCTTTCCTTGCCAAATAGCTTCCGCAGCATCTATACCCTTGCTTATTGGAAGCTTCCCTCAAAGTCAAACCTTCGGCTAGGTTACTTCTCTAGGTTAGGACATGTGACCTATTTTTGAAGAAGGAAACCTGAAACTTTCTCCACGAGTAATGTTTAAAGCTAGCATAAAGCACATTATTTGTCTCTTCCTTCACTGGTCAAATTGGGTGCTGTTATAGGGTAACAACGAGAAATTAAGCTGAGGATATGTGCCTCGTATGATTTATTATTACCGTGGGGGTCATGAGATGGTGATCATGGTTCTTCGGGATGATCACGATAGAGTGAGCTTCTAGGTCATCTTGATTGGTAAAAACGTTTGACTGACTTTATTGTAATAAAGGGGCAGGAGCTCTGTATACGCATAGGATCGTATGATTATCCTTCGTGATTATTTGGACAGTTGTAGTTACTAACTTACTGCTTTATGTATTTTGAGCATGTTTTCTTACAGCCTCTGACTTCAATTTTTGAGTGGGAATGTGATTGGGTAGACCGTAGAAGCAAATATTAGCGAGCTTTTCTGCAATTTCATTTGATTTTTGCTTGGTTTTTGCCGGTGGAAAACGTAATTTATTATTTGGGTAAGGGAACACTACTATTTGTTCTCATTGAGGATTTCCTTTATATGGTGTATTATTTGCTTAAAAAATTTGCTTTATGTAGGGCCATTAAGGCTGAAAAGTATGCTGCTCGCAGAGCAATACTCCCGGTGCTTCAAGCTGAAGAAGATGAAAGGTAGAAAGATTATACTGTTGGTTGTCCCCTTTTCATTCATATGTCTCATGCCTGTAATATTCATCTTGCTGAATTCGAAGTAAAAAGATCCTCATGATTGTCTGTACTGCTTCTTTAGATTTGTCAAAGAGTGGAAAAAGTACCTTGATTATGAGGCTGAAGTTATGAAGGACGTGCCTAATTGGAAAGTTGGTGCGAGTGTCTACAACTCTGGGAGATGGATGCCCCCAGCAACTGGCGAGTTGCGCCCTGAAGTTTGGTGATACTTTTCAACTGCAGTTGTCTGTAGTTCGCTCTATTTGGTTTGTTCACTTATGCATGTTGTCTTTGGTGCAATGTCATAGCCCTGTTATTGTGAAATAAAAATGCTGCAGAAAACCTCTTTTACAAGTTTTCTATTACTACGAACAGTAATTGACTTTTTTTTTATCCCCTTAATATCATTATCTTCTTCATTACCTACGATTGAGGGTTAGAACAAAGGAAGACTTTGTTGTGGGATTGAGATGGAATGTTTTTTCTTTGGAAAAAGCCACACCTATGGTACTTTATTTGATCATATGTTACAAATTTTATAAGCATTGATTTTAGTTCAACATTTTATATAGGAGTTGTTTATGAAATTTGAACATAAAAGAAAAGTTGCCAGTTAAATTGAAGTTATAATCTTCTCTTTTAGGTAAATAAAATTGAAGTTGTTATCACAAGAAATCTGCAGAGGAACTTGCAAAAGTAGCTGGCTCGCGAACATGCAAGGCTTTGGAATCTCGGACACAAAACTACTATAACTTGCACGTGTGAAACAATAATAAAATTAAGGCTAAATTGTAGAAATAGTCCCTGAACTAAGCCCTAACTTTACTTTTCGTCCCTCACATTGCTAAATTGTTATCGTTGTACTTTAATTATGCCTCTAGTTTCAGAAACCGGCCTTTCTGTAATCTCAGTCAACTTTTCCGTTTAATTTGATGACATGGCATGGACAAGTCCTACTTGGTATGGGTAAAATGTCTTTCCACACACAAAATTTCTCTCTCTCTCTCTCTCTCTCCCCATCCCAATTTCTTCTTCCCCCCATCCACCCAGATTTCTTCTCCCTAGCCCCGATTTCTCACCCAGATTTCTTCTCCCACCTAGATTTCTTCCCAGCCACGATTTTTCTCCCCCACACCAATTTCTTCTCCCACCCCCAGCCCATTTTTTCGCTGCTCAAGCAAAGAAATTTTAGAATTTTACAAAGAAAATGGTGTGGGCAACAAAAAAAGAAATTGACTTCGATGGTGTTAACCCATTTGGAGAAAAATAGAGCCGTAGTCAAACGGAGCAGTGGTCATTCGGAGAAAAAAAGTTATAGCCGCACGGCTATACTATTTTCTAAAAGTATGAAACAATACAACTTTTCATATATGAAACAATGCAACTTATCACATAAAGTACTATTATATAAAAACCCTGAGTATAGCCGCGCGGCTATGCTATTTATTTCTGAAAAAAGAGAAGACGGGCCTGGCTCCCAGCGCCATTTCGTCACTTGCCAAAAATTGTATAGACTACTATTTTCAGGAAAAAAAATACTGTAGTATAGCCGTCCGGCTATACTATTTTATTTAAAAAATGGCCGCCCAGCTATACTATTTATAATTACAAAAAAGGGCAAGCATTCAAAGCATGCTAGTATGTGCAAAACATGCTCAAACACGTCGGAGAAAGAGTGAGAATGGGAGATGGTACAAAGGAGATTTGGCAACATATCTATACCTTTGTTTCCTCGATTGAATTTCTAAGTTCCCGCAAGCTTATTGTCCTTTCTGTTGATTTTTCAGGTGGGTTCCCTTCACCGCACCAGAAGTAAGGTTATGCATCCCAGATGCAACATCCTTTTGCATTTTCAGATTCACTAGTTTCCTCCTACTCTCCTCTAGTTCAGTCATGCTGTCATCCAGCTCACCTGTCACCAATTACAGAAAATTTACATATTCAACAAACAATCAAAAGGTGGCATCACCAAATAGTGGTAAACTTTGAGACTTACTCTCTGCCAGAAATTGAGCGAAGTTCCTGAATCTATAGGTCTTAAATATGATGCTGAATCTTTACATGTACTGCCACGAGCCTTAGCTCAAGTGACATGGGTTCGATGGGCTGAAGTGTAGATCCTAGGTTCAAATATTCTTGCAATGGGAAAAAATGAAAAGAAAAAAAAATACATATGTGCCGTCAGTAATCAAGTGTAGGATTAAACATTCCTACTAAATAAACAAATAAAAAACCAAGGCTTGTGACTATAACCATCTCAGAAACCTGTAATGCGCCTAATTTCAGACTGATCTGTTGACTGGCTGCTAAGGTAAGTCCGAATTACATCAGCATACTCTAGCTGCTTCACGTGAAGAATATCAATCGCTTCCCGCAGATTTTTAACCACCCTATCCATCATCAATCTTAGGTAACTGGATGATATCATCTGAGAATCACAAGAAAAACAAAGAACCTATAATCAGTACATAATTCCTCATGCACTTACTCCTTCAAAAATAAGTGTTAAAAAATGAAAAAGTTATTGTATGAAATTAATTTGTACAGCAATGAATTTACAATTAAACCTCTGGCCTTCAGAAGATATCTTTCCATCCAAAGTGTGGACTATGCTCTCTGTTTTTTCCCTATGAGAATAAATGGTATGTTCCAAGAGTTTTAACAACTCCCTAGTAGACGTAAGATGCAAAGTGAGAGCTTCTTCAACACATTTAGCAATTTCATCATTGCCATTAGCTTCTATAGAATCTCTTTGTAGGAGTCTACAAAGAAACATCTCCTCCGCAGAACATGATGGAATTGAACCTGAAAAGCACACCGGTCAATCTAATCTATATGATGTGAAGAATAAAATAAAATGAACACTAAGATTTTGATTTAGTCATCAGAAAAAATTAGGGAAAAAAAAGATGAAGTAGCATAAAACAACACGTGCTGTAAAATACCACGAGAATAATCAGCGCCATCTAAACTTTGTAAAGCATTTTGGCTTCTTCCAGCACACAGTCCAAGAAGAATTAAACCATAACAACCAACTGGATAGCAAAATAAAGAAATGACCATCAGAAAAAATTACATGTCATCCTGGTGGGCACAATTGAGACCATGAAAAGGAAGAAAACCCAACCAAACATTTAAGAGAACCTGATTCCATATTTGATTCACTGTGATTAGCATTTCATCATAAGAACCTTGCTTATCCTTTAGTTCCTTAATTTTTGCTTCAACATCTTGCAAATCATGCTTCTGTTTGTCTATTTGCTGAAGAAGTCTCTGGTTCTGGTACTGGAGAACCGCTGAATCGACCTGGGCACATATAGTACGTACACAAAATACAGATACATTTCAATCTACTTCCAATCTCAAATCAAAATTGAAATGTACTTGAAATGCATTGAACTATCAATGTGCACTCATCTAACTGCACGCATTTTCATGAAATAGCATACTAACTTCAGAAGTGACTTCATCAACTTAGAGATTAATGATGCTTTACTGCCCCAATTACACAATTAATAAACAGAAACCCTCTAACTTACACCCTATACTCCAAAAATTCCAATTCTGTAATTTATATCCCTTTTCTTGCACTTCCTCAACAACCAAACAGAGCGTAGTACAATTTTTCACATTCTCAAAAGCATATCCAATGCAGAAATTTCCCAAACTCCAATCACCCATCAATCACAGTAATTTAAAAAAATAAAACACCTTTTTTCTTCAACCAAAAAATTTGATCATAACCATTTTTTCCGTCGGTAACCAAGCAGACTGTAAATAGAGAGAGATAGAGAGAGATAGAGAGAGAGAGAGAGATTACGTTGTGGTGGAGAAGTGGTGGAGCTACGAGCCATGGTGAGCGAAAATGAGTTTAAATGAGGCCTCTTCTTCTCTGGCTCGTCAATGTCCGAGTTTTCCATTTATCGGGTGCTCTTTACGGTACCCACCGCACCATTACAGCTCTCAGGTTCCGAGCTTTTTTTAAATTATAAATCCTATAGCCGCGCGGCTATACTACGTTTTATTTAAAAAATGGTATGCCGCAATGGTATAGCCGTGCGGCTATACTATTTTTGACACGTGGTACAGCAGGGCGGCTATATTTTTTAGTATAGCCGCACGGCTATACTAGTTTGACACGTAGGCGGTGCCTAGGCGGCTCCTAAGTGCTCCTAGGCAGTAGGCGGGAGAACACCGCTGCAAGTTCACCCTAAATGTTATGTGTAGGCGACAGGAAGTTCACCCTAAACGTGATGGTATTGAATGATCTAAGAATAATACTCACATATGCATACACATGACGTCCAGTCTTTTCATGCTCTCATGCCACAACCCGAAAAGCTAGGGACAAAAGGTTTGTGTTCAAGGTGTACAGCCTTGACTTGTTGATGGAGATTTGATTTCTGCAAAAGTAAGCAAAATCAGAAAAGGAAACAATAAAAAAACTAACATGTACAATGGCAACGCAAAGAATGAAAAACTAATTTTTTTCTTTCCAAAATAATGAAATCTGTTTGTTCTTTATGTGTGTACATACAACCCATTAAAAGTCAAGTCAGTAACTCACAGTTGAAAATGTGTGAAGACAACCGCATTTAATTCTCTCCACTGAAGCACCTCCCCCTTCATGCGTGCGGAGATGCCATTCGATGTTCCTTCTCAGCTTCTTGGTCCCACATATCTCACAGGTGATATGTTGGTGGCAGGACTGAATATGGCCTTAAGGCATTTCTCATTAGAAAAATATTTCATACAGCCTGGTTCAGAGCAGAATGCCTCCACTGAATCCAGCTTAACTATACAAATAAAAGGACATATTTAGAGTTTGCATCAACCATACTGCCAAAAACTTCAACAACAGCACATCCCCCCATTTTCAGAATTTTTTTATCTCACAACATTATTCACCACTGACGCGCACACACAAGGCAGAATACAAAAAGAAGATCGAATTGAGAAATGAAAGCTACCATGAGAATTCTCACGCTTCCGCAGCTTTGAAGCAAATTTGAACAACTTTCCACAATCCTGGCATACATGCTGCTTCTGACCTCCAACATTAGCCGAAGGATCATCCTCATTATAAAAGACATCGTATAGCTAGCCTGCTATACTTGGTTTTTCCAATTTTTTTTAAAAAACAAATAGTATGGCCGCCGGCTATACCGGGTTGTTTCATTTAAAAAAGAAATAGTACAGCCGCCATGTGTCAAAGAAGAATAGTATAGCCGCACGGCTTTACATCTTTATAGCCGCGCGGCTCTACACGGTGTCCTCCAATTTTTTTAAAAGAAATAGTATAGCCCCACGGCTATACTTGTTTTTTCTATTTTTTTTTCTTGGTCCACCTCTGAACTACTACTTTTAAAATAGCGTTGGATAAGGTTCTTGTTGCCTTCCTCATTTTTTTTTCCTCATTATTTGCCTATCAATAACAGTTGAACACACATCTATGCTGAAAATCACTGGGTTTTTTTTTTCTTGGTCCACCTCAAAACTAGGCCTATGCGCGGATCGGTTCGAAACGGTAGAAGACTCTTCCGTGAACCAAAGCACTTCGGTAGACCATTTTCTCTTCCGTTAACCAAACCAAAGACTTCGGTAGATTTCGGATCGGTTAACCTAATATTTGGTTCGGATTGGCCGGTACGCAGGTAGTACCGTAATAAAAACATACTAATAAAAATACAATTTATAATATTTTCACATAACATAAGTTCTTGAAAAAATACACCAAATTATCCTTGTAAAATATATAAATCCATAGTCTAATTCATCCAAGTATGAAATCAAATAACTTAGTCACTATATCATTCAATATGTACTCAAGATGTACTAGGAGCCACTTGTATTTGTTGTTTGAACCTTTGAGTGCTCTTTTATTGAATTCTCTACATTTATGTAAATGATTTTGACATTTGTTCTGCGTTGAGTTCTTCAGTTTTTCATTATGAATCCAACTATATAAAGAACATAAAATTTGGATCAACAGTTGGAAAGTTACAGGTAAAAAACGGGACAAAGGTCGAAACTGGAAAACATAGGAAGTTCATAAATTCCTCTCTGACCAAACAATGCTACAGTACCCGCGTAAGTGATACAATGGTGGTAAAGAAGTGATACAGTGGTGATTGTATTTACCTTTGGTTTCTTGTTTTGTATTTAAATAATAAAATAAGTATAAATATCGGATCGGTACGGTTTCCGTCGGGTTAGGAATTTTGTTTCTGTTAACCAAACCAAACATTTTGGAATGAATTGGATCGGAATAATTAAAATTAAAAAATAATTATTTAACCAAACCAAACCAAACTGTCGGTACAGTACCGTCGGTATGCGGATAATTCGGATGAGATGCACCCCTACTCAAAACTACTATTTTTAAAATAGCCCTCAAGCACCTACACATGGACCTATCAATGGATCAGATTTCGATCTGAATTCGGTGTAATTAATAAAGGATGGATTGGACTTTTCAATCCGATAATCTTATCCATTGACAGGTCTACTTACACTTGTCACACAAACATTTGACTTGGGTGTTAAATGACCCTTTGGGAGTTGGATTTGGATCCTTATATCTACTCATCACTGAAAGCAACCTATCCAAAACAAAATTAGGTCAGTTTTATAATAAGATTTGAGAGTCATTGTACTTCAGCTTATAGAGATTATTAAATTTCAACCCCATGAGGCAGGGAGGATCTTCTTCGGTTCTTTCTTTATTGCCTTAGTTCAAAAGTCATACAATACCGACAGAGACTTTATTAAGAAAAGGAAATGAAAAATAGCTAAATCAACCTTGATTTAGTTAAAAATATATATAATGCAAGGCAATGACCGCCACTAAATTTACATTTTAGACTTCTGTGCAACATTTTGCTTTATATATCCAAGTAGAAATTTGAAAAATAACACTAAGATAATGGTATAAAAAGAAAAGGTGCTATGGCAAGCTATTGGAATTCAACCCATTTATAGTTTGTTTAATCCAATTTGTAAAGCGTACTGCCCAAGCCATTGAACCTACTTGTAATTTTTTTAGTAAATTTGGCTTACACCCTTCAAATTCAATTTGTCGTACCTAAAACCCTTCACTTTTTGTTTATATAAATAATACCCAATTTGTATAAGTAAAAACCCATGACTAGAATCCAACTCAGCAAGTTACCTAATTAAGCATAAAATCTTATTTATTGTACTTTTCAGATTCCAAAAATACCCCCAACTAAGCCATTATTGCATTTTGTATATTAATGTAGGAATCAATATGGAAACAGTTGTTAATTGAATTGTATATAATGACAGATGTTGAATTTGGAAAGATCTCCAAATGGTTGTAATGAATGTAGGAATTAATTTTGAAACATTTTAAAAAAATTTAACAATAAATTCAAATTTAGGTAATCGGGTTGTTTAATAAAATGTTTATGTTATTTTCTTTTTATGAATTATACATGACTAATAATCCACTTTATAATTGTTTATGAATAAAACTGTACATACTAATTATGTTGAAAAAATAATGTACCTATTACTTGTTTGTTTTATGAAAAACATAATTTACCTAGTATGAAAAGTGTACATAATTATCTATTCCAAATAATGTACCTATACACATTTACAGGTATATTGTAAAATAATTTACCTGTGGGTAAATAATGTACCTATATTTTATATAAATTATTGTGTACCTATTTTTAATTATGAAAAATATACGCAATTACAAAGTAACTGTTTTTTTTTTTTTTTTTTTTTTTTTTTTTTAATATAAAATATATATTTATATGTATATATTTATATTATATTTTTTTATAGGTACATTATTGGATATGTAATTTACATTTGTTTTTTTTTTTTTTTTTTTTTTTTTATTTTAGGGGCGAGATGTGAGAGGGAGATGACAACTAAAAGAAATGGGGTGATTGATATGCTATTAATAGGGAGTATATTAATTACAATTATGGCAGTTAATGAAATGCTTGAAATAAATTATAAATAAAATATGAAGTTTGGTGGCAATGATGTAAAAACATAGAAATACTACGATCTCTTATATCCTACTAGTCATTTAAATTTGAAATTGGGTTTTACACATAGATTTATAGAGTGATGGGTATATGTCTAGGAAATAGAAAATGTAGGAATCTATATTGGACAAGCCCAATTTTTTTTAATGCTTTTTACATTTTATTTATTTCTTTGCTAAAACAGATCCATATATAAAATGTGCTTTGGGGATTCAAAGAAGTTGAATCATTCTCTCTTCTCAGACATGGCTGATGAGGTGAAGCTCCATGGAGTATGGAACAGTCCATTTAGTTGCAGGGTGATATGGGCTTTGAAGCTGAAAGGCATCCCATATGATTACATAGAAGAAGATCTTCAAAACAAAAGTCCTGAGCTCCTAAAATACAACCCAGTTCACAAGAAAATCCCAGTGCTCGTTCATGGAGAAAGGCCAATCTGTGAGTCCATGATCATCGTCGAATACATAGAAGAAACATGGCCACAGAAGTACCCCTTGCTGCCCACTGATCCTTATGAGAGAGCCATGGCTCGGTTCTGGGTTAAATATTTCGAAGAAAAGGTACAAATATATATTCACATTGAATAACTATAACCCACTATTCTATTTTGATTTCTTGACCCTCAAATTAAACCAAAAATGCATCTTTTTGGCCAAGTAAAAGATCTGGTTTGTATAAGGACGTGGATTATGGGTAATTTCATTTACATGTTCTAGACGTGATTCCACATCATTTTTTGTGGGGCCAATAATGTAGATTTTTCCATATTTTTTGTGGGTAATTTCATTTACAATAGAGTAAAGTTTTTATGAAATGCTGGAGTTACTTGGAGCTGAAGCGTGGCTCCGTGCCTGCACATAATCAGTTCATAATAAACATTAGGATTAATTTGTCGATCACATATATATAATAATAATAACAGTCTCAATTAATTCTGGCAGAGTAATGCAATTTGGATGGTCTTCAGAACCACCGGCGAAGAGCAAGAGAAGTTCAAGAAAGAGAGCTTGGAGATGCTGAGAACCATCGAAGAGCACGCGGGCAATCTGGGAAAGAAGAAATTTTTCGGAGGAGACGAGATTGGAATAGTGGACATAGCCTTTGGGTGGATTGCTCAGTGGTTTGAAGTTGTTGAAGACGTGGTTGGGGTGAAGCTATTTGAAGCCCATGCATTTCCTTGCTTGCACGCATGGACTCAAAACTTCAAACAAGTGCCTGTGATCAAAGAAAATCTTCCTGATCGTGATAAAATGTTGGTCCTCTTTAAGAGTCACAGGGAATATTTGTTGGCGTCTCAGTGAGACTTGCAAAAGATTTCTGAGTGCTTCAACTTGTTTTGGTTCCTTTCCTTGTGGTTTATCCAAGGTTTATATTATCTTAAACTCGGGGACAAGAAATGGCCGGGATCCTTGTTTAGTTTCCTACCTTTCTGGGTTTCTATATTATGAATAAGAACATCTACTGTTGTCAAGAGCAGCAACAGACGATGTACCGTCCTCTTTAGTGGAATAATAGTTGTCAGTCGCATAGACAACGGTAAATTTTGAATTAGACAACGGCCAAAATCCGTCATTTATGACCTTCTTTTACTTGTTTAGAACAAAAATACTTGTCCAACATTGTAGTCTTTACTGCACTGATACATAGGTTCTAGGAATATCTAGTCTTTATTTAACTTTCCACTGCCTTGTCGCCTATCGATTGCTTACTTTTGGTTGATTGTTACTCTGGAGCATCTAAACATGTACGAGCACTTACACCTACATGTTCTCACACAGATATTTGAGTTAATTAGGTGCTAAACTTTGGGAATTGGATTTGGATCCTTATCTATCTACTAATCCAATCTCCTCCTAATCACTGAAAGCAACCTATCTATAACTAAATCCTATAGGTCAGTTATGTTATAATAAGATTTGAGTCATGGTACTTCAGCTAATAAAAATTAAATTTCTATTACCAAGAGGCCACTATGTTCAAACTCAAAAGTCATACACTAATGACAGAGACTTTAAGAAAAGGAAAATGGTTAAAATTAGTTAGATAAACCTTCATGATTTCAAAATAGCTATTTGAATTCAACCCCTTTATAGTTCTTTTTTTTAGTCAAACAAATCCGTTATAGTTTGTTTAATCCAATTTGTATAGCGTACTGCCCAAGCCATTGAACCTACTTGTCTTTTTTATTTTTATGCTCTTTCTATTTTTCTTTTGCTAAAACATATCATATGTAAAATGCTTTGGTGAGTCAAAGAAGTTAGATCACACACATTGTTTTCTCTCTCAAACATGGCTGAGGTGAAGCTACATGGAGTATGGAACAGTCCATTTAGTTGCAGGGTGATATGGGCTTCAAGCTTTATCAAACACCTTGAATGTTAATTAATTATTATTTCTGACATGTTAAACCCGTGAACTAATTCACAGTATACAAGGCCCAAAGAAGTCAGTAACTGGGAGAAAAACCCTAACCCCCTCTCTCCCAAAAAAACACTCTAGTGCCATTTTCACTTTGAGTTTCAAAAAAACACTCTAAACCCTAACCCCCTTTAAATAAATAAAAAAGAAAAGAAAAGAAAGAGGCACCTAGACTTGACTCTCAATTATGAAATAAATGAATTGAATTTGCTAGCAATAAATACGACTATTGTATGTTTGGTTTTTAAAGAAAAAGTGAGACGTGTATAGAATACGAATGTATTGTTGAAAAATACACACCAACATATGTATATATATATATATGCATACATATGTAAAAGACTATAGCCGCTTGTCTATACTATTTATTGAGGACAATTTAAAATAAAAAAATAAAAAAACCAATAACACCGGGCAGCTATACTATTTTCTAAAGAAAAAAAAAGAGTAGCCGCTGTGTGAAAATAGTATAGCCGAGCGGCTTTACAGTTTTAAAAAAATTCCAAAACTGAGTATAGGCTATACTATTTTTTAATATAAAAAAGGACACCCAGTCATTAGGCGGCCCGTGTCAACACCTGTCTTATTTCAAAAAATTTCAAAACTGAGAATAGCCGTGCGGCTATACGATTTTTATTTATAAAAAAAAGGACCCACATCCATTAGGCCCCACTTGTCAACACATGCCTTTAAATAAATAAAAACATAGAGTATAGCCGGGCAGCTGTACCTTTTTTTTATTTTTTAAAAGAAGAACGTCTATCGATTGAAGCCATGTGTCAAAAAGGTATAGCCGACCGACTATACCGTTTTTTATTATTAAAAAAAAATATCATAGTATAGCCGCACGGCTGCATTAGTTTGTACCCTATGGATGTTAATTTGCAACATATCCAAAGTAGATATTAATCTTCCATTATTTGATATTTTATACCATATGTTATTCTTATTCAATAATATGTGAGAATTATTTGTATAATACGTGAATTTTGTGTGTCTTACTGAAAATTTTGTAGAAAATACGTGTATAAAACATTAGAAATACGTACGTACATGTAGAATATGACTATTGTATATTTTCTTTTTAAAGAAAACATGAGATGTGTATAGAACACGAATGTATTGTTGAAAAATACATACCTATATCATAAAAATGAATGTATCATAAAAACACGAATGTATAATACGAATATATCATAAAAATTTCACTCCATTTCTTCTGTGTTTTATGAAAATATAGTACTTTTTAACTTTTAGCAACAATCCATTTTGAATAATTTTAGACGATTAAATCCTGCCAAGAACCTGGAAATGACTACTGAGCATTTTTTAAAATTGATAAAATAACACTTACGTAAGAAACCAATTTAAAAGCCAAACCCCAATATGATGCATATTGCATAAGTGCAAAAATCAACAACCAGAGAAAGCAATAAAATCATGTACTACCAATATCTTCATCATTCCGTAGGACAAAATCTAAGACTGAGTTTCAGAGAACCAACAAAAGCAATAAAACCAAGGATGAACAGACCTCCCAGATCGACTTCCACTCTTCAACTTATGCAGACGTCCCGAACTTCAGAGATGAGCATCTGCACCTCTTTGCTTCTCAACGGGTGAGCTAGACCGTGCAAGGACTACTTCACAGAGTATATCATGATCTCCAAACTCATCAGCAAGAGGCTCAAGGGGAACATCCCTAATGTTGCGCATACCACCAATCTTCTTGCTATCTACACCAACAAGATATTTGACCCTGGCAGATGACGCAGGAATAGCTCCTACTTGGGTCTTCTCAGCAGAAGGGAGCTTTGGTTCTTGTAAATTATGGCCAATACCAGGTATATAAGCAGTGATTTCAAATCCATAGGTTAAGCGTACTCTTGCAACTTTACGTAAGGCGGAGTTTGGTTTTTTGGGGGTGAGTGGAAAATTTTTTCAAAAAAAAAAAAAAAAAAAAAAAAAAAAAAAAAAAAAAAGGGGGGGGAAAAAAAAAAAAAAAATCACCGCAGGACCAAACTGAAAAAAATTGATTGAAAAAAAAAAATAACAACATCCAAATCCAACCCTCAACAAAATCAAACTCAGAAAACCAAAAAGAAGACTCGTTCCAATCTCAATTTTTACCTTATTAAAACCGGTCCAAATCAAACCTAACTGGTTATTTTAATTTATTTACTTTTATATTTTAAGCCGAATTTTTTTTATACCTTTAGCCCAATTGTTATCTAAATCCCTTAAACCCAACTTTATATCTAACTAAGCCAAAAGCCCATCAAATACCTATATCACTCCAAGCCCGGTGACCCTACCTTTCTCCCACTCTAAACCGTACCTCTCTCATCTCTCATGGCATGTTTACTAATCTATAATTGGATTAGAAATAATTGAATTGAGGGGAGTTAGATTCCGAATTCCTCTTGAAGTTTTTTACTAAACCATATGGAATTGAGATAGGAGAGGTACTAATTACTAAAATGTCTCAGTCATTGGGTTAAAGTAGATAGCAAAGAAGAGGAAGAGATGTGGAGATGAAGAAGCGCGGCGGTGAGGAGGAGAAAGAGGGGTGAGAATAAATGGTTGGAGAGAAAGAAGAAATAGATAAGAGGTGGATGAGTGAGGCGGTTGGGAGAGAAGGGGAGAGAGAGAGAGAGAGAGAGAGAGAGAGAGAGGACATAGGGTTAGTGAGAAAATAAAGTAGATACAGTTAGGATTATATATATATATTAATTTTGTTTGAAAAAGCTATGTATTTTAGAAGTTTGAAATCTCATGACTCAAACTTTTCAAATATTTAGTACTTTTTGCTATGTCGGTTCGGTTCAGTCGAACTGCTAGTTTGGAAGAATGAAACCGTGAGCCGAACCACCATATATTTGTTATGTTCAATTCGCCCATCGAAAATGAAATAATTAAGAAAAAGGTCGATCCATCAGTTAATCAGTTTCTCAATCTAAAATTCTAGCCCTAACAGAAGGCTCCAAAATCTCATACATATGGTCAAATATTTTTATTTTTTTAGTTATCTAATCTCAAAGTCGTACTTTAGTTAATTGAAAAAAGTATGTAGATCCCTAAGTTTTACTTGGATCGAAATTTGTTGAGGCCAACTTTGGTCAAATACAGAACACGAAACAACCCAAGACCTTGGGGAAAGATGAATGAATAAATAAATAACAGCAAATAAATAAGGCTTAATTATGTACATGCCCTCCGTGCTTTCAAACTTATCTCATATTACCACCTGTGTTTGCAAACATCTCAAAGTACCCTCCAACCTTTTAAAAACCGTCTCACGTTATCCGTTTCGTCAGTTTTTTTGACGTTCTGTTAAATTTTTGTTACTGTTCAAGAATAGAAGCCCCTCCCATTTGTTACTGTTCATCCGAACAGTTTTTGGGCCGTCATCTCCTCCTCCAGCCACCCCAAGAGACAGCATGAGTATCAAAAGAACCAGCATGTTGTCCTCTACCAGCCTCACATCTCAGCCGTTTCCAACCGCCGTCTGGATCGCCGAAACAAGCAAGAAATTGGCCGGTTTTTACCCAAAATTTTCATCGCTCATTCGGGCGATTCCGAGCACCATTTGCTTCGATCCAGGTATGGTTTTTCAACCTCTCGAGCTGTTCTTGTTGCTAGTTGTGTTGGTTAGGAGAAATTTCTGAGTTTTGGAGGGTAAATAATCGATTGAAAACCCGCCGGTTGGGGAGGGGGCTGTTCTCGTTCTTTGGGGGGGGGGGGGGGGGGGGGGGGGGGGGGGGGAGGAAAAAAAAAAGAAAAAAGGAAGTGGGGCCCAACGTTCGTAACCAAACGTCAAAAAAACTGACGGAACAGGTAACGTGAGACGATTTTTAAAAGGTTGGAGGGTACTTTGAGACGTTTGCAAACACAAGTGGTAATCTTAGATAAGTTTGAAAGCACAGGGGCCATGTACATAATTAAGCCAATAAATAAGGCTTAATTATGTACATGCCCCCTGTGCTTTTACGTTTTTCTCAGATTACCACATGTGGTGGAAAACGTCTCAAAGTACCCCCCCAACGTATAAATAACCGTCTCAATTTACCCCATCCGTCAAATTTCTTGACGGTCCGTTACGAACAGTGGGCCCCACTTCGTTTTAACCTTTAAGCTGTTCGAATAAGGGTTTCTCAGTTTGTAAGAAGGGGAAATTGGGTTTAGGGTTCATTGGAGAAGAGGAGAAGAGGGTTGTTGTCAAAATCTGAGGGTTTCCTTCGATTTTGGGAGAAATTGGAGAAGAAATCATTCTTTGTAAAACTCTGAGGTGGAGTTTGAAATTGGAAGGTTGTGGAGTAGAAGATTTGGGATGATGGAAACAGGAGAGAAGCAAGGAGAAGGAGGGCATGGCCAATGGTGTCATTGTGGGAAGTTAGCACGGATGCAGACTTCTTGGACCAGTTCAAACCCAGGGCGAAGATTTCTAGTCTGCCCAAAGTCAAAGGTAAGCATGTTTAAGATAAAATTTTCAGTCATTATTTTGGGCATCACAAATTGATAGAGTTGTTAGTGATGAAATTGTCAGTGATTGATGAAATTTTCAGTCATTTTACCACCCAAATTTTCAGTCATTGTTCTTGGTTGATACAGGGAAGGGGAGAAAAAGGATGTAGGTTTTTTCAGTGGTTTGATGCAGAAATGTGTGAGCGTTCAAAATCGTTGATACCTGGTTTGCTGAGGAAGATTGATAGGGTGGAGAAGGAAAATGCAAATATTCGAGCAAAGTCAAAATATTGTGGGCTGCTATGTTGCTTTCGTGGTTGGTGGTGTTTGCCATGAAGATGAATTAGGCACTTTGGCAGTAGTTCATTGGGCATTGTAATTTGATACCTGATGTTAATGTAATGTAAGGCATTTTGGCAGTAGTTAAGCATTTTGGCAGTAGTTAAGCACTTTGGCAGTAGTTTAATGGGCAAATTTAATTTGAGAACAAATGCTAATCTAATGTAAGACACTTTGGCAGTGTAATGTAATGTCATTTGGTGTAATGTAATGTAATGCTAGTTAAGTTTACTGGATATGTAATTTGTTTAGGGGTTACAAATGGTGACATGAATGGTAAGCTGTTTAGAGGTTACAAATGGTGACATGAATGTAATGCTAGTTAGTTAAGTAATGTAATGCTAGTTAGTTAAGTAATGTAATGCTAGTTAAGTTTGATATGTGATATGAATGGTAAATTGAATGGTAATTTCTTGATGAATGTAGAAGAAGATAACCAAAATTCAGTTTTCCCTAAAAAAGCAGGACCTGCCTTCTTTGCCAAAGTTTATGGTGGATATGTAGCTTTTGGTAACATGCCAAAGTTTACTGGAATCTGGAAAGCAAGAGGCAAAGCCCAAAACTAGCAAAAGCACCTGTCATTATAAGCACAAACCAAAACAGAAAAGGTTCCAAAACAGAACACAAACCAAAACAGGTTCCAACCATAACAGTCTTATGAATATATGCACAAACCAAAACAGGTTCCAAAACAGATTCCAACCATAACAACCTCAGGAAATATGCACAAACCAAAATAGGTTCCAAAATTGGTTCCAACCATAACATACATTAAATATTCAGGTTCCAAAACAGGTCCAACCATAACATACATCAAATATTCAAACCATAACATACATCAAATACATTTAAATGTTCCAAAACAGTAACATACATTAACAGGTTCCAAACATAACAACCAACAACCATTAAAGTCTTCCACAACATTCAAGGATGAAAAAAAGGATCTTTGACAAAATGGCTCCTCTGTTGATCTTTCATCCTCTTCCGACGTTGTTGTACTCGAGATAATTTGGCAGGTTCAGGTGTTTGAGATGGCTGGGATTGAAAAGCATCAGCTGCTTCAGATGGTTGGGATAGAGAAGCAGCAGCTACTTGAGATGCCTGGGATTGAGAAGGCCCTTGGGAAGTGCTTGACTGTTTCCTTTGCCTTAATTGCATACTCTGTTGTCCGCCACTTTGGTCTCCACCATCTCTCCTTCTTACCTAAAACAAATAATAATTAGAAGTTTCCATGATATAAAATTTTGATGAGTGAAAACATAGTTGAAACTGTGGCACTTACTGCAAGTTTGTCCTTGGCAATGTTCCTCTTCCTAGTAGGCTTTATGTTGGGATTTCTAGGTTCCTAATAACCAAAGTCATCAAGTCAGAAACCAAATCAAATACATTTAAATGTAAAGCAATAATTCTAAAAACCACATACCTTACAACTACTTCGATTATGCCCTTCTCCACCGCAATTGGCACACTTTAAAGGTAAACCATACCTAGGAAGCTTATATGGATTAGAAGGAAGTTTAGGTTCTTCAACAGCTTGTTTTCTTGTCTTCTTAGGCCTACCAGGCTGCTTGTGGTATTTCGGAGGGAGTAATGGAGGTAAATTAACCTTCATCCACTGATCTTGGCTAGTCATAGGCATAATCATTGGTTGATAGGCTCTCAAATAAGCCTCTTTCTTGTACACTGCATCACAAAAGTCCTCTGGATTCCCATGAAACCAACTTATTGCAGCACATGCATGCAAACATGGTATTCCATTCAAATCCCAAGCATGGCATGAACAAGAGTGGCCATTCAAATCAACAGCAAAGGTGCGGCCACTATGGTGCATTACTTCAAACTGATTCTGTCCAGCAGCCTTAGGAATGCACCACTGAGCTTTTGCTTTGTTTTTCTCTAATATCTTTCTAATTCTTGGCCCAACTTGTCCATGCCATTTCTCACAGAGAACCCTTCTTCCCGCCATCAACAACATTATATACAACCGAATTCTTTCTAGCATAGTCAGAATAGGCTTGTCTCGGGCATCCAGTATGCTACGGTTGAATGCCTCACATAGATTGTTCATAAGCATGTCACACTTGGAATCACTCTTGAAATATGCCCTACTCCAATGCCTAGGATCTTTCTCCATGAGCCAATCATGTGCAGGTTTAGACAACTGCAACATCTTTGTCATCTCTGCATGAAACCATGGCACTGTTGTGGCTCTAGCAATTGCTTCCATTTGATGTTTCAAGGCAAGACCTCTATGTTCCAAATAGAAGTTCCCATATAGATGTTTCAAACAATGTCTATGCTCTGCCTGAGGGAATAGAGCATTCACAGCATCTATTAACCCTTTTTGTTTGTCAGTCATAAATACATAACCATGGCTATTCGTAATATTGAGATCACCACTCAATAATTCTAAAAACCACAGCCATGTTGAATTGCTCTCAATCTCTACATATGCATAGGCAAGTGGAAACATTCCGTTGTTTGCATCAACTCCCATTGCAGAAAGCACTTGCCCAGGGTGAGGGCCCTTTGACATGACACCCATCCAAGCAAACCACAGGCCTACAACCATCTAAAAACCCCTTCTTGCAGGCTGCAAGACAGATGTAAATTCTTTGAAACCGTGGCCTATCACCTTCCATTTCAGATTTAATGATAACTGTACTTCCCACATTCCTGGTTCTTAACTCATGACAATATTCCCACAATACTTCATATTGTTTGCTGTAAGACCCCTCTACAATGTCAACTGCCATGGCTCTTGCTCTGTACACAGTTGCTCTAGATGGTCTGTAACCATAGTCTTGGTGAACTTGCTCTACAAAAGAAGAAGCAGTCCAATTTGGATTGAGCCTTAACTGCCCAGAATATCTTTCAGCCAACCAGCCAGCAGTAGCATGTATATTTTTAGTCCCCTTGCTACAAACATGTGTAGGATTAAAGGTTTTCACCTGCAGGTAAGTGCTACCACTAACACTTGAAGCATAGATAACAAAAGGACAGCCCTCTTCACATACTGCTCTTATTTTGTTACGGTCATTATGCATAAAAATCAACTCCCTTCCACAATTAATGGAGTATATCCTCACAGCTTTTCTAAACAACTCGGCAGTTGCAAACCTTAAACCTATTTTGAAACTTGGGCTTCCCATATCAATTTCAGGTCTGAAATCTTCACCTTTTGGCATCCTATTCTTCTTCCTTCTTACTTCACCCACTGCATCATCTTCACTTTGTGAACTATTTGGGCAGGTAAGTGTAGGTGACTCTTCTCCATTGTCTGACTCATCATTTTGCTCTGCATTAGGATCATTGTCAAAAATACTATGATCCACATAACCTTCAAACCACTTATCATCATTCTTCAATAATTCAATCTCTTCATCACTCTGTGCATAGTCACTGTCTTCAAAGTCTGGATCACTGCTATCATCATTCTCAGAACAAGAATATTCTTTATCACTGCTATCATTCCCCACTTGGCTTGAAGTTAAGCTCACTACCTTCAAGTACAAAACTACAACCCTGCTATTGCTTTTAGGTACCATGCTCATACAAGCTAAAAGTGTACTATCAGATATTATTTGAATGAGTCTGCTAGTTCCAAACTCTTCACCATAAAAACTCACATCATACCCATCGTCATATCCCAAATCTTTAGCCATTCCAAATAGCTCTAACATGGACATATAGTCAACCTCACAGTAATCAAACCAACTGACTTCACCACCTAAATAAGACCACTGACTGTCCTTTCTATTTTTCACTAGTTTACCTCCATGGAAAAACTTAAATGTGACAACCTCATCAGCATCTTTATCTGCGTAATAGGAACATTCACTTAACAAATGGAAAAAAACACACAAAGAGAAAAGAAGGACCACACAAAGGATAATACAAGGAACACCCAAGGACCACATAAGGTATATTGGGGCCAGCACAGAATAAAAAAATATATGAAAGAACAAAAAAATTTCGAGCAACACACCACACTAGGAACATGCAAGGACCACACAATGATCACACCAGAACCAGCAGAGTCAAAAAGTATACAAAAAACAAAAACAAAATCCTAACAACAGTTCAATGCACATGCCAAAATCAAGAAAATCGAGTAACAATGGGTCCACTTACATATGGGTTGACAACCTCCAGATTCTCTAAGCACCACCATCTTCGCACCTTCTAGCCTTAGAGTCTAACGCCAACGAATGATTTCTTCTCCAATTTCTCCCAAAATCGAAGGAACCCTCAGATTTTGACAACAACCCTCTTCTCCTCTTCTCCAATGAACCCTAAACCCAATTTCCCCTTTGTTACAAACTGAGAAACCCTTATTCGAACAGCTTAAAGGTTAAAACGAAGTGGGGCCCACTATTCGTAACGGACCGTCAAGAAATTTGACGGATGGGGTAAATTGAGACGGTTATTTATACGTTGGGGGGTACTTTGAGACGTTTTCCACCACAGGTGGTAATCTGAGAAAAACGTAAAAGCACAGGGGGCATGTACATAATTAAGCCAATAAATAAAGATGTTAAAGTTGAATAAATAAATGTATATTCAACTGAAAACGCAATAACTTGGGGAAAGATGAATGATCATTATCAAAGTGCTATAAAATAATCACCACCATTGTAGTTAACTTTGACTTTTGTGCAAATTGTTGGGTTCATCGAAACAGCAATTTGAAATTAGCACACAAATAATAATATAAAAAGAAAAGGCTACGTACGGTACATGGATGACAAGCTATTTGAATTCAACCCCTTTACATCGAAATTGTAAAGCTTGCAGACCAGGAAATTGGACCACTTATATATAAATGATTTAGTGTGCCAAATTACACAAGCTCTTAACACACTTTGTTCTCTCTCAGTCTCAGACATGGCTGAGGTGATCAAGCTACATGGAGCATGGCCTAGTCCATTTAGTTGCAGGGTGATATGGGCTTTGAAGCTGAAAGGCATCCCATATGAGAACATAGAGGAAGATCTTCCGTACCGAAAAAGTCCTGAACTTCTCAAATACAATCCAGTCCACAAGAAGATCCCAGTGCTCGTTCATGGAGAGAAGCCAATCTGTGAGTCCATGATCATCATCGAATACATAGAAGAAACATGGCCAGAAACACCCTTACTGCCCGCTGACCCTTATGACAGAGCCATAGCTCGGTTCTGGGTTAAATTCGCTGACGATAAGGTACATTTGACAACTCTACGACTTCATATGTAATGTTAACCCAGTAATTTATATTGACTTATCTTTTGACTTTTCAATTTAATAAAAAATGATTAACTTCATTTCATTGAAAGAGGACATTGGATCAAGAAAGTTAAATCAAAAGATGTTTCTTTTTGGCTTTGAGCTCTACATATGAAAATAACTATATTCTAAAAACAGTCTTAAAACTTAATATGTTGCTATGCACTGAGTTGTGTTTGTCACGCGTTCTTCTCGAGACGATGTGTCATAGGCCCAAATTGGAGCTCGGAGCCCAAGTTTTGTTGTTTGTGGACTTACTCCAACTAGCTGCTCTCAGTCCATTCAGCCATCCTTCTACGTCAAGAATTCAAATTGACAATCTGTGGAAAACATTATATGACCGTCTTGAAAAAAAAGATTCTTTTAATCTACATATTTCAATGTCTATAATTCTGAACAGGGTCCTTCAATTTGGATGGTCTTCAGAACCACCGGCGAAGAGCAAGTGAAGTTCAAGAAAGAGAGCTTAGAGATGCTGAAAACCATCGAGGAGCACGCGGGTACTCTGGGAAAGAAGAAGTTTTTTGGAGGAGACAACATTGGAATAGTGGACATAGCCTTCGGAGGGATTGCTCATTGGTTTGGAGTCATTGAAGACGTGGTTGGTGTGAAGTTGTTTGAAGCCCAAGTATTTCCCCGCTTGCATGCATGGACTGAGAACTTCAAACAAGTGCCTGCAATCAAAGAAAACCTTCCTGATCGTGATAAATTAGTGGTTTTCTATAAGCAGATGAGGGAAAACTTGTTGGCATCTTCGTGACACTTACATGGAGTTCTGCCAGTGTTTCAACTTGTTTTGGTTGCTTCTTGGTATTTTAGTAATAATCGTGAGATGCAGTGGTTTATAAAGATAGGAGGATTTGTTTGCATTCCTAGTTTATGTTATCTTCAACTTAGTGATTCAAATTGCCTTTTAAGCACAAGCTTTATCAAACACGTTGAATCTTAATTAATTATTATTTCTGACATGTTAAACCCATGAACTAATTCACAGTATACAAAGCCCAAAGAAGTCAGTAACTAGGAGAAAAACCCTAACCCCCTTTCACACAAAAAATAAAAATAAAAACAGAGGAGAGGCGAGGTGTGGTTGGGGAGGAAGGGAGAATAGAGAGAGACGACAGGGGGGATGGAAAAAAAAAATGAAAATTTCAATTTTCTTTCTTTATTTTTTTAATTTTTTAATATTTGGTAGGAAAGACCCTTGATTTTTAATGGTTTATTTTAAAAGATACACAATTTTGTATAATTTTTTCCATTTTTAAACCACCTTTTAAAATGAAAAGACTAAAATACCCTTAATCATGGATGAAAAATTAGATGATGTTAAAGTCATATGACAAATCATGGATTTTGAAAAATTAAGGTGACATTTCTCTTAAATTTTTCTTTAAGGTGACAAATTAAAACTGATATATAAGTTCATGTGACATTTCTACAAATATCCCATCACATACACAAAAAAAAAAAAAAAAAAAAAAAAAAACCTAGACTTCTCTCAATTATGAAATAAATGAATTGAATTAGCTAGCAATATATTAGGTTATAAATGATGAAAACGTCTGCCAATAAAATATTAATTTAAAAAACAAGCTGGCATAGAATACTGGAGTGTGCGAACACGTGTTTTTTTATTTATTGAGAAAAACTGAAATTGTTACTGAGGTGCAAGAGGTATATTTAAACTCTAATCTAGTAGACCTATAACAACAATGATCAAGTGTCCTAGTAGCAGTATGGCTAGTCAACAACTAATCATAGACCTATGAGAAAGCAAACAAAATACAAATTTACCACATATCAAGTATCAAACCTGCAAATATAGAAGAGATCTATGTGACACTACAGGGTTCGTCAATCTAGGAATCCATAGTTCTAGCAACAACTATTGTGAACAATGTGTCCATTCATAAATCACAAGAGTATCAGACAAATTATGACTAGTCAAATAGATAAGACACACACCAGAAATTCTTCGCTTAGAAACCCAACATTCAACAAGCATCAACTTAGAAAACATGGTGGCCTAGAAACCCTGAGAAAACTGGGGTCCATCAATTTGGCTAGCCAACCCACTAAGCAAAGAAGGTTCTTACAGAAGAAGCAACACAAGCTTAAGATATCCTAGGTCTATTTAGGAAATGAGCACTACCTGCATGTGTAACCTTCTTTTCCAACTTAGTTGAGCTAGAAACTAGTCTTTCATGTAAGTGGCAGCTAGACCATCAGCTCCTTCACTCCATGGCACCGGCGATTCAGCTCATGTTCGAACAAGAACGATGGAATATAAATTGAAAAAACTAACAAGGATCAATTCCTTCAAGAAACCATATTCTTGAAGAAATCAATCAAGAATCTGACCTAGACTAGAATGATGTGGTGTTTGCAATGCTAGATGCAGACTTCAAAGAGCAAAGCAGATTTTAAAAGCCATATAAAAAATCTCATAATGAAAAACCCAAATCTCACACAGAGAAAGAATGCATAGAAGGATTACTCTAACTTTCCACAATAATGCATGAGTACTTAAGATTTCAGGGTATTGAAACAAAAATTTGGAAATAATTTTTTCATTGAAAAACCCATATCTCAAGAAACCGTGAACCCCTCTCACTGAAAATGGCAGAGGCAAACAAATGCCTCTCAACAATCCCAAATGAAAGTGTTGGCCTCAACAATTTAGCCCCGATGTTTTTTTATATTGGGCAAGCCAAGGGGACACTTGGTAGCCAAGGATTTGTGTAGGAATAAGACAAAACATTAGGTGACAATCCACAGCTGAATTAGAAGATAAGCTCACATGATTTTTAAAAATTGACAAGTCAGAAAATTTCACTTGATTAAAAATCCGGTGCTGGAAACATTTTGCCTATATTGACTAGTCATCTAGACAAAATATTTTGAAGCAGATGTTGATTTTATTAATGATTCTAATTACAAATGAATGCACAAATCATCTTGGTTTTGTAGCCTCAAGCTCTTCAATGCATTTCAACATTCTAGAAAATGCCCAAGTTCTAATTTCTAAAGATAAGCTAAGAGGAATGATGTGACAATAACACGTGATAACCAAAAGATGACTAGGGATGCATATTTGACTAGTCATACAGGAGAACACTATAATGCATGCAATGCACATATTATTACTTTCACTCATGAGCTTGATTACATTGAGCCATTATGAAGTTAATTTTAGCTACATTAGTCAACTTAGCACCAACTTGAAATAGCCTAAATTCTTTGACTTTGATTGCGCGCGTGCGCGCGCGCACACACATATATATATATATATGAGATTCCAATTTGGAAAGCTAAAACATTAGTGAAACAAAACCTAACAAAAATTTTTTTTTTTTTTTTTTTTTTTTTTTTTTTAAAGTAGTATATAAAAATAAAATATAAAAGGTATAACTATTGAATGAAATGATTGGGATTCGAACCTGAGCTGCATACAAAAATTGAGGCATTGAAAATCAACTCAAAAAATGGGTGCATACTACTAATTTCAAGTTCGAACCCCCATAACACTTTTGTAGTGGGTGTGTGTGTGTGTGTGTGTGTGAGAAACCTTTCTCTTCCTTGTACTTGAGACTATTGCTTGCATTATTGGTCCCTTATATTACACCTCACATCAATTTGGTCCCGCCGTCAAGTTCCGTCAAAATTTTCCTTTAGATTGCTGATGTGGACGCCACGTGGATTAAACAATGTTTTAAACATTTTGGTTTTATCATAAATGATCCTAGAGGTTTGCGAAATTATCACCTTTAGTCCTTTAATTTTGTTTCTGATATTATTGGTCCATTATTTTTTTTTAAAAATAGTTTAACATTTAAAATATTTTTAAAAAAAAATTTAATAAAAAAAGAGAAACATTTCAAAACATAATTTTTTTTAATTCAAATCCACTTGGCATGTTATTATTGGACATCTAGACTCCATATAAATGTCACGTCGAATTTGTTATGTTCTGTTGAAATTTTTGTTAAATTGATGAAAATTTCAACATAACCTAACGAATTTGACGTGACATGTATGTGGAGTCTACATGTCCAATAATAGCATGCCAAATGGATTTGAATATAAAAAATATATATGTTTTGAAATTTTTATCTCTTTAAAAATTTTTTTTTAATAAATATTTTAAATGTTAAACTAGTTTTGAAAGTGTTTAGGGTTTTTCAACAAAACCTAACAGATTGACATGACATGTATGCCTGCCCGTATAGTCTATTTGTATATTTTAATCATTCAAATTCCCCGATGGGTTTTTTTTTTTTGGAGGTTTTTTTAAATAAAAAAATTATTTATTTTTTTTTGACTCCATGTTTTTTTTTTTTTTTTTTTTTTTTTTTTTTTTTTCTTTATCATTTACATCCACTTGAAATTTTCTCATTGTCTATGGTGTGCACCACATATGTGTCATGTCAGCAATTTAACAACAAAATTTAACGAAATCTCACGGTAAGATCAAATTGATGTGTGAGGTGTAACATAAGGACCATAGTGCTGCAAACCAGGCACTACGTGTACCACCAAGAAAAATATAACTAGTTGTAATTTCCTGTTGGCTTTCCATTTATTCTCATAAAATTGTCTCTACGTTCTATGAACCTCATTACCTACCACATTATTTCTAAAAAAATGTGAGGCCATATAGAACCTGACTAGCTACTATAAAAAAACGACTTATATCCTTTGTGTGTTGCCACAAGAAAAAAAAAACTTCGTCAAAGAAACAGCCATGGCTTCGTTCAATGGAAAGGTAGTGTTGCCCATGCTGCTTTTGTGGTTCACAGTAACCATGTGTGCTGTAGGGCAGCTTGCTCCTCCAAAGATGAGACATATTAAAATCACAAATGAGTTGGGTGGAGACTTGGCCCTTACCTTTCACTGCAAATCCCCGAAGAGAGATTATGGTGTTCAAGTACTTGGCCCTCATGCCTCCTCACAGTTCAGTTTTAAGCCAAACATCTGGGTGGTGGACACGGAGGTTTCCTGCAATTTTCAATGGCCAAATGAATCTCACGATTTTGTTGTCTTCAGACTCCAGAGAGACGTTGAGCAATGTATTGATTGTTTCTATAATATTTTACCAAACGTGGTATGCAGGTTCGACGATGATACCGGCGCTTATGACGATTGCCTTCCCTATTATAACTAACGTACTCTGTCATCTGGAGTCATGTATTGGATTCTTAGTAAATTGATTACCTCTGGGTTGGTTGTTATGTGCAAAATGGAGAATATGAGCTGAACATATCTCCATTGATGAATTTATATATGAATAAATAATAAGTTTTTTGTTGTTGTTGGGGTAAGTGAGTTTGATGGTGGCAATTGAGCAAAGCATAGATTGAATGGACTTCAAAAAAATGGTCTTTTAACGCAAAGTATTCCTAAAGTTCTCACAAGTAGTCCCTACAGTCAATCTGTGTCGAGAAATGTGGCGCATATGTGGAAGTCACATATCCAATAATATTATTCCAGGTAGGTAGTTTTACATGGAAAGCTGAACAAGCAAAATTTTATTGGCCATTCTTCCATCCTAACTTGTTTTGCTATATCTTCCTAGAAAATTGTTACTAGGTTCGATGAACCACACAAATTACCATGAAATTACAACTCAGGAACTACCAAGTGTGAGACCATATGGAACAACTATTATTATTTATAATTAAAAAATAAAACATAAAAAAAGAACATGACGCAACTAAATGTTTTTCGACCAAGATAAAACTTCTTAAAATTAAGCATGGCTTCTTTCATTGCAAATGCAATTCTGCTAATTTGGCTCGTTCACAACAACCAAGGAGAAAACATGTTAGAGTCACAGATATGAGGGTGGAGATTTGACCCTCAAAGTTCACTGCAAATCCAAGGATGAGGTGTGAAACTGCTCCCCCTCATGCGCCATTTGAATTTAGTTTTTGGACTACCGTGATTGGCTACACACAATTCTGTTGCAGTTTTGATTGGCGAGGTGTTTCTCACTATTTTGATGTCTATGTAGACGAGAGACCGAGATAGGTGTAAGAAGTGTTACTGGGATATACTACCAAATGGTCCATGCATGTATGCGAAGTTCTTTGGGTGGAACCCTAAGTACATGAGTTGGGTTAATCTTTCCCAACAAACATGCATGTATGGGAGACTACTAGTCTGCATCTCACGTACTTTTTTCATTGGACTACACTCCGTTGATATGTCTTGAACTTAGAGCATCTCCAAAAGAGTATGCAAATGAAGTAGGCAAAATTGTACTATAATAAGAACCTAGGTGGCACGCCCATTTGCCTCATGGAAAAAGGTGGTCGCTATAAGGGACTAGGCAATGCAAGTCACTCCAAGGGGTGATTCGATTATATATATGATTTATATCTAGAATAAAAATACTTATCTTAAAAAAATAAAATGAACAAGAAGAACTAAAAATTAAAATTGTTTTTGGGGGCGATGCGCAAATTGAAGTGCTGGTAAATTATATATTCTTGTTCTTTTAGCGAATAAGCTTTTGCATCTCTATGATTGTGAAAAATCTGAAACTTTATAGAGTTATGCTTTGGAAGTTCGTTTAACAGAACCACTGTTCTTTTAAGATTAAATGTTTGCTACGTCTATTTTCAGTAATGAGTTTTGATTTCATTACATTTTTGTTATGTTTCAATATATTTTATTTTTATATTGGAAAATCAATCATCCAATTCAATTTAACCCATTTAAAATTTTGTATATGATTTATTTTCCTCCTCTTCCAAATTTTGTATTAATAATTAAATGGTATTTTAGGAATAATGATAAGTGGAAAGAGCGTGTGAGAAAATAAGATGGGTGGGGAAATAGAGCGGGTGCGGAAATCCAAGAACAAGAAAGTTCCATTTCTGTAATTTGGTTGTATGAAAACTGAAAGGCAGTTTTACATTCTTAATTAAAAATATTTTACATGGAAAGCAGAGCAAGCCAAATTTTACTATTCTTCCTTTTTAACTTGTTCTCCCATATCTTCCTAGAAAATTGTTAGGAGGTTTTTAGATCTAGGTCCAAAAAGATTAGCTGTCATTGGATTTAGTCCACACGTTTTTGGTTTTAGATGGAGGTCCTTTGATTTTTATTACTCTTTTTATTGTGTCGATTTTACCCTTTGAGTTAAATAAGGAAAACATAGAAAATCTAAATTTAATGAATTATGTACTTGTAATTAAATTTCAGAATTTAAATTTGGAATTCTTTCATTGATAATATTTACCTAATATATGGGTAAAATACAAATTAATCGATGAAAATAAAGGCCCACATATTATACTAATCAATTAGGCAAGCACCCACATTAAATTATGTACCTAACATACAGGTAAATAGTATTCTTATTAGCAACAAAAAAAACTTCGTGATAAATCATGTTACCTATAAGTCATGAACATAAATTAGAATACTACATATAAGTTAGGAACATATATTAGAAGACTACCTATAAGTCATATACAAACATAGACAAATAAAATTGTATGTTACCTATAAAAAAAATGTACATAAAATACTATTATTCATTGTCTAAAATATGAAAAAACACATATATACCTATGCAATAGGCAATATACCTACACCATAGGATAATTTATCTACAAAAGTATATACTATACCTCTACCATAGGGTGAACAAAAATAAAAATAATTACCTATAGCTTTTCGAAGAAAACGAAAGGGGAAAGGAATCTTGTAATATGGAATGCCATGATCTTGGGTCACATTCAAAATCATCAGCATGAGGAGGCTTTAGAATTATATGTGGCAATGTACAGATTGTCAATTGATCGTACAAGATAAACATTCTCTACCATAGGATATATATATATATATATATATATAAATGAAGAAAAGAGGAAGATGGAGAACAAAGAAGAAATGGAGAAAGAAGAAGATAGAGATGAAGAACAAGAAAGAAAAATGTGCATTTGGTTAATAAGCTAAATTCAAGGAGAAATTGTATCTCCAAACGAATAAATAATCCTAAAGATATGTGCAATAATAAAATCCACGTTAAATAGGAATTTGAGTCAGGGAAAAAAAAATGAAGGTTCACATTTACATTCAAAATGTAATTATTCCTTTAAGGCATTGTTTACGTATCAATAATGGAGAAAGTAAGGAATCAGAGAATTTAGGAATCAAAGAAGTACTGAATCAGTATGGGAAAAATCATTCTCATTAAGCTGTTTACTAAACATATGGAATTATCAAAGGAATGGGGTTGATTCCCATTGTTATTTTTTACTAATTTTCATGAATCAGAATCCAAATTAATTTAATTACTAAAATGCCCTGCATATTTTCACCACAGCACATATATAATTCTCAAATTAGCTAAGAATACCAAACTAATCATGCAGCAAACCAGTAAGGCGATGTAAATATGAGGAATCAATATGCTGAACAAGATGAATAGTAACAACTCTGTTCAATGATAATGTTAATAACACATTCGTCCAGAGCCAATTTCAAACGAAAAATAAACTCCAATAAATATATATTTCACCTACGTAACTAGTAAACAACCAAATGAAAAAGAAGTTGGGGTGTCTTTGAACTTCTTGGAGTGAGTTTTTATTTTTTTAGGTTTGGGTGTTTTGGAATTATAGTAAAGTGGTAAGGGTATTTTTGGAAGTTAATAAGGGAAAAAAGGAATGAGAATCGTATCGACTACCCCCTACTAGTTGATCTGATACCTAGTTTTGAGGGGATGTGATTACGGATTTTGAGGTGGGGTCCACTTATTTTTTTCATTCCTGATTACAAGTAAACGTAGGGGAAGTCAAAAATGGAAATCATTCCCTCCTATACCCATTACTGATACGTAAACATGCCATAATTGTACATGATCAAATCTAATCATTAATGGCATATAAATTCTCATCTTACTCATTTTAGACAACAGGGATATAATAGGAAAAAAAAATTAAATACAAATCAGTTAAATACAAAAATTTGAATCAACATGTCAAAAATGGAATGTAATCTACGTGGCAGACTAGTCAAAGGACTTGTATCAACAAACAATAATTCAAGGACTAGACCCAACTATTGATTGAATTCGAGGACTTGTATCAACTATTAATTCGAGGAAATCCAAGAACAAGAAAGTTCCATTTCTGTAATTTGGTTGTATGAAAACTGAAAGGCAGTTTTACATTCTTAATTAAAAATATTTTACGTGGAAAGCAGGGCAAGCCAAATTTTACTATTCTTACTTTTTAACATGTTCTCCCATATCTTCCTAGAAAATTGTTACCAGGTTCCATGAACCTCACAATTTACCATGAATTTACAGCTCATGCACTATCAAGTGTGAGACCAAATGGCACAACTAGTAACTATAAGAAACCATGACAAATACAAGTGTTTTTGGACCGAGATTGAAACTTTTTAAAATTTGCAAGCATGGCTTCGTTCATTGGCTATGCAACTCTGCTAATGTTGCTCTTGTTCTTCACATCAACCATGTGTACTTGTGGAAAGAGCTTTTTTCCAAAGAGAAAACATGTTAGAGTAAAAATGAGCTGGTTGGAGACGTGACTCTTACAGTTCACTGCAAATCAGGGGACGATGATCTTGGCGTGAAAGTCCTCGCGCCTCATGCCGCCTTCGAATTTAGTTTTCGGCCTAAACCATTTTTCACTACACGATTCTACTGCAGTTTTGAGTGGCCAGGTACATTTCACTATTTTGATGTCTACATAGACAAGAGAGATCGAGAAAGGTGTAGGCTGTGTTACTGGGATATACTGCCAATTGGCCCATGCATGTATGGAAAGTGCTTCGGGTGGAACCCCTCTGAGATCGCTTGAAATAATGTATTGATTAATCGGTGATTTGATTCTGCCTGGTTCAGTTCTTAGGCGAAATGAAAGATGATATTATGTACCAGTTATTATATATGGGGAATAAAGATTGATTAAGAGAGTTTGATTGTTCTGTTTTTTCGTAAGATCAGTTTGATTGTTGTGGTGCGCCATCATATTCATTTTTTTTATTGTCAAAACATTAAAAGGCAATGTATGGGTTTCAAATTCTGGGTACTACATTTGAACCCTGTTGATGCTCTTTTTGGGAGGGTCAACTTAGATAGAGGTAGAATGGTGGATGATAGGTGAAGGTGAGGACCTTCAGCATGTGTATGAAGATTTGGGCAAGCGATAAATATAAAGAAGACGAGATATACATGGTTCACCCTTAATGAATGGGCTATATCCACGGAGAAGTATATTCTCATTATGATAATGTTTGTTTACATTTGAACAAGGGGATTAGACCCAAAGATAAAGATAACAAGTGAGAAGCCCAGCCCAGTCATCCCTTCCTAAGTGGAGAGTGGTCTCCTTTTATAGATGAGGGGCAGTCTCCATCTCTTGTAGTCTTCCAATATGAGACTCCTTACCTTGCTTAGATTTGTGACTTGTGGTAATGCTTCTTTGGTTAAGGTGATAACCTTTCATAGCATGGCACGTGGATGATCTAGCCTAGCTAGTTGCTTGGTTAGTCACGGTACAAACAAACCCAGAAATATTAAACAACTCTAGAGTTATGAACAATTTCCTGACTTTCACACTTTAATTCTAATTCATTTTAGTTTTAGAATTTAAAATTAGAAAAGTTAAAATAATAATAAATAAATAAATAAAAAGATTGGTTCATTCAGCTAGTTCAACCATACCTAACCATGCATGTTAAGTTTGAGAGAGATGGGTAAGCAGCTCACTACTAGCAACAACATTATTGTCCCCAACTTAACCACCTACAAAGCTTAGTAGATATGATGTTTTATCACAAAGGACCTCAATGATATTAGTAGTGGAACCATTCATTATATGTTGAATTTTTATTTAGTCAAGTTTTTGATGTGTTCTTTAACACGCCCCTCATGTGAAACCGCCACATAGTGGGCCATACGTGGAGCCAAGTCCACATCGGAGTCAAACATTCAAGCCCGACACTTGAATACCATGTATTGAGTAAGCGGTAAGGGTAAACATTCAAGCCCAATGTGAACACCACATATTGGGTAAGGAGGGTAAGGGTAAAGGCCTAGTAAATCAACCCGCTCTGATATCATGTTAAGTTTCAGAAAGACAGGTTAGCGGCACACTATTTGCAACACCGATATTGTCCCCAACTTAACCACCTACAAAGCCCAGTAGGTGTAGTGTTTTATCACAAAAGATCTCGGTGATATTAGTAGTTAAAAAATAAAAAGAAAAAGAGAAGGGAGAAAGTTTGGGTGAGAGAGGAGATGTAGCGAGAAACAAGGGAAATACACAATTCATTTGAAAGTCATCAGGATCATCTGCATAATTTTTTTTTTCTTCTTCTTCCTTTATGCAACATCTCCTCCTAACAGAACTTAGAGCAAAAAGGCCCTACCCTAAGCATATATGCACGAGTGTTGCTAGATTTGTATTTTCCAGATTCACTATATTACAAATAAACTATATTACAAAAATTCATAGTACCTGTTTATATGTAATTGTCCCTTAAGTTGATTATTTAGACTGCAAATTGTCTCCTCTAACAATAGAGACAATGCAGCCACCATTCTCTGAGTTTACCAGTTTGGTGTAGCTGTTGCTTATAGGGTACCATTTAGATTATAAATTGTCTCCCCTAGCAATATTGCTTGGTATTATAATCAAAGACGCGAGGAACAACCAGGAAAGTTGACATGGACGACAGAGGAATCATTTCCTGAAACCACTCATCATCTCAATTGACATAGGAAAGATAATTTTTTCTTAAAAAATATATAGGCGAAAGAGAAGACATCGTTACAAAGGTTTTGGAGACATGTTAGCTTGATAAGAGGTAAGATTTTGGGGAAAGATGTTGCAGAGAAAGGAAGAAGGAAAAAAAAATTATCGATACAGGACGTTAGGTGTCCATCACTTCATTATTTTGTTGTTTCTTCTTTCCTGTGAGAGTATATATGAGAGGCCTTGATCTGCCGTGGTTCTTTGAATGTTTTTGTGAGCCTTTGGATGAAGGCTGAGTGTTGTAGTGTATGACAAATATGAAAACTCTAGAGTCGGACTGTTTGACATTCTTAATTAAAATTATTATACTGGGAGTGTTAAACAAACATAATAATTATTATCCTTCCGTTTTTACCTTCATTTTCCAATATTTATTCCTGGGAATTTGTTAATAGGTTCAATGAACGTCACATATTACCATAACTATTAAAATTCCAATTCAGGACTATAAATAAATAGACAAAAACATGAACATCTTCATCCAGTTGTGCGTTCTTCCACAAACGTAAAATCTTTAATTCGTTAAACACAAGCATGGCTTCCTTCCTTGGAATGCTGCTAATGATGCTTTTGTTGTTTACAGGTGCAGCAGAAAGTTCTCCTGACAAAAGGTATCTGAAGCTCACAAATAATCTGACTGGAAACTTGAACCTTACGCTTGACTGCGCAGCCAATTTAACTGCCATCGGTCAGCAAGTGCTCCCGCCTCATGCTGCCTTTGAATTTGGTTTCAACCGCCACGCCACTATCTCCTGCTCCGCTGAATGGCCAGGTCTACGTTTATTTTCGTGGTTCTATCCCTATTCACCCGAGGACCACCAGGACAACTGTACTTACTGGAAAATAGTGCAAGATGGCCCTTGCATGTTTAACTCTACGACCAAGAAGGAAGATAGCCTTCCATGGATGCGTGATGATGATGAGTAGTTAATCAAATTATATATGATGGTCTTGAATTATTAGTTAATAAATCTTCCGAATTATGTATGAGTCGGTTATTATGAGACTAAATATAATAAGTATGAGGTTTGATTGTTGGGTTTTATTATTATTATTATTATTATTTTCAAATGCATGAGTTTGGTTAAGAGATGAATAATTTCTTAACATTCTCATGTTACTCATAATTTATTTTTATTTTGAAAATTCAAAATTACTAAAGTTTTAAGTTAAAAATCTTTAAAAAAAGAAGTTTTAAGTTATAAATAAAAAATAAAAATAAAAAAAGAAGAAGAAGAAGAAACTAGAGGAAGTTGAGGCTGACCTTGCTAGGTCTCTCAATTTTCTAATGTGAGACATTTTCACCGTCACATTCTCACAAAAACAAATAAGCAAAGAAAATGAAATGACCAATGGAGTTTTAGTTGAATTGGCTCAGACCTTTGATGTGCTTCCAAGTGGTCCTGTGTTTAAGCCTCTTATATGGTACCTGTGTGTGTGAGTATCCTCACTCCTCCTTCCTAAGTTTGACAAAAATAAAAATAAAAAATTTCAAACATACTAAAAAAAATAATAATAATAATTAATGTTGTATGTCAATCATGGCTCGAAAATAACGAGAGGATGCGAGAAACATAGAACAAAATTCAAAAATGCAAATTTTACATATAAAAGAATTGGTAAAGTTCAAATTTTACCCAAATCTGTAAAAGGGCGAAGGAAATTAAAGAAATGGCATCGGTGCCGGTGCTTGAGTCAAGCATTTGCCAAAAATTCATGTACGAAAAATAAATAACAAATGGTGAGAAAAATGAATTGAAGGGCTTGGACCGTTTGACATTTTCCTTTTTTATACGTTTCCTTTTGAATGGCTTGTTGAGGCAAACATTATTAACTGCATTAACTCAGGGAATTAACTCAATAAAACGGTCACGTTTCACTTATAATTAGCACATGAATATTTGTGTAGTGGTGGATTCGAATCGAATTTGTTAGATTAAAGGTAATAAGTCAAAGAACTTAAACAAATAGCAATAATTAAAATAGTGATTAAAAATATTCATCTAAAAGAAACTAAGAATTCATTAAATAACATTAAAAATCATAACTATTCATGTTCGGGCATCATCCTTGCCCTAGAGAATAATTAAGTTACTCATGTTCAAAGAAAACTAAATGAAAAAACTAGAAAACATAAAATAAAACTTATGGGTTGTGATGATGCTCAAGAACTTGATGATGGTAGCGGCTTCTTTGATGATCTTTCGACTCCAGCATCCAAGAACCCTATTTTTTGGTCTTCTTTAAATAAGGAGCAAATCTTCTTTTGACTTGGTAACTCCGTTTTCCTAGTTTGGCTTCAATTGTCTTTGATGAGTTGTCATCCAAAATCCTACTAGATATAGGATTAGATCTTAGAAAATAAACCCACATCCTTGCAACACCCGTAGAACACATTTTGCCTAAACTGTCTATATTAGAACGGCCACAACTCTCTCCACACACATTCGAATCATGAATCACAAAATTCTACAGAAAGCTAACATTCGTATCTTTCCAACGATATAAAGATCAACATCTTGTTCACTCTAAGGAAGTACAGTACAGTATATTCCATGAAGTTGTTTGATCTGCACAGGACATTCTTGCGAAACATCTTTCAATCCCAAAAATGATCATTTTGCTTGCTTTTTCATCTTCATTGTTCAAACCTAGTAAAACACAAAACTAAGTTAAAATGGACTAAACTCACTAAATAACACAGTAAGAATCTAAGAGAAAGAGAATAGAAATGTATGAAATAATGGTTATATCATATGCAGCTTGCTTCTTTATCAAATCGGCATCCTCATGAAAAGTTGGATCTCCTATGCTTGTGAGATACAAGAGAGGTATTGCACTTTTATCCTATCTTCACATTGGGAATTTCAGGTGCACGTGGGTATGGTATATATAAGAATGAGATGCTACTTCTCATCTAACACATGTTGTTTGAATTCTCATTTAGAATACTTCTTATATCAATGTCATATGACCTCTGATACCTTCAATTTATTTCAAAACAGAGCTACAAACTTCTCTTCGTTGTCTCGTTAGACTGTTTTGTATCCAATTTTTCATCTGCATAGAATACAACGAGGACTAATATATCTCATAGCACAAGAGCAGGGTTGTCAAGTGCAACGAGAAAAATGCTATAATTGGGTTTAATTCATAATTACAATGGATACATTTTAGAAAGTAAATTCCTATACAAGAAATTTTATACTATGAAATTCAACATTCTTTGATCCACAAAATGTTCGTGGATCCTTATTTTTGTTGTTGTATTTATGGGTTTAACCCGCATTATTTGTTATAAATAAAAATTATTTTTTATTCTTGCCCAATGGGCTAATATCTAGAAATCATTAGAATGTGAGGCATTGGAAAGAATTTAAATTCTCATTCCCCAGTATCGCTTGTATAAATAAAATAATTGAAGAAATAACTCTAGCCCAATGGACTAAAGTGATATTTTAGCCCCAAAGCCTAAAATTATATGACAAAATTGTAGATTTAAAAAGTATAGCCGATCGGCTATACTGTCTAAATACATTCGAATATTTTAACAGTATAGCCGTTCGGCTATACTCTTGAAATATTAATATACTCGAATATTTTAGAAGTATAGCCGCTCGGCTATACTCTTTAAATATATCTCACACCAACACGAAGCTTGCACTCGCAGAGGACGGAGCTTGCAGATGCAGTCACAGCCATTTCGCTTCTCTATTAACTCAAGCTTCGATTTGTTTTCTTCGGTTTCGGCTGCTTCATCCTCCGGGTTCGGCACCGAAAAAAGACCCAACCCGCCTAGGAGGCCCGCCCAGCCGCCTACCGCCCGCCTAGCCGCCTACCGCCCGCCTAGGCCGATTTTTCGAACACGGCGATTGACTGAAAGTCTGAAACCCGAAATTGAAAAAGTTTAGCTGCAAATTTGAGCTTGGGATTGAGATTGGGAAGCCGAAGCAGTGAAGCACAAGTCAGGTCCATAAAAGAAGAGATCATGAGACTCTTAATTCATCTAATTCCATTCCTCTCCCTGTTTCCCGCTTATTCTCTTCTTTCTAGGCTCTCTCCCAAACGACATGTTCACCTCACCACACCAACGACTACTACGACAATTCCTCCCTCTGCCAACTCCGCCTTATTCTCTTCTCTCTTCGCATTGACGACATGGCGCAGAAGAAAAAAATGCAAAATTTGTGACTTGGTGTCTGTCTTCAGTGGAAGGAAATGATGAGGCTATCCTATCATGGAGTTTCTATGTTCTTGCCAATAACAAGGTTCGGTTTTAGGCCCCAATCTCAAATTCTGACTATTTATTCCTATCATGGAATTTTAATACTGACCTGATCTGTAAAGAGCCCCTTGTCTTTTGCTGATTTAATTTACTTTTTGCCTTGCTTTGCATGCCAAATTATTTTATATTTACATCTGATATGCAAGTTAATCACATGATGTTTGCATTTTGCAGCTTCAGCAGTAGCACCTTTCTACAAGGAGATCCGTTTCTTGGAATTTTCAGGACTCTTGATCTTTTATCTCCTCTGTTGATTACGTTGATGGTACGTTTTCTCTATGCGAAGGAGAATTTGCAGGGCTTACAAAAACACCACAGCACAATGATGTGCCATGCTCAGTTTTGTTTTGGCGAGGATGGTAGAGTGCCCATTTGAAAAGTTTGACACAACACAGGTTCCTTATGCAACAACACATATAAAAGTGAATCAGGAGATGATTGCAGGTCAAAGCCAAAAAGGTGGCAGGCCTCTCGTCTCTGTTTTACATTTATGATGTCGCAACTACTGGAAGGTCATTCCTTAAGGAAAACCTCCTAGAGATAGTGTGACCACTTGAAGAATACTTAGCTTGCAGAATTTTCAAAAAGAACCTTATCTTTCTTGAAATCAATTGTAAAATATGCAGGCTCTTTTTGAGCATTTGCAATGCAAGGCAAAGTAAAAATTGATACACAATTTGCATAGGTTAGTATCATATACTTGAGAAGGGGTGGTGACTACATCTTTATATGAATATATATATCATGGTGAATCATTGGGTGGCCTGATCCCTTTTTGGGTGCCTTGTGTTTTTAATCCCAAAGTGAAGAGTTAAAAAGCCAAATAATTCCTCAAAGAGGCCTTGGTATGGGGTAGCCTCCCCTCTCCCTAAACACATGCTAGTTCTTTCACTTCATACACTGCAAGGTGAGTCTTGTTTATGGCAAGGAGGTGCAGCTCATTCTGGTGAATTTGGATGTAAGTATCTGACAATGATCTCAACTCCTTCCCATTTGGAATCTGCAACAATTTGCTTCTCTGTTTTTCCCACCCAGCAGCACCCCACACAAAAATCTGCAGGGCCAAAATGACATCGATTGGTGGAATGTGTGCAGGTGTTCTGGCCTTGTGACTTCGAGTTTACCAGTAAATTTATTGGACAGCAAACACACGAACCCAGAGCTGATTGGCAAGTGGAAAAATTTGGAGGTGTTATCATTGGGTTCATGCTTAAATTTGGCGAAAATACTTGCAATTATACAAACACATTGCAAGAATTTTTATGGTTTAGATTTGTCCAAAGGCTCTGTTCATGGGCGTGAGGCATTGTCAATTGTGAAGTTGGTGCCCAAAAATGATATGACAAATTTGTATATTTAAAAGATATAGCCGCACGGCTTTACTTTCTAAATACATTTGGATATTTAAAGGTATAGCCGTTCGGCTATACCCTTTAAATATTATTATATTCGAATTTTTTAAGAGTATAGCCGAACGGCTATACTCTTTAAATATTTTCGAGAAAAACACGAAGCTTGCACTAGCAGACGACGGAGCTTGCAGAAGCCATTTCGTTTCTCTATCAACTCGAGCTTCGATTTGTTTTCTTCGGTTTCGGCTGCTTCGTCCTCCTTGTTCGGCCCGAAAAAAGACCCAACCCGCCCAGGAGGCCCGCCCAGCCGCCTAGCGACCGCCTAGCCGCCTAGCTTCCGCCTAGCCGCCTAGCCGCCCGCCTAGGCCGATTTTTCGAAAACAGAGATTGACTGAAAGTCTGAAACCCGAAATTGAAAAAGTTTAGCTGCAAATTTGAGCTTGAGATTGAGATTGGGAAGCCGAAGGAAGCACAAGTCAGGTCCATAGAAGAAGAGATCATTAGACTCTTAATTCATCTAATTCCATTTGCTGACTTGGTGTCTGTCTTCAGTGGAAGGAAATGATGAAGCTATCCTATCATGGAGTTTCTACGGTCTTGCCAATAACAAGGTTCGGTTTTTAGGCCCCAATCTCAAATTCTGACTATTTATTTCTGGTTTGGTTAAGCAAAAGATTGATTGGTTTGGTTCTTCTTGCTTGAAACTTGATAAATCTTTATGCATTCAATATTCATCCATTGATGGTTCTTCTTGGTTGGACTGCTTTCCATTCTTTGGATATTGCATTTCTGTTATAGATTTTGACATTTTGACATTCTTTGGATATTGCATTCAATATTCATCCATTTATTTCTGGTTTTTGTTTGCTGATAGAAAAAAAACAAAAACAAAAACAAAAAAGAAGAAGAAGAAAGATTTGTCTCCTCCTCCTCTTGCAGAGGAACACAAAACCAACCCACCAAGTGAAAAATCTAATTCATTAGTTTAAAAGGACTGTGACCCAAATGACGTGTGGAAACTGTCAACCTAACTGTAGGGAGGACTATATTTGATTTTACCTTAAAGACTGATCCGAAACATCTTCTCCCAGTTTATTGTTGTTTGAAAAGTTTTTGGTTGCACAAACAACAGCGGCCAAGTCAAATAATGGTAATTCCAGATCTTCCTTTTGGCCGGGCTTCAGTTTTCCTGTGAAGTACGTAGTGAAGTAAATAATGTAGCATGGAAACTTAGCTTAGAAACCAGAGAGGCAACAGCAAAATTTTTCTATAGAACTGAACCTACCTATCTTAGAAAATGGTGGGGCAGAAGAGTACAAAATTAAATAGCTTGCCACATTTTTGTTACTGGTTCTTCCTCACATATAATAGCAGGGTTAGGCCCAGGATCAGCAGTCCAGTAGACAACACAGTACTGGTTACTATGATCTTTGTATTGTGTCCTTGATCTCGGAATGAAGTATTTCAAAGCAGAAGATTGAGGAGTCAGAAACTCATAAAGAAGAAAATCTTTACTTTTTATCATCCAACGAACAATTAATGCTAGTTTCTGAGACACTTCTAAAGAAATATTTTTCTAATAATGTCAAAAGTTTTCTGGCTCTATCTTGTTTCTAATCATGTCGCTGTTGAAAGATTTCTTTCTTCTTTTTTCCTTGGTGGCTTTTATTTTTCTTTCAAACTTTGTTTTAAACAGCAAGATGATTCCATACTTAGTTCTGATGAAGCCATTCTTATGTAAATATCTTGCCCATTTATATTGGAATATCTTATATCAATCAGATCGCTGAACCACAGCAAGCACCCCCTTCCTCCATCTCGGATATCCAAATTTGAAAAGGCGGTGCAGGATCAGTTGTTCATGCACATCATCTCACATTCCTTGAGGTTCATACTTGTGTTATACCAGTATTGTTCTGTATTTGGCAATTTCACCCCAGAGTACTTCTTATAAAGATGCCTCCGCTGCAATTCAGTTGGCTCTTTCTCACACAGCTATATGACCAATCCACCAAGTCCCAGTCTTGTTGAAAGTTCGGTATAAATCCTTCCAAGCAGCTAGATACTGGGCACTTGTCAATACTACATGCACCATTTGGACCACATATTCCATATTTGTCACAGATATCAGTCGTTGCATTTAGATAAACGACCCAACCTTGGTTTCCATCACTCTCGATGTAGCTCAGCCCAAATCCATCTTGAGTTAACGCCAGCCTGAAAAGAGTTGAGCTGTTGAGAAGCTTGTAACCATAATATACTTCATCATCATTATCCAACACAAAATCATATGTTGGATTTAAATTATGCTTCCCACCAAATTGGATTCCATTCCATGGTGCAGTCCGATATTTTATAACAGAACCCTCCCTCAGAATTAATTCATGGTATCCATAAGGACCAAGTTGATATGCATAATGTCCTTGAGAAGGATCCTGGGGGCTTTTCCAGGGTGTAAGATGCCAATTAAAACCTGTGATTTTGTTCCTAACAAGCTTCATACCTGGTATTAACGTATCACCTGGGTAATCAAAACTCTGCCATAAAATATTATCAGGGTCATTATGACCATTGCCATCTATCACAACAAGATTTCCGGAATCCAAAAGCTGTGCCACTGGATTCTGTGCAGAACTTGATGTGTTGGAAGACCTGTAGTGTTCTTATGGTTGACAGGGACAAGAATTCCAGGGCTGCTCAACTTGAGTACACCTGATGAACCAGTGAGGGGTGTGTTTCTTTTAGTCTGCACTATATATGGAGAGTCTGACTCTAATTAGAAGATAATTGTATTAATTTGGTAAAGCTTTGTCCATAACTGTCTCTCACCTTAAAAAATTTCACAATTAGCAGCATTGGCAATACTTGATTATAAAGTAGAAACCCTACAGTATATAGTTAAGTTGAGTAGCTGGGAAGACAATTAGTAAGCTTTCAATAGTAAAGTTGAATAGTGGGGAGACAAATTACTAAAGTTTCAAGGACAGATAAATAGGATGAATTTCTCATAAGGGATCCCCTTTCACTGTAGCTTGGAGTAGAATTCGTTTTGACACAATATCAATTATCAATGTAAACACGTTACTGATGCATTATCGACAATATTGATGCACGTCATACCAAATTTAGATGCGTAATTGAATGCAAATAAACAACACTCTCTCCAGTGTGAAATGGAGAAAATTCTCTTCAATCAAAAGTGGGCTTACTTCAAATTTAGTTCAAGAATGATGGTGTCTTGCGTGACAATTGACAATTAGGATCCTCTAGTAGAAAAATCTAAATCATTTGTTGTCATCCACTCACTTGGTCAGTCTTCCAGAATCAAATACCAAATCAACTCAAAGGAAGCTGCAATTTTCTGAATGTATACTTGTTTTAATTCTTCCCATCTTTTTCTCTCTTTCAGTTTTTTTTTCTCCCTCAAGTTAATACTTAAGTGAGTTGACAAATGGGGAAAAAAAAGGGAGTAGAAGAGATGAACCCCACATTTGACTTTAATAGACAAATGCCCAAGAGAAGTACCAATAAGAGCATCTCCAATTGGGAGGTGCTATCCTATAATTTGACACACATTTCTTCTTTTTTTTCAATTCTAACATCATGTCATCTATGTTGCAATAGGCCTTGTAGTAAATTTTCAAATAACCGAGTTACTCTATATATCCTATTGGAAACTGAAGGGGTAGAAGACTAGAAAACAACTTACAATCATTCTGGTGCTGCTTCTTCCAAGCATTAGAAAAAACAGAGCTACACCCAGGAGATGACACAATCCTGCCTACTATGATTCTTACTTTCTTCACATTCAATGAGACTACAAAATATAACCCAAGTGGGCTAACCCCCCGGGGTGGAAATTGGGTTTAGCAGGTTTAGCACTGATTGTTGTATAGTCTTCATGATCTAGGCAGGAAATATATTTGAAAGCAAAAAAAGTGAGAAGTTAGATATTGATAAATAAAAAAAAACTTCTGTAATGTCTATCATCCATTGATCTTAACAGACGAATTTTGACAGTAGAGTTTGATAATTGTGTCCAAATCCAAAATTATAGAGTAACAACCTTTGGGTTTGATATGTTTTGACTTTACTTTTTGTACATGATCATGAAGAGATGGATAACTCCCAATTGACTGTTCCATATCCAAAGACGTTTTTTTTTCTTCTTGTTTTCTTTAAAATTTGCATTAACACACTGACTTTTGAGATTAAAAATGACTCCATACCTAGTTCTGATGCTGCCATTCTAAAATAAATATCTTGCCCATTTTCAGTGAAATTTCTTACATCAATCAGCTCACTAAACCACAGCAGGCACCCACTTCCTCCATCCCTGGTATCCAAGTTTGCAAAAGCTGTGCAGGAGCAGTTCTTCTGGCACAACATCTCCCATTCCTTGAGTTCCATACTTCTGTTAAACCCAGATACATCATTTGCAGTCTGTTTTGTTCACTCTTAAGGTTTGTTTCCCATTTCAGCTTCAATTCTTCAGCTTTCAAGTATATGCCAAATTGAAAGTAAGTATATAATAATTGGTTGCATTTGTATGTCACAGAGAGACTCACATCTTTTTCAATTTATTTTTTGCAATTTTCAATTCAATGAAAAAGTAGCAGAAAGGGTTTGTTGGATTTGAGAAATGGGCTTTGCAATGCTTTTTAGGTATGGCTTCTGTGGGCTGCATCAAGAAAGTACAACTTCGATCTTAATGTTTTAGAGTCTAAAGCACAAGATGCTGAGGATAGACTCGAAACAGTTGCCTCTCAAAAGGTCGTGCACTGATGTACTCAATCCATCTTTGGTCTATGGCTATGAGTGTGTGATGTTGTTAGTGTGGTGTTCCTTTTGCCATTGGCTTCTTTCTCTTTGCTTTGAGATGGTTGACATTGTTACAGAACAATGGATTCAAATTCATTGGCTTGAGCAGGCTCTTCATATTACACAAGTAAGTTTTTTCTGCTTGAAACTGGCTTCAGGTTCCTTATTTGCTAAATTCATAAGTTTTGCTGAATTAGTGGGGCACAGCGCAGCACGAGCATGAATATTAGTGGGCCGTGCCAGGATCAAAAAATTAGTATAATCACTGTGATATGAATTGATCTTTGACCTTCTTTAAAGATAGATGACGTGTGACTGAACATAACATGAGCTTCCGTAGAGAATGGAAAGGCCGAGCAAGATTTATGTAGCCAACTTAAAGTGGTTGAATTCAGCTTAGCTGACTGTGATGTCAAGTATTGTCGACCAACTGAAATTTTCTTTTGCTGTAACTTCTGCAAGATGGAATCTGTGTATTGACTATTTCAAGATTTTAGATTGGTATATAGTATATACTTGTTTGTAGTATAGCAGAGATAATTCTCTTAGAATTTGCTTTCTCCAGTTTTTGTTTGGGGCAAAGATTCATGAAGTTCCCAAATTGCGTGTGGAAGGATCTCCTAAAATGCCGCTGCAATGCACACATGTTATAAGGTACGCAATTACAGTCACTTCAATCATACTCACTTAGCCAGTTAGTGATTAGGGTGACCAGTCTAGAATTTTCAGATTCTTTAGAGGGCATGTGTTTAGTGTCGTTTTTGACCATTGTGCGATGTTCTGAGTGAACTGTTTCCTCAGCTTCTAATTCTGCTGTGATATTTATTACGTGTAGGATGGTCCGAGATGGCTATTTCGGCTTTAAAGACTATTTTGAATCTCTGTGATACTGTGGACGGTGGTAAAGACTTCTATTTGCTTGGTTCTGATTTTGAGAGCTATTTAGTGGCTCAAGTAATTATTTCTGTATACTTGGCAGTCCCAACCAAAAGCATATATATGCAGTTTGAGTTTGGTGTTGTATAACTTACTATGGTGCGTGGGATTTGAATCTATATGACTACAGGCTGCTGCTGATAAAGCATTTGCGGATCCAATTAAGTGGACTCAGATGAGCATATCCTTAGCACAGCGGGGTAGGGGAGATTTTGCAGTAATGTATGGAAGTCTGGCCTTGGGATGTGTCTGAATGTCTGAATTTTCAAAATCTTATGGACAGATTTGCAAGTGAGTATCAAATTGATGGGGATTGTTGCTCTGTCTCCACTTTTCTGAAGTTTGTGATCAATCGGAGCGGAGGAAACGCTACTGTTCTCAAGCTTCCCAAATTATGCACAGTAGATGCTTTGAATTTGCTGCAAATGTGTAAGTTTTCTCATTTTCACTTGTTTAACAAAACAAGTTAATTCTCAAAACCCTCAAGTATACCCAGTTTAATTTTCCTTGTAAATGTAAATGTAGCATTTTTTTTGTTGTGGAATGTGTGCACGTGTCAAGTTTACCAGTAAATTTATTGGACAGCAAACACACGAACCTAGAGCTGATTGGCAAGTGGAAAAATTTGGAGGTGTTATCATTGAGTTCATGCTTAAATTTGGCGAAAATACTTGCAATTATACAAACACATTGCAAGAATTTTTATGGTTTAGATTTGTCCAAAAGCTCTGTTCATGGGCGTGTGGCATTCTCAATTGTGAAGTTGATGTCTAATATCAAGTACTTAAATTTGAAGACTGCAAAAGTTAATCGGGATGGTCTTGTCACGTTGCTGCGCGGATGCAAAGATCTGGTGATGTTGGACACCAGAGAGTGTTCTAGTTTCGATGAGAACAACAACGAAATATCAAAGCTTGCGTCTCATATTAGTAAATTTATGTGCGAGGGGTTCTGAATTTCGAGAATTTCTTCATGGTATGGACAATTTTTTTATTCCTGTTGATGGATACTCATTTCATCTGCATGTGGAGGAGATGTTGGATGAAATGCTCAATGATTTGCGCGATGCGTTCAATGATTTGGGCGATGAGGAATGAAGAACTATTTGATTGTACTAAGCGATATCTCATCTTTTTTATATTTACAACACTAATGAGCAATTTTGTGTGTTGAGTGTGGTGTGGTGTTCATCTTGTGTTTTTGGACGTTGTTACTCTAACGAGGGCTTGTTATGTTCCTATCTTGATTTCATTATAAGATGTGTGCTTAGTTTGGAAAATGCCCATTCTAAATTCCTTCGCTACATTTTCTGTAATATCACATGTGCTCGCGATTGTTTTTCAGCCTTACCTTTGCCTCTATTTCTATCTTAATTTTCCCTTCCCACCAAAGGTTTTCCTAGCTAAATTTCTTTTAGGTTCAAGAAAAATTTCTTGGTGAAAGAATTTTGGTTGCACCATCTTAACAACAGGCACAACCAGTAGACAAATGAAATAATATGTCATATTTAAGAATGAGATGCTACTTCTCATCTAACACATGTTGTTTGAATTCTCATTTAGAATAGTTCATATATCAATGTCATATGACCTCTAATACCTTCAATTAATTTCAAAACAGAGTTGCAAACTTCTCTTCAATGTCTCGTTAGACTGTTTTGTATCCAATTTTTCATCTACATAGAATACAGCGCGAGCTTATATATCTCATAGCATAAGTTGTCAAGTGCAATGAGAAAAGAGGCTGTAATTGGGTTTAGTTCATAATTACGATGGATACATTTTAGAAAGTAAATTGCAATACAAGAAATTTTATACTATGAAATTCAACATTCTTTGATCCAAAAAATGTTGGTGGATCCCTTTTTTTTTCTTTTTCTTTTTCTTTTTTTTTAAATTATTTTAAATTATTATTTATTTATGAGTTTAACCTGTATTATTTGTTATTATGCAAATTCATTTTTTATTCTTGCTTAGTGGGCTAATAGCTGGAAATCATTAGAATAAGAGGTATCCGAAAGAATTTAAATTCTCATTCCCCAATATCGTTTGTATAAATAAAATAATTGAAGAAATAACTCTAGCTCAATGGGCTAAAGTGGTATTTTAGCCTTAAACCCTAAAATGATATGACAAAATTGTATATTTAAAACGTATACCCGTGCGGCTATACTGAAAGTATAGCCGCCTGCCAATACTTTTTAAATATTAATATATTCGAATATTTTAATAGTATAGCCGTGCGGCTATACTGTTGAAATATATTCAAAACGAACACGAAGCTTGCACTCAGAAGACGGAGCTAGCAGACGTAGTCACAACCATTTCGATTCTCTATCAACTCAAGCTTCGATTTGTTTTCTTCAGTTTCGGCTGCTTCGTACTCCGGGTTCGGCACCGAAATAAGACCCAACCCGACTAGGAGGCCCGCCCAGCCGCCTAGTGCCCGCCTAGCCGCCTAGGCCGCTTTTTCAAATACTGCGATTGACTGAAAGTCTGAAACCCGAAATTGAAAAAGTTTAGCTGCAAATTTGAGCTTGAGATTGAAAAAGTTTAACCCCAATATGAGCAGGCTCTTCATATTACACAAGTTTTTTCTGCTTGAAACTGGCTTCAGGTTCTTTATTTGCTAAAATCATAAGTTTTGCTGATTCACTGATATTTGCTAGTTTCTTTTTGAAAAAATAAAAAATAAATAGATGAGGACTCTGAGGATTCAAAGACAATTAACAAGATGCACATTCTTCAAGGTGATATTGGATATCCCACACTCGTAGTAGTAGTTCAGAACTTCAGATAGGTTGATATATAGTCAATATAATATTCTGACCATCTGTGAACTGTCGCGGGAATTGAAGTCCCTTCACCGCTGACAGCATCAAGTCTTTTCGACAATTGACCTATTTTGCTTTTTACAAAATATAATCTCACATTAACTCAACAAATCTGATGTTTTGCAGTTCATAAACAACCTTTCTGATGACCCTCTGCTGAAGATACTTGGCCCTAACTTCAGATCCTATTTCTCTCGAGCTTTTCATCTGTTCAAGAGAGTCTTTGCAGAATTTAAAAGGTCTCACCATGAGGTATGTATCAAAAGTCCTTTCTTAATTGGTCTGTAACAGCTGTTGGAAAAGGAAAATATTTCTTCAATGTTCTTAGGAGGACATTGAGGCCGCTCCTGTGATACATCTTTATAGTTTTCTACCATTAAGTCTGCTGTTTACATTTGCGTATCTCGTTAATTTTATAGAATAGTTTACAAATTTTGGTGGCTGGTTTTCTAATTTTCAAGAACTCTGAAGGCACATGTAACTATATCACTTCAATCTTGAAGATGCCGAGCCACAAATCTTTGTAAAAACTTGAACATGTAACGGATTGTCTCTTCCTACCTCCAAAATTATTAGTTGTAAAACACTGAGAATTACATGGCAGATGCTTGTATTACCCTAAATAATCTCATTTAGCAGGTTTTCTTACCATGAATGCATATGTTATATTGTTGAGGACCTGGGCCAATTTTCCTTATGCGGTTACAACATTTCATCAAAGAGAAACTGGAAAAGAATGAACTCACAGCAGCTCTTGCAAATGAGGAATTAGTTTTCTTTATCGTATGTAGTCAATTTTCTTTCTTTTTAATTATTTATGTACTCTTTTCTGCCGCAACTTTTTCTCAAGAAATACGTCCCATCTAAGCATTTTTCTTGTGGTATTGTCCTTAATCGGAGTTGCTCTCATCAAAACTCACTAGCTGAAAGAGTCACAAGTTCTGAATGAAAGAAATTTTCAAGAATTTGATATTATTAACAGGTATATTTGATAGCAACTGTTACCATGTTGGCCTAAGTTAGGAGATTTGATGCATAGATCAATGCATACAACAGCGACTGTAACCATTACAAACATGAATGTATAATAGGTTCAGATTTCATCTTTGAGAAGCTTCTGCTTGGAACATTTGGGGAGGATCTTTATCTCCAGATCAACATATCTTATTTACTTGTGACAATTTGTCCATGAAAATTTTCAGTCTATATGTAATGCCAGTGTACATGAGAATGGTTTCTTCCCCTATTCTTGTGTAAGTATCCCTATGTGCCCTTTTGTTGTATGGTAGTATCTCTTTACAAATCGAAGACGACTTGAGAGACTTCTTAGTGTGGAAGCGATGATGCCTTCACTACAAGATCCTGAGCGCTTCAGCTTCTGGGTAACTTTATATTTCTCTTTATTAAAATTGAGTATATTGTGGGATGTGATTGCCAGTATTAATGTATGATTGGATTTAGCTTGCTTCTTTATCAAACCAGCATCCTCATGAAAGGTGGGATCTCCTACGCTTTTGAGATACAGGAGAGGTATTGCATTGCCCTTGCAAGTGCACAAGAATGATGTAGTATAGCGTTTGACAAGTCCAAATATCATTCCTACGAGGATTCCAAATTAATCTAATGTTTGAATACCTAAATTAAATCTAACTGATACACAAGTGAATTTGTAGAGATTGTTGTTGTGAAAGTTTATGAAACAAATAAGAAATGGATCAAAGCAATTGAGAATAAAAAGGTTGAATTTTAAGGTTGCGAAAAAATGATGAAGTTCTAGGGTTTCGAAATCAACCACAAGCAATCCAAGTTAGATTTCACTGCATTCAACAGATTTTTTTTCGATTTTTTTAGATGATAATTCATGTATCTAAGTCCCTTTCAGGCACTTTAACCATACTTTTCCTTAAATATAAGATTCTTTTCTAGTTCATACAAAGATCATATATCCAATCCTGCAATTTACCCTGGTTAAGGCATAAATTTAACAAGTTGGATTCATTACGTTTTAGAAAACAAGGGAACCAAGCAAATCATTATTCTTCGTCAAGCAATAATGTAATTCACCACACTTAATCACAAGAAGCTAATTGAATTATATTGCAAGTTCTACCTCAAATTCATCTTCCAATTTACTAGATGCAAAGCCCTAAAATAGTGATTAATCTACTAGATGTTCACTCTTCCCAAATTTGTTTAAATTTTCTATTTCATAGGGTACATAGGCCCTTACAACTCAAATACTCTAAACAATAATCTGCCTTTTTTATTTTTATTTTTTTATTTAAAAAAAAATTCCAACTTTTGAATTGGATGCCATGTATTAAAAATCATGTCATCATGTGGTTGGGCGCTTTTACTAAATAATCCCATTAATTTAAACAACCCAACCAAAAAAAAAAAAAAAAAAAAAAAAAAAAAAAAAAAACAATCATTTTATCATTTTCAATAAATTGGATTTTTATTGGACCCAAACCATTTTTATTTTTATTTTTATTTTATCGAAAGCATTTTGAAAGTCAAAGGCTCATCAGAGACAAATGGCATTAAATGAATACGAAGCTCTAAAAGGAAACAACCAAAATATAAACCCCCACTAGAATCACATTAAAAACAAATTGTCTATGGTCAAAACAACTTGCACCTATATAAAGAACATGATCCATCAATTGTTTTTGCACCAAGGCGAAACTTCTTAAACTAAACAAGCAAGCATGGCATCGTTCGTTGGAAATGCAATGCTACTAATGTTGTTTTTGTTGTTTCCAATAACAATGTGTCAAATTCCAAAGACGCATGTTAGAGTCACAAATGATTTGGGCGGAGACTTAACGCTTAGCGTTCATTGTAAATCCAAGGACGATGATATTGGCGTCCAAGTACTCCCTCCTCATGCCTCCTTCCAATTCAGCTTTCGACCTCACGTCATCGGGTTGACGCTGTTCTTCTGTGGTTTCAGGTGGCCTGGTGAATTTAGGTGGTTCGATATATATACGGCGATGAGAGACCAAGGAGTGTGCTTCAACTGTTTCTGGAGTATAGGACCAGATGGGCCATGCATGTTTAACGAAGAATCCCAGAAATATGACATTTGCTATAGTTGGAACCGTAACTAACTATATCATGTGTAACCATGTGATGAATTCTTAGTTAGTCCAATTTGGTATCACTATGTTCTAATTTATATTCAGAATAAATAATAATTAAGAGTTTGACTTTTCATTTTATTGTTGTGGGCCGTTGATATATATTCTTCTTTTTTCTCTTTCTTTTTTGTCAATATGGTTATTTGTATTTGGCGTGTTTGTACGTACCATTTTGCCAAGACAGATAGGTTTTTTTTTAGACTTTGATTTCTTGGCTCTGCATTTTTCTCTATGTTAGTGAGGTATGCATTTTTTAAGAGAGATGGTGATCTTCTTCTTCTTCTTCATCTCTGCATTTGCAGCTGGGTGAGGTTTGTGTTTTCAAATAGCTTTTGAAGTATGCCTTTATTTTCAAAATCTACTTCACCCATTGATAATTTTTTTAGAGTAAAACTTTTACTCCACATAAGGTTTTTCATTGTGAGATTTTGAAAATGGTTTTTAAAATCCACATCTAAGTTCATGTAAAATACTTATCTTTTGGGATGTAGAAGTTGGTCTCCATTGATACTTGAGAAGAATGATAGTTTTAGGTTGAGGCGTGTAGTCACTGTCCTTAAGAGTAGATTTCGGCCACTCGGAGACAATGTCTCAGTGTAGCAAGGTTGTATGGCGCCCTACGCTCCAGGATACAACAGCCTATGACCCACATAAGCGTACACTCGCCATACTTGGGTCGGATGAACAACTCGAATCTTTCCCTTGATAAAAGAAAACAATTTGAAACGCAAACTCAAGAATGTGGAGGAGAAAATAATGAAGAAAGGTGCCAATCTGATTTCTCTTTTTTCAAAAGTATATCTTGAATGGTTTATATATATGAGCTTTCCAAGTGCAGGTTTGGTTATTAAACAAGCAATTAAGCTGCATAAAATGCTCCCACAGTTAAAAGCAATAAGTTGCCAATGTTAATATGGTTTAAATCCAAATATAAATATATAAAATTAATACACAATCAAATCATAGCCGGTTACATTTGGCCTACATGTTTTCTCCAATTCAAGATATTAAAACCCAAAACAAAACTGCCAAAAGAGATTAATATTAATATCAATAGAACATGTCCAACTATACCAAAAGGAAAAGGTTTTGAAATCTCAACTCTAACAGTGCGTTTGGATGAGGAAATTTAAAAGTACAAAGGATTTTATAAATGACGGAAATTAATGTTCTAGAATTTGTAAAGTTTCTTGTTTGGGTGACTGGTTTAAAACACGGAATTTAACCTTTATTTGTAAAGTTATCTTTTTTTTTTTGTAAACTCAATCTCTCTTGAGATTTTAAAAATGACGACTTTTAGATAGAATTTAAACTTGGGATTTATGATCTCCAAATTCCATGTTTTTTTTTCCACGCGGAATTTCTAAATTTCTATGTTTTTCCAAACACCAGAATTGGTTCATGTCAATTTAGAAATTCTGACTTTTGTCAAAATCCCAAGTTTATTTCCCTCATCCAAAAGCACCATAAAAGAATTAAAACCACCATTTAACACATATTTAAAATTTCAATTCAATAAATATAGTAATAATAACAAATATAAATTTCATAATACTTTTGTAGTTTGAAATACTCACAAAAATTCCAACAACCCCTATTACAACCATCCAGGAAAAGTAAATCATGAATAATGTTTGGTCTTCAATCCACTTGACACTAATCATGCAAGGCATAGAAAAGGGAATTCAAACTTGAGACCTCTTTTGAATATTGAAAAGGCCACTAACCAATACACTCATAATTATTTTGGGTTATAGTTCTTCAATAGAAAGATAAATAATAACATACAATTAATTATCCCTCAAAATATAAAATATAATTAATTCTATTAATCTACATGGCTAATGACATGGGCATGCCACATAATGTTGTATAGAAATGTCGTATGAAATTGTGGTAAGTCTAATCTCCTCAGGGGATATAAGTACCCAAAAAATCTCAATTGAAGGGATTTTTAGTCCCCTAAAGTTTCAATATAACCGCAATTTTTTTTTTAGTACAAGAGATGGTCTAAAGTAAAGAGGTGAGAGGGGCTTCTCACAAACACACACACTACCATGATGCTATAAGGGTTTGAACCTGAGACCACTAGTCTGCAAGTCAATGTCATTTTTCACTGGACTAGACCACGTTGGCTATCCCCAATTTTTTGTTGTCAAGAAAAAACTAATTTCATTCATTATGATTTCTTTTAATTTTCCCATGTCATTATCTTGTTTTATTTTTTATACTAGGAATATTGAGGGTAAATTGAGTCAATTACAATAGTAAATACATTGCTTACTCTTAACAACTTTTTATTTTATTTTATACAAGTGATATTGGGGAATTGGAGTTTTCTCACATACAAACTATAAAGATACCATCGGAGTTCGAACCTAAGATCACTAGTCTATAAGTCAAGGTCTTTCAACTAGGCTATACCTTGTTAGCTACTCTGAACCATAAGTACAAGTCCCTTACATTTTCTTGGTGTCCAAGTACATTCGTCTGCAAGTCAATGCCATTTTTCACTATTCTAGACCCCGTTGACCCTTTTTATTTTTTAAGTTAAAAAAATTAAAAAATGAGTTGGTTGGTCTCCCCTATCTCTTAACTATTGGATCAAATTGGTTAGTCATTGGATCAAATTGGTTAGCCTCATCTAATGGTTAAAAGATAGGACCTCACCTAAGTGCTATATATAAGGCCCTTACTATAGAATGACTCATATGCCTTATTAGTACTAGCTATGAAAGATGGAAGAGATAGGGCCATGCCTTAACACCAGCTCAGATGATGTTCTATCCCTTAACTGTTGGATTAAACTAACTAATTTGATCAAACGATTAAGAGATATGACCTAATCCAAGGGTCTCACTATAGAATTCTTGATGAAAGATATGAATCAAGAATACTTTTTTATCAATAAAATAAATAAACTTACAAAGAACGAGGGGAATTTTTTTTTATTAGAAGAACGAGGGGAATTTTTTTTTTATAGAAGAACAAGGGGACTTAATAATATATCTATTCTTAGCATTAATAATATAGATAAAGTCTACACTATTTAATTTTTATAAACAAAAAAAAACCCAAAAAAGTTGAATTTAATTTTGATTATTAAATTACTTTGATGCCCAATTAAGTGTTTTGAGGTTTTTTTTATGAGGTTTTGGGATTGGGCTTGTTTTAAAAATTGATGGCAGTTTTGTAATTTATAAGAATTTAAAAGCCTCTTTGTTATGTTGTAAATGGGCTTTGGGTGTGTTTCTAAAGTCCATTTCATATATGATTTTTTTTTAATTTGGGCCCTTATATTGGGTATAATAGTGAATCTCCCTTCTTTTGTTTGCTTGAGCACTAGCTATATCTTTCTTCTTTTTTTCAATTAAAAACATTACATAAGTAATATTAAGCAAGCAAATATCTTGTTTTGTTATTAATTAAGAGGACGCCAAGATTAATTGTGAATAAACAGGGAGAAAATCAAGTTGCTAATAATGGAGGTGATTAAGGCATGAGGGATGGTGATAGAGGTAATTATAATCAAAGGGATGAAGGTTTGAAAGATTTGGGAATGTTTATGGAGTGAATTGAGGGCAAGTACTTCATGGAGGTGATCAAGGCACGAGGATGCAAGTGATGGAGTTTATTATGTTAATGGAGAAAATTGAGTGCAAAATTAACCATATGTTCTCAGCAAATTCCCATAATCCTGCAAATCAATCAAGTACTATACCATATGTGAGACCATATGGAACCTGCCGAACAACTATAAAAGTAAGAAAAATATATGATGCATGATATTCGTACCATTGTGTTTTAATTTCCATCAACAAAAAATTTCTTCAATGGCTTCCTTCAATAGAAATGCAGTTTTGCTAATGCTGCTTTTGGTGTTCTCAACGTCCATTTGTGATGCTCGGAAGAGAAGATTTGTTCGAGTGGAAAATAATTTGGCTTTGGATGGAGACTTGAGCCTTACCGTTCACTGCAAATCCAGAGACGATGATCTTGGTGTCAAAGTGCTCCCGATCAATGGCACATTTGAATTCAGTTTCAAGCCTAACTTTATTCACACAACACAATTCTACTGCAGTTTTCAGTGGCCAGGTAGATTTGAGTGGTTCGACATATATAAAGATTCGAAAGACGAATGCAGTTTGTGTTACTGGAAAGTATTTCCTAGCGCGGTATGCAGGTTGAGCTGGGAGTTCGACATTAACGGTGATTACAATGATTGCTATCCGTGGAATGATCATGCCACTCATATTATCAAGTCTTAATTGTTTTTATCTTCAATAAATAATTCGGGCTCCATTGTTGCTTTTATTTTTTAGATATAAATTTTTTTATTTGCAAGGATTTGTAGCTCAAGTGGTTAAGGGCATTTACCCACACACCCGAGGATTTCCCCCTCTCTCAATATCGCTTGTATCGAAGAAAAAAAAAATATAAGTTTTTTTTTGGGTTAAATGAGTCTAATTGTTGTTGGAGGACGTGATATCATCATGATTGATCACTTTTAATAGGATCCATTATAGCACAATCCCTCTGTTCAGTTGCTAGGATCTGGAGAGAGTGCACAATAGAGAAAGAATGTTTATGTTAATTTATTGAAAGAACAAAATATAATAATAAAAAATTAATCATTGGATTTAAAATGAATGGTTGCGATTAGAAGTTTAGGTCATATTTGGATTAGAGACAAGGGATCTGGATTTGCAATTTCTGTTGTGATAATGGGGTAGAGGGAATTTGGATTTAATAATATTTTAAAAATAAAACAATAGGATCATTAACATTACTGTTAAAGTCTCATTAAAAAAATATACCTATTGAATAGCATTTTCTGAGTTTCTATGTCTTAATTACTTTAATAAGTAGTTATGTTTTAATTATTATTTACTTAGTGAATAATTAGTATTTAAATTTATTTGAAAACAAATTTATTTTTATTCAATAAAATGTGAGTATTTTGTGTATTATTGAAAATTTTGTAAGAAACAAGTGTATTAAACATGAAAAATACATACATACATGTACAATACGAGTATTAAACTTGAAAATGCTAAATTCTTTATATGGGTAATAACTCTGGAAAAGTAAAAAACTCAAAATGGGACAATAGAGACTTGGATAATGGCCTAATAGAAATGAATAATGCTTTAAACCACTCTTATCGATAAACAAAAATCGGGGAAAACAATTATAAAAATAAAAATAAAAATAAAAAAAGATCACATTATGTAAAGAGTATAGCCCCACAGCTATACTATTGATAAAAAATAATTTTTTTAAAAAGGACCCTGGTAAAGCCGCCAACGCTTTTTTATAATAAAAAATCCGGAGTATAGCCGTACGGTTATTTTATTATTAAAAAACATCATTTGTAATTAGATTTTAATTACACAATTGGACCCGACTTTTATTGATTACTTAAAAATCATAATTGAATATCGTCTGTACTTTAAGCTTCAAAACAATCCATTCAAATCTCAATTGAATACAACATCTTTAATTAGTAGGTGGCATTTGTTCATAGAGTGATATGGCTCTAATATGAAGATCCACATAAAAAGTTCATATATGACACCCTCACTATAGAATTTCGCTAAGAATGTGAGCTATGCGTACATAGAAGAAGACCTTCCAAACAAGAGCCAGTTGCTTGAGACTAATCATACATGACAAATTGTTTTATGTAAAAATATTGAGACCAAGTATGAAAAATGGTTTTTAGGAATAATCATTTTTTGAAGATAATTTTTGGCGGATTTTATTTCTTACACACCAAATAAAAAAACTTGATTTTATGGGATTAGTATGAAGTATATACTGACTTAATGAGCCAATATTTTTAGCCTATTTTGCACTAAAACCAATTTTTCATATTTTGATTTGGTGGGAATTTGATTTTCTAGTATTTTTATTTGAATCCAAATGGGATGTACTTCCTTATTTACATTGTAAACTTAAGTAAATGACATTTACTTAAATGTTGAAAATGGAAATAAGGTAATCTATGTACACCAGCTGAGCAAAAGGGCAATTTGAAGCACCTACAATGGTTTTTCCAGCGAGGAGAGGTGCAGCTGCACATCCTTGCGCCTTAATAGGTGCACCACTGGCAGTACAACCCAGTTTACAAGAAGGTGACAGTGGAGTCCCTCATCATCCTCGAATACATCGAAGGAACATGGCTAGAAAAGCCACTGCTTCCAAAAGATCCTCATGAAAAAGGCACTATTTTCTTAATGAAAATTACCTAATGAGCAAAATAAGCATAAAACTAACTAAATTGGATTGGCCATTCTTACAAGTAAATCTGTCATCCAATCCAATCATGTCGATTTTGGAAATATAGATCTAATCCAATCCGTATAATCATCGAAATTAATTAAAACTGGATTAAATTGAATTGGATCAGTCAATTTAGACGGATTGGATTGGATCTTACATGCCCATAAAAGATTCTTCAAATTAATAAAATTCCTTTTATGAAATAATAAATTACCATAAACGTAACGAGAGGATTTCATTTGTATATATAATTCGATAAAGTGAGAACCACATACACTTTTACGTTTCTATTAGACAAATTCATTATTACTGTTCTTTTCTTTGCTCGTCTCTCCATATTATTATTCCCCACAAATTCAAACTAGGTTCAAAGAACCCTATCCATAAATATATATATATGTATACCGACAGGGCACTAGCAAATTGCCACTGGTATGTTTTTTCCACAAAGATAAAATTAATTTCTTCAAACAACATAGAGTTAGAATATGGCTTGTTTCAATGGAAGTTCAGTGGTGCTGCTAATCACCATGACACTTTTCTTGCTCACCATGACCCCCAAGTGTGGTGCAGTGAAGACAAGGCATGTGAGAGTCACAAGTGAGTTAGAGGGAGGCTTGACCCTCACCGTTCACTGTAAATCCAAGGACGATGATCTCGGCTTCCATGTGCTCCAACCTAAGGGTTCGTATGAATTCAGCTTTAAACCTAATATCTTCACCACATCGACATTATTCTTCTGCAGTTTTGAATGGCCAGGTGCATTTCATTGGTTCGATATATACGTTGACCAAAGAGATAACAAAATTTGTAGCAAATGTCATTGGGTTGTATATGAAGATGGGCCATGCATGTATAACTGGAGCGACCAACAGTATAATATATGCCATACCTGGAATTAATAGTGAATGAGAATTTAATATTCAATCTCTTCTTTGGTCTGGTGCTTGCTATGTGAAATGAAAAATCAACTTGTATCCTCCACATGTTTTAATAAAAGTTCGATGGTTTTGAAGGCCCTGATAAAATGATTCATTTGATTTGATTGTTTGAAGTTACTAGCTCACCATTCTGTATTTCTTTCCTGGAAGAGAAGAAATTTTGAAAGGAACGGAAACTTTTAGTTTGGGCTTTAACTTTTGAGCAGGCAAAAAGATTGCAAGTTTTGATAGCCATGAATATTGCACGCTAACACTGCACACCTTAAGTAATTTTTTTTTGTACAAAACACAACATTTTGCACGTCATAAAGAGCATGGCTTGGCTCTTTAAAATTGAGGAGGATGAGCTTCTCCTTAAAACTAATGAAGTTTTGACACTTGCCAAATTCAAGCAACATTGAGAAAATTTCAACAAAAAATGAAAAATAATAGTAACAAAATTAACAAGTGTCAAAATCACATTGGTTGTAAGGACGAGCTCCTCCTCAGTTTGAAGGAGCCAAACTTTTTCGCGTCATAAAAGTCAACAAACACTAAACTCATGAATAACACGTATTTACACCAAAAATCTATTATCCCTAAAATTTCACTTTCGTGTAATTTGCATGTTGAGAGTTTGTTCTGATTTTATTAGTTCATCGCATTCAACTCCAATAATAAGTCAAGATTAATACAATACAATACATGATGTCATACCCAAAAAAATTAAAAAAACCTTATGGATAATAATAATTAGAAATGTTCAAAGACAAGACCCACAAAGGTGATTAATTAACTCTTCATGAAAAGCTATAAGGTCATGAGATGAGAACATAATTTAATATCATCAAAGTGAAGACATTTTAAAGATTTTGGTTTGTTTATTCCATTATCAAATTTTGAAACTTATCGCCCAAGCATAGGAGATTGCGACATATTTCTATATATAAACTGAATTTATCTGGCACCAAGAGGAGAGACTCTAAACCCATTTGTTTCAAACAACACCACAACACAATGGCCGAAGTGAAGCTGCTGGGATTTTGGCCAAGCCTTTTTGTTCACAGAGTGATATGGGCTCTAAAGCTCAAGGGTGTGAGCTATGAGTACATAGAAGAAGACCTTTCAAACAAGAGCCAGTTGCTCTTGCAGTCCAACCCAGTTTACAAGAAGGTGCCGGTTCTTGTCCATGGCGGCAAGCCGATTGCCGAGTCCCTCATCATCCTCGAATACATCGAAGAAACATGGCCAGAGAAGCCCTTGCTTCCAAAAGATCCTCATGAAAAAGCCCTTGCTCGATTTTGGATACAATTTGGAGTAGAGAAGGTAATTAATTACATTTTACTTGTAGGATATTCTGAATTTGAAAACATATTGACATCGATCTCTTCTTTTTTTGCTCTACTTTCCAGATACGGCCCAGCCTTGGTGCATATTTTCGAGCTGTTGGAGACGAAGAACAAGAAAAGGCAACAAAAGAGTTGCATGAAGCTCTAAAAATCTTGGAAGAACAAAACCTTGGAGACAAAATATTCTTCGGAGGCGACACTATTGGTCTGGTGGACATTGCCTGTGGAGCTCTGAGTTACTGGTTTGAATGCGTGGAAGAAGCGGTAGGGAAAAAAGTGATAGAACCAGGCACTCTGCCTCGCTTGCATGCATGGGCTCAGAATTTTAAGCAAGCGCCTGTGATCAAAGAGAACCTGCCTGATCATGGAAGACTGCTTGACTATGTGAAACAAACAAGAGAGAAGTTTGTCTTGGCCAAAAGCACTGCCCAGTAGTCATATTCGCTATAGCTTTTTGCATAAGGTCATGGCTCATATATGTTATGTGTATAATATTATTGTGTGCTTATTTTATCCAATTTCAACTTCATGTACCAAATTATTCTGTTTCAAAAGGGAGTAGTGCCCTTGGAATAAAAATGAATTTCTTATATTTATTTTACACAATCGATATTGGGGGAAGACTTTTAACCACTTGAACTACAAGCCCCTTGTTCTTGAGTAAAAAGGAAATTTTAAGCCAGTTCCTAGATGGTAATTCTATTTAGATAGGGAAATAAAAAAGAAATTGGAATCATGGAACTTAAATAGTAATTCTACAGTTATACTTAGGCCCCGTTTGGTTCACGGGACGGATTTGAGGGGAAATCACTTTCCATGTCATTTTCCAAGTGATGAGAAATGGAGCTTCATTTCCCATATTTGGTAATCCTGAAAAAGTAATCAAGAAATACCACTTTATTTCCTTTCACATGTACTTTGGTTTGTGTAGGAATGTAAAACAAAGTTTATTTAAGTTTCCAATTATACTCATATGAAATCAAATTTTAAAAAAAATGCATTTAATGCTATATTGTAATTCTAAATTGTTAATGGGGATAATATGGTTATAAAAAAATGTGCATTTTATGTTCGCTCATTTTCCCAAACTTTCCTATGAGGAGGAAAACAAAACCCAAGAGAGAAGGAGGGCTTTACTTTCCCACCTACTTTAGGAGGGCTTTACTTTCCCCCCTACTTTCCCATGTGCAAGACAACGATTTCCCATGCCTGGACTTACCAAACATGGGAAAGCAAATGATTTCCCATCCCTAAGCCCCCTTTCCCAAGAACCAAATGGGGTTTCAAACTTCACACTAACACCTCTTGTGGTTTGAAATTGTTTTCACAAAACCCCTTTCAGTAATTTTCCTTTAAAAACGATTGAAGTCATAAAAAACATTTCTTCAAATGACAAAGTTTACCTCAAAGATTAAGGTATTGAGGTTTTTTGAGAATAAGATTTCATTCATAAACCAAAAAGGTATACAAAGACCGGCACAAATACATTGGATTCGTTAAAACCTTCCTAGGAAAACCACATGAGACAAACTCCAGGGTAGAAAAAAGTACCACACATGTCACAAGAAAATCCAACACATGCCACTTTGGACCGCTACAATGAACTCCAAGCATCCCCAGCAGACCACGGGCCCTGTAGATGCCCAGACCTCCGAGCCATATGTGGCAGATGACCAAGTAGATTTTGGAACATTATTTGATTAGTTTTTTATTTTCATAATTATTTTTAAAATATTTCTCTTGTATACATTTATTTTATTTTATATAATAAATGTTTTATTTACGATTAATCTTTTTATTGCAATTTCATTTTAATTAAAAAAACCGAATTTATTTTTTTGGAGGGAAAAATAGCAAAAGGGCTTTGTAAAAATAATTTGAAACCTCAAGAAATCTTAGTGTAATTTTCAAAACCTACAAAAATTTTGTGAAAATACCAAAAATCTTAAAGGGCATTAATGTAAATAACTTTTCTTTTTCTACCTTTTCCAAGTCACACACAGATATTCAAAGTCGGGACTGACTAGCTTTGTGTAAATTCCACATAGTGACATGTACATGCTCCATAGGAATCACATTTTTTCAAAATAAAATAAAATTGGGAGGTTTGAAATTGGAACGGCTTTGTTTTGTCCTATTTGAAACAAGTGGTTTCTGTCAACATCTATTAGAGAAGAATTTTCTTGTAACGTAATCAGCGAGCAATGAAGAACGAGAAAGAGAGACAAAATGACCATTTGGCCCAAAAAAAAAGAGGATAAGGTCCATTCGGTGGATGTAGAACTTTAAAAAAAGATAGAAAAAGGAGAGAGAGAAAAAGGGCAGGGCATGTCACTTTTCATGCATTTTCCAAGCAGCTGCAGGACTAACATTTCATTTTGTCTTACTTACAAATTACCATTAAAGCCAAGTCAAAATTCAGAGAGTATTATATCAGCAACCAAAATTTAGACTGCTATAATATATGGGCCTCCTGCCTTGACCTCAACACATCAACAATGGAAGAAGAAGTGAAGCTAATAGGGTTTTGGCCAAGCTCATATGTTTACAGAGTGATATGGGCTCTAAAGCTCAAGGGTGTGAAATATGAGTACATAGAAGAAGACGTTTTTAACAAGAGTGAATTGCTTTTGCAGCTCAACCCAGTTCACAAGAAGGTCCCGGTGCTTGTTCATCGTGGCAAGCCGATTGCTGAGTCCTCTGTCATCCTTGAATACATCGAAGAAACTTGGCCGGATAATTATCGTCTGCTGCCTCAAGATGCTCACGAAAGAGCCTCGGCGCGGTTTTGGATCCAATTTAATGTGTATCAGGTGCGTAGTTTCCATTTTCAATTAATCACTCTTTTTTTTTACTTTCTGTTTGTTATAGTTCAATTTTTGAGACAGACTACTGGGTTGAAATCTATTATGTTGTTGATCTAGTTTGCTAAAGTAGACTCTTGCATATGCTACGCAGACGGTTTTCATTTTTTTTCTTTCATTTCACCAGTTTGATGTTGAGTCTTTTTTTTCGTCAATAATTTAATTTTCAGTTTGTTAACAAGCAAATGACCAAACTTCGGATTTGATTTTTGAATTGATGTCTGTAGATTCCGATTAAGACGATAGAATCACAATCACAGACACATATAAACATATGTTTTAGTGGTTCACCCATAATTAGGATACATCTACTGTATTTATACTTTCTGTCTTTGTAGTTCGTAATGAAAATGTTATTGCAAAGGGAAAAAAGAGACTAGAGTCCCCTGAGAGTGGGGACTCTGCCATTGGACTTGAAAATAGTGAGGCCCAAGACCTTGTGTCAAATACATCAACATAGCAGAGTCATTCTATAGTGGGGACCTTATAGATGGCTTTTAGGTGAGGTTCTATCTCTTAATCATTAGATCATGCTAACCAATTTGATCCAACAATTAAGAAATAGGGCCTTGACATAGCAATAGGTCCTGTCACTATAGAATGACTCCTCATCGTAAATGTAACATTGGATCATTGTGACTCACACACATATGTTAAAAAGCTAGGCCATAAGTAATGCCGACTTGTAAAACAAAGGATAGAGAACCAAATTTGCTCACCAAATGATGTGTTGGTATCTTATTTTTAAGACTTAAACGATGTTTAAAGTAAGTTCATAGTTGAATATATAAATGAAATACTAACATATCATATGGTGAACATATAATTTGATAAATAAGTTTGTCCGCTACGAGAACATATCAAATAGCTATATATGATCAGTTTACAATTTTAATTTGCATTACAAAATCAATACAAGTTCTTATATACTTTGAATTTATTTATCAGGCTCCCATTTTTGGTGCATTATTCGAATTAACTGCCGGGGAAGAGCGAGAAAAGACAATACAAGCTGCATTGGAAAACCTGAAAATATTGGAAGAGCAAGGCCTCGGAGACAAAAAGTTTTTTGGGGGTGAAACTATAAGCTTGCTAGACATAACATATGGTTGGTTGCCTCACTGGTTTGAGGCCGTTGAAGAAATGGTTGGTGTCAAGGTTCTGGAGGCAAGCACTTTGCCTCGGCTGCATGCATGGGTTCAGAATTTCAAGCAAGTTCCTGTGATCAAAGACAACCTTCCTGACTACCAAAAATTGCTGGCCCATGTGACACGCCTGAGGAAATCTCGTGTCCCTGATCAAGTCTGAAACCTACCAATTTTCCTACATATTTTGTATGCTCTATGAATTCCTTTGTTTTCAATTTTGTATGCTCTATGAGCTCCCTTTATCTAGTAAATGCTTTTTATTTCGACCTCTTTCGACCTGCTTGCCCAAAAGGGTTTGGATTGTAATTTTATTTTTTCTTTAAGAAAGAAAAAGAAAATTACGAAGTATGTGTACACTAGCTAAAGGTTTCTATATCGCAGTCAAATAAATAATAAGAATGTTTGGTTTATTTGTAATATTAATTTTTTGTTTTGTTTTGTTGTGTGACATAAGTGATAATGAGGGGTGGGGGATTCGAACACATGTTCCTAGCTGTAAAGGTTACTGCTACTTGAGCTATAAGCCCCTTGCTATTAATCGAGATCTCTTGAGTCAAATTTGATAAGATAAATCCATAAATTTGGACATGCGCTATAACACTTAGAAATTTATTACTTTGTAACAAAGTCCAAAATTTGGTATACGATTCATAGGTACGTTACCAAAAATTTAAGGGAAATTCTATATGAACCCCATAAATTACTCTTTACACCCCATAACTTTTTACACCCCACTAAATTTTAATAAAATTTCAAATTACTCATTAAACCCCTTTCTTTCCCTAAATTGCCCTCATAAACCCCATTCCCTAACCACCCACCGAAAACCCGGCCCTTTCAGTCACACCCCATCTGATATTTAGCCCCACCCCATCGAAAATTCTCTCCTCTTGCAGACACACCCCATCACATTTACAACAACCTCCATCGCAGATCACAAAAATCACCCAAAATTTAATAGCATTGTCACAAATCACAATCCCAAAAAGACCTTTTGGTCGCCAATTCAAATTATGTAGCCATAATCAATCATCTCTTCGACGCCACCCCAACAAAACATACCAAAAAACAAATAAATAATTAAACGAATAATAAAAAAACCTACAAAAGGGCCAAATTGAAAATCCCTTATTACCGCCACGTAATATCATCATCCACGCAAAAAAATTTAAAAAAATGTAAATTGAGAAAACAAAATGCACAGAAAAAAAGAGAGAGAGAGAGAGAGAGAGAGAGAGGAGGCGAGGGAGAGAGGGGAGAGAGCAAAGGAGGAGATCTGCCAGAACCAAAGAATTTCACAGAGCTCTCCATCTCTCCGATCAGATCGGCCTCTTTGTCCCTAAGAAATTAGGGCTTTATACATATTTTCTGATTTCTCTACCAAGATTCCATTTTTACGTTTTGAATTCGAAATTGAAACCGACCGTTGATCGAATTTGAATTGCACGTCATTGCTCAATTCCTTGATCCGGGTATCTCTGTGGTTTTGTAGGGTTTTGTTTTGTTTGTTTTGTAGGTTTTTCCTTCGTTAGGGGTTTGCGGGGGAGGTGGTGGGAATTGTGCATTCATATGTTTGAAACTGTGTGAGTTTTGGAGATTAAATGGCTTCAGCTCAGGTATTGCCCAACTCGCGAAAACTAAGGAGGAGTTTGGTATCCTATTCAAATAGGGAACTCAAAAGCTTTGATTTTTAAAAAAAACAAAGAGTTCTTAAATATATTTTTAAGATTCAAAAACTTGTTTGGTATGCAACTTGAAAACTGTTTTCAAATCTTAAAAATTTGAGAACTTGTGGGTTGTTAGAAAAAAAACTGAAAAAACATATATTTTTTGTTTTTAATCATTGGAGTGTTTTTTAATTGTTCTTGAGTTTGAGTTTTTGAAAATAGGGCTACCAAACAGGTTTTCTTTGTTTTGGACTCAAATTCTGTTTTTGAATTTAAAAAATTGGATTCAAGTTGGATACCAAACAGGCCCTAAAGGATTTGGAAGCGGGAAAGCGCAAGGTATTTTTTCTATTTCATTACTATCCAGTTCCGTTCAAATTGTTCAAATGGAATTTTACATAAGTTCAAAGCGCAAGGAAATCGTTTTGTTTGGCTTATAATGCTTAGAGACAGTACAGGAACTGCGATAAATATTGAATCTTGATGTTTTTGAGTGTCTATGTTCAACCTTTACATCTTGTTTTGAGCTAGCAGGAACAAAATGATTTAGCATTATTTTTGTTGCATCGAATAAACATTAGACGGACAACAGATGAGATTGCATGCTACCCCACTTGTTATTTTGAAAAAGAAAATGCAGATGGGACTAGGTTGTCATAGTTATGTGGCAAGCATTGTTCGTGTATGGATGCCTTATGATAAGAAAAAGAAAGAGAAAGAAAAGTAGAATCAATTTATAACGTCATGATCACCCATACTTTGACAAAGAATTGTTTAACCAACAAAGGCTCTTGATAAACAGATCAACATTTAGTTCTTGTCTGTGTAGTTCAGTATTTTTTGTTAATAAATACACATGTAGCTAATTTTAGTCAATTCTGATAAAGTAACTTACCAAATATTTCATTATTTGTTTGTCGAATTTCACATGTATTTGGTTTTTCCCCCTACTCTTGCAGTTGGAGGAGTTCCGTAAGAAAAAAGCAGCAGAGCGAGCTAAGAAGGCTTCATCCACTAGCCAAGCCAATGCCCCTGAAGTTAGCGATCAAATGAGAAACAACCTCTAGAAACTGAACTTGTACGAGTTACAGTCCCAGATGGTGCTGGTACATCTGATGGACCTAGTGGTGCTTATACTGAAACTTCTTCTGTATCATCCAACAATGATTACAAAGCAGTTTATTTTTCCCAAAAAAAGGAACAAGCTCCCCTGAATAATTCCCACAGTAGTCCTTCAACATATTATTTTAATGATCAAGTGCATAAACATGCAAGTGATCAAGAATATAAGAGCTATGGCGGTTTTGGGTTTGCTGGATCACCAGACGTTAATCATAGCAATGGGACAAAAGGGATGAATAATGATTTTGAAAAATATACTGGTAACTCGGGTGAGACCACATCTGATCAGTCTATTGCTCTACGACCACAGGCAAGTCAAGATTTTGATACCAATACAAGTCATTCCAGTTATCATGGAAGGAATGAATTTCAGTTCAAAGAACATAATATATCTTTGATGGAATGTTGGCAACTGGAGGATCGCTGATACCATGTAGAAACTGATTTTTCCTTATATTATTCATATGATCATTATACAATATATATATATATATATATATATATATAGTCTGTAGAGAATAAACTGACAAGTGACCATTTCCTATCATTAGTAGGATTAACTATATTGTAACTGAAATACAATTGTAACTCCATAACAGGCGCATTGCTTCAAAGTGAGGCCAGTAATGTCAGCACAGTGTCTGGTGGCCCTACTCCATCTTCACTTTATGAAGGTAATTATACAATTTTGGATTTTAATTTCCTGTGTTTTGATCTAATGATCACAGTGTAGGCTTATGCAATTTCTTTGAATCTTCTCTTCCAAGGAAGATGCTCACTGTAATTATGTTTTGGGACCTCATGGCAGGCTTGGCTGAGCCCAGTACCAGCTTAAGAGGGTTTCCTGATGAAGTTGGGAAAAACATGCATGGTAGTAGTGTGGACTTAAGTGATCCTATAACTTTCAGATTTGGAGAAGGAAAGCTTACTAGCTCTGCTAGTGGGTTTCATAATTTGCAGAGTACAGCAGTGCAGACATCTGAATCCATGGGTTTTGGATCTGATGCCAGAAGTTCATCACTATATTCAGTTACACCTGAAATATGGATCTAATCCAATCCGCCTAATCATCGAAATTAATTAAAATTGGATCGGTCAATTTAGACGGATTGGATTGGATTGTACATACCCATAAAAGATTCTTCAAATTAATAAAATACAAATTTATAAATAAACCCAATCCTAGACATGAATTTATAAAAAAAAACCCAACACTATTTAAAACATAGAAACACACCCAAAATCAACCCAAAAATCAACAATTGTATATTTTTGGGTGTGTCTATAATGGATTTTGAGTGTGTTTAACAAATGGGTTTTGGGTGTGTTTATAAAGTGTTTTTCATGTTGGGTTTTTTTATAATTTCAGCCCTTATTTTGGGTGTATTAGTGAAACTCCCTAAAATTCCTTCTATGAAATAATAAATTACCAAAAACGTAACGAGAGGATTTCATTTGTATATATAATTCGATAAAGTGAGAACCACATACACTTTTACGTTTCTATTAGACAAATTCATTATTACTGTTCTTTTCTTTGCTCGTCTCTCCATATTATTATTCCCATCAAATTCAAACTAGGTTCAAAGAACCCTATCCATAAATATATATATATATATACCGACAGGGCACTGGCAAATTGCCACTGGTATGTTTTTTCCACAAAGATAAAATTAATTTCTTCAAACAACGTAGAGTTAGAATATGGCTTGTTTCAATGGAAGTTCAGTGGTGCTGCTAATCACCATGACACTTTTCTTGCTCACCATGACCCCCAAGTGTGGTGCAGTGAAGACAAGGCATGTGAAGTGAGTTAGAGGGAGGCTTGACCCTCACCGTTCACTGTAAATCTAAGGACGATGATCTCGGCTTCCATGTGCTCCAACCTAAGGGTTCATATGAATTCAGCTTTAAACCTAATTAATATCTTCATCACATCGACATTATTCTTCTGCAGTTTTGAATGGCCCGGTGCATTTCATTGGTTCGATATATACGTTGACCAAAGAGATAACAAAATTTGTAGCAAATGTCATTGGGTTGTATATGAAGATGGGCCATGCATGTATAACTGGAGCGACCAACAGTATAATATATGCCATACCTGGAATTAATAGTGAATGAGAATTTAATATTCAATCTCTTCTTTGGTCTGGTGCTTGCTATGTGAAATGAAAAATCAACTTGTATCCTCCTCATGTTTTAATAAAAGTTCGATTGTTTTGAAGGGCCTGATAAAATGATTCATGTGATTTGATTGTTTGAAATTACTAGCTCACCATTCTGTATTTCATTCCTGGAAGAGAAGAAATTTTGAAAGGAATGGAAACTTTTAGGTTGGGCTTTAACTTTTTAGCAGGCAAAAAGATAGCAAGTTTTGATAGCCATGAATATTGCACGCATACCCCTTAAGTAATTTTTTTGTACAAAACACAACATTTTGCAGGTCATAAAGAGCATGGCCTGGCTTCTTAAAATTGAGGACGAGCTCCTCCTTAAAAACCAATGGAGTTCTGACACTTGCCAAATTCAAGCAACATTAAGAAAATTTCAACAAAAAATGAAAAATAATATTAACAAAATTAGCAAATGTCAAAATCACATTAGTTGTAAGGACGAGCTCCTCAAATTTAAGGAGCCAAGCTTTTTCCCCGTAATAAAAGTCAACAAACACTAAACTCATAAATAACACATCTTTACATCAGAAATCTATTATTCCTAAAATCTCACTTTTGGTGTAATTTTGTTCACATTGAAAATAGGAAGCCTTGTATGGTAGTTTAAACAATTCTGAACTTGTCCCATTACCAATTGGGCTGTTGAATGTCAATACCCAAAATAATAATAAAAACACATTATGGATAGTAATTAGAAATGTTCAGAGATCACAAAGGTGATTAATTAACTACTCATGAAAAGCTATAAGGTCAGGTGAGCACATAATTTAATATCATCAAAATGAAGACATTTTAAACATTTTGGTTTGTTTATTCCATTTTCAACTTTGAAACTTATCGCCCAAGCATAGGAGATTTTGACATATTTCTATATAACTGAATTTATCTGGCACCAAGAGAGGAGAGACTCTAAACCCATTTGTTTCAAACATCTCACCACAACACAATAGCAGAAGTGAAGCTGCTGGGATTTTGGCCAAGCTTTTTCGTTCACAGAGTGATATGGGCACTAAAGCTCAAGGGTGTGAGCTATGAGTACATAGAAGAAGACCTTTCAAACAAGAGCCAGTTGCTCTTGCAGTCCAACCCAGTTTACAAGAAGGTGCCAGTGCTTGTCCATGGCGGCAAGACGATTGCTGAGTCCCTCATCATCCTCGAATACATCGAAGAAACATGGCCAGAGAAGCCATTGCTTCCAAAAGATCCTCATGAAAAAGCCCTTGCTCGATTTTGGATACAATTTGGAGTAGAGAAGGTAATTAATTACATTTTACGTGTAGGAGATTCTGAATTTGAAAACATATTGACATCGATCTCTTCTTTTTTTGTTCTCCTATCCAGATAAGGCCCAGCCTTAGTGCATATATTCGAGCTGTTGGAGATGAAGAACAAGAAAAGGCAACAAAAGAGTTGCATGAAGCTCTAAAAATCTTGGAAGAACAAGTCCTTGGAGACAAAATATTCTTCGGCGGCGACACTATTGGTCTGGTGGACATTTCCTGTGGAGCTCTGAGTTACTCTGCCTCGCTTGCATGCATGGGCTCAGAATTTTAAGCAAGCGCCTGTGATCAAAGAGAACCTGCCTGATCATGGAAGACTGCTTGACTATGTGAAACAAACAAGAGAGAAGTTTGTCTTGGCCAAAAGCACTGCCCAGTAGTCATATTCGCTATAGCTTTTTGCATAGGGTCATGGCTCATATATGTTATGTGTATAATATTATTGTGTGCTTATTTTATCCAATTTCAACTTCATGTACCAAATTATTCTATTTCAAAAGGGAGTAGTGCCCTTGGAATAAAAATGAATTTCTTATATTTATTTTACACAATCAATATTGGGGGAAGACTTTTAACCACTTGAACTACAAGCCCCTTGTTCTTGAGTAAAATAGAAATTTTAAGCCAGTTCCTAGATGGTAATTCTATTTAGATAGGGAAATCAAAAAGAAATTGGAATCATGGAACTTAAATGGTAATTCTACAGTTATACTTAGGCCCCATTTGGTTCACGGAACGGATTTGAGGGGAAATCACTTCCCATGTCATTTTCCAAGGGATGAGAAATGAAGATTCATTTCCTATGTTTGGTAATCCTGGAAAAGTAATCAAAAAATAATACTTTATTTCCTTTCACGTGTTTGGTTTGTGTAGGAATGTAAAACAAAGTTTGTTTAAGTTTCTAATTATACTCATATGAAATCAAATTAAAAAATGCATTTAATGCTATATTGTAATTCTAAATTGTTAATGGGGATAATATGGTCATAAAAGAATATGTATTTTATGTTGGCTCATTTTCCCGAACTTTTCCATAAGGAGGAAAACAAAACCCAAGAGACAATGAGGGCTTTACTTTCCCCCCTACTTTCCCATGTGCAAGACAACGATTTCCCATGCCTAGACTTACCAAACATGAGAAAACAAATTATTTCCCATCCCTGAGCCCCCTTTTCCCAAGAACCAAACGGGGCCTTATGGTTTCAAAGTTTACACTAACACCTCTTGTGGTTTGAAATTGTTTTCACAAAACCCCCTTCAGTAATTTTCCGTTAAAAACGATTGATGTCATAGAAAACATTTCTTCAAATGACAAAGATTAAGGTATTGAAGTTTTTTTAGAGTAAGATTTCATTCATAAACCAAAAGGTATACAAAGATCGGCACAAATACATTGGCTTCGTTAAAACCTTCTTAGGAAAACCACATGGGACAAACCCCATGGTAGAAAAGAGTACCACACATGTCACAAGAGAATCCGACACATGCCACTTTGGACCGCTACAAAGAACTCGAAACAAACAAACAAACAAATCGCAACTCCAAGCCTTATCATCAAATTTGTCAATGCAAATTCTATACGCACTAGGTGAATCCATGAGCGCAGGGTGTTGCCTGGATCCCAAATCCCCACCACCAAAAACAGTAAGGGCTCTATCACCACCCGGATCCCAAATCCCCACCACCAAAAAAAAAAAAAAAAAAAAAAAAAAAAAAAAAAAAACCCCCAACCCAAGAGAGAACAGAGATGGTGACAGAGACCAACCACACCCTATCCGTAAAAAATCGTGCCTAACACCGAGGATCCTAGAATGCACCAAATCCATACTACCCAAGAAAAGCCTAGAAGCCAACTGCCTGTAAACTCCGAGGGGGCACCACCAGCACCTCACAAAACTTCCTTATCGCAACCCTCACCACTAAGCCATCACGAAGGCTGCAAACCCACACGACCACACAACCACAAAAAATCCGAGATTCAACCGAGAGGGTGGAGATGGAGCTGCGTTAAACGAAATAGCAGCGTCACTAAGGCAAATAAGACCCAACAACAGACCCAAGGGCAATCCAGCGGATGAAGTGACAATGTTAGGGCAAAGAGCCCTAGCCGTGAACAGCAACCACAATGACGATGCTAGGGCACGAAGCCCTAGCCGTGAACCCCAAATCGACAAAACATGATCACCTCTAAACTAAGAGGGAAAGACGACGAGCAAAGGAAAAGCTATCGCTCGAGAACAGAGAGAGACAGAAGCGAGGCCAACACTTCCAAGATCAGAGCGACAGCGACAGTAGAGCGCAAAAGAGAACCTAACCCTAATATATAGCATGGCTCTCCTCGCTAGCTAGAGAGCAAGCCCAAACAAGAGGGGAAAAAAAATGTATTGAAGTTATTACTTTTGTTATTTGAAGAAATTTTTTTATGCCATTAGCAATTTTGGGGGGAAAAATAACAAAAGGGCTTTGTAAAAATAATTTGAAACCTCAGGAAATCCTAGTGTAATTTTCAAAACCTATTAAAATTTTGTGAAAATACCAAAAATCTTAAAGGGAATTAATGTAAATAACTTTTCTTTTTCCACCCTTTCCAAGTCACACACAGATATTCAAAGTCAGGACTGACTAGCTTTGTGTAAATTCCACATAGTGACATATACATGCTCCATAGGAATCACATTTTTTCAAAATAAAATAAAATTGGGAGGTTTGAAATTTGAAGGGCTTTGTTTTGTCCTATTTGAAAACAAGTGGTTTCTGTCGACATATATTAGAGAAGAATTTTCTTGTAACGTAATCAGCGAGCAATGAAGAACGAGAAAGAGAGGCAAAATGACCATTTGGCCCATAAAAAAAAGGGATAAGGTCCCATTCGGTGGATTTAAAACTTTAAAAAAAGATAGAAAAAGGAGAGAGAAAAAAAGAGATGCATAAAAGAAGAAACTAAGAAGGGCGGGGCATGTAACTTTTCATGCATTTTCCAAGCAGCTGCAGGACTAACATTTCATTTTGTCTCACTTACAATTTACCACTCAAGCTAAGTCAAAATTCAGAGAGTATTATATCAGCAACCAAAATTTAGACTGCTATGAGCCTCCTGTCTTGATCTCAACACGTCAACAATGGAAGAAGATGTGAAGCTAATAGGGTTTTGGCCAAGCCCATATGTTTACAGAGTGATATGGGCTCTAAAGCTCAAGGGTGTGAAATATGAGTACATAGAAGAAGACCTTTCAAACAAGAGTGAATTGCTTTTGCAGCTCAACCCAGTTCACAAGAAGGTCCCGGTGCTTGTTCATCGCGGCAAACCGATTGCTGAGTCCCCTGTCATCCTTGAATACATCGAAGAAACTTGGCCGGGGAATTATCGTCTGCTGCCTCAAGATGCTCACGAAAGAGCCTCCGCGCGGTTTTGGATCCAATTTTATGTGTATCAGGTGCGTAGTTTCCATTTTCATTTCATCACTTTTTGTATCACCTGCTCTTTTTTTTCTTTCTGTTTGTTATAGTTCAATTTTTGAGACAGTCTACTGGGTTGAAATCTATTATGTTGATCGAGCTAGACTCTTGCATATGCTACTCAGACGGTTTTCAATTTTTTTATGTTGAGTCTTTTTTTTTGGTCAATAATTTAATTTTCAGTTTGTTAACAAGCATATGAGCAACTTTCGGATTTAATTTTTATATTGATGTCTGTTGATTCCGCTCAAATTCCACCTTGACCTTTAAATAAAAGTCACGGCATCACCAGCACCACACACGATCCCACACCACCATAAGATAGTAGATCCCACCAGATGCTTTAACTCCACCTCCACAGAAGATGGATCAAAGGAGATCTACACCCAGAGCCCAAAAAAATCAAGAACACAACCATCAGGGGGCCAAAAGTGGGAAATTGCTTAAGATCTAGCCAAGATCAGCCAAAAAGGCTGAGAAGAAGTGATAGGATGCTAAAGGTGTTTCAGTCTTTTGTATTAGCAATTAACTGACTATATTAGGAGTTTAGTTTGTATTGTATGTATGTTGAATTGTATTGTGTTTTGAGTAATAAAAATAGTATATTCTCTGTACATTGGATCAAGGTTGAATGGGGTCTAATAAAAAGCCCCTAAAAAGCTAGGGGTGAGACAAAACTTGCCTGAGGCAAGAAAGTCAAAAGCCCAGCAAAAACTTTTGGGGGGGAGGAGGGGGGACTCTATACAACTTGACGAAGGAGAGAGATGTCCGGTTTATTAGCCGAAGGAGTTAGTTCCAAGGAAGCCCTGAAACCAAAAGGGGTTTCAGGAAAGGGGTGTGTTACAGAGGAAGAAGAAAATGAAAGAGAGAGAGAGAGGGATGTGTTACAGAGGAAGAAGAAAATGAAAGAGAGAGAGAGAGAGAGGGAGAGAGCCCCTTTTCTGTCTTCGTAGTTCGTAATGAAAATGTTATGGCAAAGAGACAAAAGAGACTGAGTTCCCTGAGGGCGGGGACTCTGCCTGGTGTCAAATACATCAACATAGCAAAGGTCTCATTATAAATGTAACATTGGATCATTCCGACTCACACACATGGTAAAACGCTAGGTCATAAGTAAAGCGGACTTATAAAACAAGGGATAGAATATCAAATTTGCTCATCAAATGATATGTCGGTATTTTATTTCTAAGAATTAAACGAGGTTTAAAGTGAGTTTATAGTTGAATATATAAATGAAATACTAACACATCATATGGTGAACATATAATTTGATAAATAAGTTTGTCCGCTATGAGACTATATCAAATAGCTATATATGATCATTTTAAAATTTTAATTTGCATTACAAAATCAACACAAGTGCTTATGTACTTTGAATTTATTTATCAGGTTCCCATTTTTGGTGCATTCTTCGGATTAAGTGCCGGGGAAGAGCGAGAAAAGACAATAAAAGCAGTATTGGAAACCCTGAAAATATTGGAAGAGCAAAGCCTCGGAGACAAGAAGTTTTTTGGGGGTGAAACTATAAGCTTGGTAGACATAACACATGGTTGGTTGCCTCACTGGTTTGAGGCCATTGAAGAAATGGTTGGTGTCAAGGTTCTGGAGGCAAGCACTTTGCCTCGGCTGCATGCATGGGTTCAGAATTTCAAGCAAGTTCCTGTGATCAAAGACAACCTTCCTGACTACCAAAAATTGCTGGCCCATATGACACGCCTGAGGAAATCTCGTGTCCCTGATCAAGTCTGAAACCTACCAAGTCATATATATATACAGTCCCCTTCTATTGAGGGAATCCCTCAAATAATTTTATTTGAGGGATGCCCTTTAGGGTACCATACAATTTTTTTTCCAATAATCCAAACCATATATTTTTTAGGTCTTCATTCATAGATCATCCTTACAAAAACTTAGACAAATTGGAAATCGTTTCGACATTCAATTGTGTCTTACAAAATTAATGAACACGGTGCTTCAAGAAAGTACTAAAATTTCAATAACTCAATTGAGTGGTCAAATGATATCGGATTCAAGTGATTTTTCGTAAAGATGATCTTTGAATGAGTATCTACAAAATAGACAGTTTGGATTAGTGAAATACAATCTATAGTGGGGCCTACAAGGGGTGTCCCTCAAATAAGCTTATTTGAGGGATCCCTCAATGGAAGCTCTCTGTGTATATATATATATATATATATATATATATATATATATATTGTATGCTCTATGAATTCCTTTGTTTTCAATTTGAGCTCCCCTTTATCTAGTAAATGCTTTTATTTCGATCTCTTTGGACCTGCTTGCCCAAAAGGGTTTGGGTTATAATTTTATTTTTTCTTATGAAAAAAAGGTTAGAAAATTACAAAGTATGTGTACACTAGCCGAAGGTTTCTATATCGCTGTCAAATAAATAATAAGAATGTTTGGTTTATTTGTAATATCAACCTTTTGTTTTGTTTTGTTGTGTGACATAAGTGATAATGAGAGGTGGGGGATTCGAACACATGTTCTTAGTTGTAAAGATAACTGCCACTTGAGCCACAAGGATATTGCTGTTAATCGAGATCTCGAGTCAAATTTCATAAGATAAATCCATAAATTTGGATCTTATGCTATAACACTTAGAAATCAATTACTTTGTAACAAAGTCCAAAATTTGGTATACAATTCATAGGTACGTTACCAACAATTTAATAGCATTGTCACAAATCACAATCCGAAAAGGCCTTTTGGTCGCCAATTCAAATTCATGTAGCCATAATCAATCATCTCTTCGACGCCACCCCAACAAAACACACCAAAAAACAAATAAATAATTAAACGAATAAAAAAAACCTACAAAAAAGCCCAAATTGAAAATCCCTTATTACCGCCACGTAATATCATCATCCACGCAAAAATTAAAAAAAAATGTAAATTGAGAAAACAAAACGCACAGAAAAAAAAGAAAAAGAAAAAAAAAAGAGAGAGAGAAAGGAGGCGAGGGAGAGGGGAGAGAGCAAAGGGGGAGATCTGCCAGAACCAAAGAATTTCACAGAGCTCTCCATCTCTCCGATCAGATCGGGCTCTTTGTCCCTACAGAAATTAGGGCTTTATACATATTTTCTGACCTCTCTACGAAGATTCGATTTTTACGTTTTGAATTCGAAATTGAAACCGACCGTTGATTGAATTTTAATTGCGCGTCATTGCTCCATTCCTTGATCCGGGTATCTCTGTGGTTTTGTAGGGTTTTGTTTTGTTTGTTTCGTAGGGTTTTCGTTCGTTAGGGGTTTGCGGGGGAGGTAGTGGGAATTGTGCATTCATATGTTTGAAACTGTGTGAGTTTTGGAGATTAAATGGCTTCAGCTCAAGTATTGCCCAACTCGCGAAAACTAAAGGATTTGGAAGCGGGAAAGCGCAAGGTATTTTTTCTATCCGATTACTATCCAGTTCCGTTCAAATTGTTCAAATGGAATTTTACATAAGTCTGCATGTTTGTGTATAATATATGCATCTGCAATTGTTTATTTGGAAATGTGAAATGATTGACTCTTCGCTTTGAATTTTAATCCAATTGTCTCGTTTGCACTTGTACGGTCGGAATCTATACTTGATTGCTGTCATAGTGAAGATATTGTGTTCCCTACTATTGACTTATGATTAAAAACACATTTTTTTGGGTTCAGGAAATCGTTTTGTTTGGCTTATAATGCTTAGAGACAGTACAGGAGCTGCGATAAATATTGAATCTTGATGTTTTTGAGTGTCTATGTTCAACCTTTACATCTTGTTTTGAGCTAGCAGGAACAAAATGATTTAGCAGTAGTTTTGTTGCATCAAATAAACATTGGACGGACAACAGATGAGATTGCATCCTACCCCACTTGTTATTTTGAAAAAGAAAATGCAGATAGGACTAGGTTGTCATAGTTATGTGGCAAGCATTGTTCGTGTATTGATGCCTCATGGTAAGAAAAAGAAAGAGAAAGAAGAGCATAATCAATTTAAAACGTCACGATCACCCATACTTTTACAAAGAATTGTTTAACCAACAAAGGCTCATGATAAACAGATCAACATTTTAGTTCTCGTCTGTGTAGTTCAGTATTTTTTGTTAATAAATACGCATGTAGCTAATTTTAGTCAATTCTGATAAAGTAACTTACCAAATATTTCATTATTTGTTTGTCGAATTTCACATATATTTGGTTTTTTTCCCCTACTCTTGCAGTTGGAGGAGTTCCGTAAGAAAAAAGCAGCAGAGCGAGCTAAGAAGGCTTCATCCACTAGCCAAACCAATGCCCCTGAAGTTAGCTCAAATGAGAAACAACCTCTAGAAACTGAACTTGTACGAGTTACAGTCCCAGATGGTGCTGGTACATCTGATGGACCTAGTGGTGCTTATACTGAAACTTCGTCTGTATCATCCAACAATGATTACAAAGCAGTTGATTTTTCCCAAAAAGAGGAACAAGCTCCCCTGAATAATTCCCACAGTAGTCCTTCAACATATGATTTTAATGATCAAGTGCATAAACATGCACGTGATCAAGAATATAAGAGCTATGGTGGTTTTGGGTTTGCTGGATCACTAGACGTTAATCATAGCAATGGGACAAAAGGGATGAATAATGATTTTGAAAATTATACTGGTAACTCAGGTGAGACCACATCTGATCAGTCTATTGCTCTACGACCACAAGCAAGTCAAGAATTTGATAGCAATACAAGTCATTCCAGTTATCATGGAAGGAATGAATTTCAGTTCAAAGAACATAATATATCTTTGATGGATTCTGTAAGTAACTCTGGTTCTTCTCATCCCGCTGTTACAAAAATCTCACCTCAGAACTCTGTCAGCGCATTGCTTCAAAGTGAGGCCAGTAATGTCAGCACAGTGTCTGGTGGCCCTACTCCATCTTCACTTTATGAAGGTAATTATACGTTTTTGGATTTTGATTTCCTGTGTTTTGATCTAATGATCACAGTGTAGGCTTATGCAATTTCTTTGAATCTTCTCTTCCAAGGAAGATGCTCACTGTAATTATGTTTTGGGACCTCATGGCAGGCTTGGCTGAGCCCAGTACCAGCTTAAGAGGGTTTCCTGATGAAGTTGGGAAAAACATGCATGGTAGTAGTGTGGACTTAAGTGATCCTATAACTTTCAGATTTGGAGAAGGAAAGCTTACTAGCTCTGCTAGTGGGTTTCATAATTTGCAGAGTACAGCAGTGCAGACATCTGAATCCATGGGTTTTGGATCTGATGCCAGAAGTTCATCACTATATTCAGTTACACCTGAAACTAATTCTAGGAGATCTCGCTCATCTTTCCTGGATTCTATTAATGTGTCTAAAGCTTCTTCAGGGACTGTTTTTCAACACGGTGAACCTGAGGAATCACTTATGTCCAACAGTTATAAGTCAAATGGCATGAGTTTTCTAGGTTCGTCGCCTTTTCGTAAGCCATCTATGGATGATGATACTGTGAGATCCTTTTCAAAGTTTGAAACTGGTGCACCTCATGCATTTGAGAATTCTGTGAAGTCTTTATTTCCTCCTAATGCTGGAATGGACCAGCAGAGGCCAATAATTGAGGGGAATAGCGTGGAGAGAAAACATGAATTTTATTCTCCTAATCAGAATGAAGATTTTTCTGCTCTGGAACAGGTACCATTTGCCCCTAATTTTCTGATGGGGAATGATTACACATATGCCCACTGGTGATATTTCTTTTGCATATATTTAGTAATTTTAGCTTCGAAAATTCCTTAATTAAATATTGAGGTCCTTTGTTCAATACACGTGAAGGGTGACACAAGTAGTCCATTGAGTTGCATTTTGATTTTCGGAGCTTCCTTTTGGATGGAAATATAGGTTGATTACTAAGATCATCATCACAATTGATTTTGTAGCTGTAACTTTTGAGGGGTTAGTGAGAGGATGGCTAGAGTTATAATGAAGAGATGTTGATGATAACAAAGTATCCAACATGGAAATACTAAGGATACATTGTATTGAAGAATGGAAATACCTGTCTTTTCAAGTGCATCTGAGAATATACTGATGTAGGATATGGGTGAATTGAGAATTTAGGTAGTTTAGCGGAAGTGAAAACAATGGAAAACAGAAAATAGAACGAACAAGGATAGGTCTGGAATCACTCCAGGGATTTGGCTTCACACCAAGTAGTCTCCAATCTCTGGAAAATATACTTTTTTTATATCTTAACAACTCAACTCCGTAATGAATTACATAGAAGGGGTATATATAATAATCTAACCCTAGAGTGAAAAGGAAAATTAAACCTATTCTAGGAAAGAAATCCTAATCCAAATAAAATAGGAAACTTAGAAATCCAACTGAAATATGGAAAAACTAAAAATCCTAATGAAATCTGGAAAACTTAGAGAACCTAGGAACTAACAAATAAATTAGGAAACTAATTAATAATTCCTTCTTCCATCTCTTTCGTTTGTAAACCCTAATGGGTTTGACAAAGATGTCCTCATCATATACGGTGCATCACTGGTATAGCGTGTGCTCCTAGTTTTAATCTCAAAAGTTGCCTTCCTTCTTTGAGTACAATAATTAACTTTAGCATAGCAGAGAAAAATACATATAATAAGCCAAAGTGTATGCAGTTTCCTTTTTTCTAGGAATGATTGACTAACAATTACATGCTAAGTTTGTTTAGTACATCTAATAATAACTAAGTTTTATTTTCGATTTTCTCATAGATCTTAGGTTGTATACTTCCAAATTGAAAAAAACTAATGAAAATTGTGTACAGTTATGTAAACTGTGATGTCACTCTTCTGAGCATGTTGCTTTGGAAGAATTCTATTGTTGATGGCTTTTTTGTATTTATCTTGTTGTTATGCAGCATATTGAAGATTTGACACAAGAAAAGTTCTCTTTGCAACGAGCACTTGATGCTTCTCGTGCTTTAGCAGAGTCCTTGGCTGCTGAAAATTCTTCTTTGACAGAGAGTTATAACCAACAGGTGTACCTGTGTAACGTGATATTGCATCATTACATTTATGTAACATTTAGTGTGTTGATGCATTATGAATTTATGAATTAAGCATGCCTGACATCTTTACATTACTTTCTGTTCTCCTTTAGTATCCTAGCAAGAAGACAGCTATGCTAACTTCACTGTATAGTGATGCTGCCATCTATATCTCCCTAAAAAGGCCATTCATACTGCCATGAATTCATCCTAACTGTTTTCTATTTGCTTTTTCTACAGAGAAGCGTTGTTGACCAGCTAAAATCTGACTTGGAAAATATACAGGAGGAAATCAAGGCCCAGCTGGTTAGAGTCCATTTATCCCCTTTCCACCGATCATTTCGGAACTCATTTATATCTCAAGGGACCATACATATATATTAGATATTTAATATGTGTGTGTGCTTTCAGATGTTTCACATTCTGCACAAAGATATGTTTGTGCATCCACTCCAACATGCATATGTGCATTCTCAAGAATTTCTGTATTTCTGTATTTCTGTATTACATTCCAATGACCTTTTGTGGATGAATGAAAATCTAGTTTGGCGGGTTTGAGACACAAATGCAGTGTATTACACTATAGTTTATAGTTTAGATATTTGATTGTGTGGATGTGTATTTTAGGACTAATGGTACTTTGGAAAATGTGGTAATAATTTTTAGATTTGATGCCTAGAGAGAGTGCCTAGAAAGGTGCAGTAGGAAACTATTACAATGCCAAGGATGTTTGTGACTTGAGGATGTCATTTATGTTTTATGGAAAAAATGCTCTTAAGTCTGAACCGTCCACCATCTATAAACAATCCAGTCTTCCCCATCCCTGGTATTGTAATGATATCCTTAGTGGGTGAAATACTTTTTTGAACTATAAAAAAAAATATTAGAATGAAGGATGTACCTTCTAGCTTGTATGAGGCTGTCATGTGTGTTTACACTCAGATAATAAACTCTTAGGGTTTTGCTATGATTGAGCATTTGTTGATGTATAAGATCTAGTCACTCTTTGATGTTTCCATGTCTAATTATATTTTGAGTATTGCACATTCTTCTTTATCTAGTTTATGTTTTCATTAATTTCAATTTTTCTTGATGTCAATAGGTGGAACTTGATGCTGTCAGAAATGAATATGCAAATGCACATCTAGAATGTAATGCAGCCGATGAACGTGCCAAGCTTTTGGCATCCGAAGTTATCGGATTAGAGGAGAAGGTAGTGATTTTTCTTGGTATGTTTGGGTTTTAGGCACTGCTTTGTAGAAACAACTTTGTAATTCTATGGGGACAAAACATTTTTTATTTTATGTTACTCTTTTGTGCTAAGAAGGGGACATGAGGGAATGGCAAATTGTAGTGGAGGTGGTAGGCAGAAACTTTGGTCATATGTTTTCCTTGGATGTGACCTATGAAACGAGTTATGTTTGCACTTTTGGCCAACATAAAAGTTTGTCCGAGCTTTTGTGTATATGCATGTATGTGTATATGTACACATAGTGATATGGGTTAGGTACAAAATTGTTCATGTTTCATGCTGCTGCTTTAAAAAATATATTCAAATTGCTATATTAATTTTCCCAGGCACTGAGATTAAGGTCCAGTGAGCTAAAGTTGGAAAGGCAATTGGAGAACACACAAGCTGAAATCTCTTCATACAAGTAAGTTATCCTTTTACATTTGCAGTAAAATAAAAATTTGTGAACATATTCTGAATCACTTGTATTATTTTTTTATCACTCCCCTGTCTCTTGTATGGAAAATGTTATATTTGTTTTGGAAAAAAAATCTGAAATTTTTTAGTGTTACTGAATGTGAAAAATTAGAGTTGTGAGCTAAAGAATGTGGTAGATGCATATCCTAAATGACTATCCTAAAGAATGTTGTACACTTTCAGTTTTAGACTTATTACCAATGTCTCTGAAAATGACTATCCTAAATCAATCTGTGCAGGAAAAAACTGTCTAGCCTAGAAAAGGATCGTTTGGATTTGCAGTCAACTATCAATGCTCTTCAGGAAGGTAAGACTTATATGATCTACAATGGAATTTTATTACACTATTTCTGATTAAGGGGTATATTATATTTATTTATAAAAAAGACAGAAGGTTGAAAAGTTGTGAGGGTAGAGTCCTCTGATATGAAAGCCCTTTTGTTTAATTTTAAGAATACTTCTCTGTATAGTAGAACCTCTCTAGGTTTGCTATTGCTCAAGACCGACCTTTCAATGTAGAATTCTACCTTTAGTGACTTTTCTCAGAGAGAACAATTGCTGCTGGCGTGCCTCTGTATTTTTATGGTTATAGCCTTTCTAGTGCCCTTGTCACCAATTTGAGTAATAAGAGCGTAATCAAGCTACTATCTTGCATGGTTATTTTACTGCTTGAGTGTGTGAAGTCCTCACACCCACACCACTAGGTCTATAATCATTGGCGAGATTGAGGAGGTTCAAATATTACCAGACTGTTTTCTTACATAAAAAAATTTATTCCATTCAGGTTTGTTAAGGTTCAGAACCTTGGTTTTGGTTATGTTAATTGGAAAATGAACACACAAGCTAGAAGCTGTGAGTTGCATGTAGCAAAGGCCCCTGAGTGCCATGCAACAAGGCGGGTTGTGGAAATTATGACTGGTCTCTTAGCCTCCACTAAGGAATGTAGTCTTCTATAGTTTATTTATGCCTCCAATCTTGCTCCTATTCATGTATTATCTGGTACAGAGAAGAAGCGCTTGCGTCATGTTACGGAACAGCTTCCACAAGTGGAAAGAATGTTGATGGTTTAGCAAGAATACTAATAACAAAGATGTTCTACTTCTACAGAAGATCTAGGTACATTTAAAATGCCATAATAATAAGTACTGACTTTCTTAGTGAATCCATTAATTGGTTTGTGGCCATGGCGATGTTGTGTGCTTGTGTTTGTTATTGGTTAGGTATAGTGTTGCATGTATTGTTATTGGGTTGAACATATGTCATTCTTAAAAATCTTTATGATTGCATTCATGTTAGAATCGACACTCCTTCTATCAACCTATGAGTGAATTCTCCTCCAAGCCCGTTCATACATAAATATAAGATATAACTACATAAAAACGCGTTTCTTTGCTGAGTCTTTGTGGATAATTTTTGGGTATTGCACATTACTGCTATGTAATGAGATCTATGTGGTTATACCTCTATTTATGAGGGACGGGTGGCTCGTGATTGCAACTTTAGCATTAGGGCCAATGGTATGCATCGGTACAACGACAGACCTAGGTTACGTGCTTTGGTGTGGCCAGGCTAATCGTTCCAAGATAAACAAAAACTGGGCTCTATGACTGTTCTATTTGTATTCTTTATTTTTTCTATTATTCTCAGAATGCTGTAGTGCTGCTTCCTATTTAACTTTGGTTTTAGGTTTATACTTTGCTAGTAATTTTACTAGTCCAAGGTTTGGATATATTGATGATGCGGATTCTCCTAATTACAGTGACAACAATCATGTAAGCCAAATAAATCATAACCTGTCAACAACCCCGTGCATGTTGGGAATTCTAAAGCGTACCCTAACAATACTCATTATTTTTCATGAGTTATTCTGATCAAGTGTTGTTTAAATTAATAGAACCTTTTTTTATTGCAGAGAAGGGTCGGTGTGTTTTCATTGGGTATATAATTTTTTACTTAATTCGGTCCATATTATTCGCAATGAACAATGTGCATAGATAAAAATATTGCACGCAATAAGATTTTGGTGTCTGATGAAGGGGGGGGGAAGTGGTATGTATATGACTAATTTGTCTTCGTTGTTGTTTTTAAAATTTATAATTGAAGCAAATGAAGATGCTAGTCCTGACAGCCGGTAGGCCAGGAAAGGGGATGATGCTCTTTTGCAAGTTTCTTCGCGTATTCTGCCGGGCAATGTACAGGCTAAAACTTTTGATTTTTCATCATCTGTGATCTGACCTCATGACGCATATGCAAACAATTGAAAAACATCCATACACTAAATTTCGGAGGTACCAGCTACTCCCTTATATTTTCTGCAGTGGTTACGTTTATGTTTCAGTGGTCTTGTTAAATCTACTCATTAAATGAATGTCTAATCTGTCCTCTCGCTCTCCTCTCTCTTCTGCTCACCCTCAGCTCCCCCCCGCCGTCCCGCCCCTCCCAAAAAAACCTCTCTCAGCCATATACTTATTACTATTTAAGCTGGATACACAGTGAGACTGGCAAAAAATGTCGACATACTGGAGCTTCTTGTTGCAGTTTAATTAATTATTATTATTATTATTTGAATAGAAAGCTTTATAGCATTCAAGCTATTCAAAAATAGAGAAAGGAGATAAACAGTGTTGCAGTTAATGATTTACTAGTATGGCAAGATAATAACTATTGAATCTTCTTGTTTCATTAGCATTGGAGAAAGAAGATTTAATGCAATCTTTGGGCATCCCGAGTCATCAAACTAATATTTTCAATTCGAATTATCCTAATTCTTAAATTTTCAACTGCATGTGATAGTCTGCGCGCTGGCTTTTGACTTGTTAGTATCTGTTCTACGTTTGGCTTAAGTAAGAAGGAAGCTTTCTTGCTTCAGGATTTTTTATTTTATATATTTTTGGTCAAAATCCTTTCTTCAGGATTGATACATAATATTTAAGGGTAATGAAATATTGTGACTGAAAGAGGCCTATGCTTCTTTATGTTACTTCGAATCGTTGTGGGTGCTTGTGATTGGGAATCAGCTAGTATTGTTTTTTGTTTTACTTGGTTTTTGATCCCAATGGAACTAAGCTCGTTCAAGGCACAATACATTCCAATGGGAATGCTTTTGTCATCTTAGCATTTCAGCTACATTTCGTATTTATCAGATGGTTTTGCCGGGCTTGACTCTTGTCTGCCGCCCATCTGTACTTAGTTTGATTTTGTTGTAATTTTGTGAATAGTCGTTACACATGGAATGACTTTGCTCAATCCTTGTTACCACTATTGACATCATAACTTCTCAAATGGGTCATACTCTAGTGGATAATACTGTGGTTTGAAGTTGAATTGTTAATAGTGAAGGCATTGATTCAGTTTTGATATAGTGGACGTTGTGTCTGGCTCATAATTGTTTGTTAGGTCACAGACATAATTACACATTTGACCGTATTGATCTTTCATGAATGAATGAGCTGGAACATGAATTGTCGCGGAAACTTTGAAGCTCAAACTCAGATGATTGGTAGCTTCTTAACTGCCCCAAGTATGGGGCTAACGAGAATATTATTGTTCGACAACGCTAGGTCCTGTTGATATTCCGCGATCAATAGCTCGATATGCAGGATGAAGGCGGATGAGGTAGCATGTGTGTTTACTGTTGATATAATTTTATTTCATAGTTTGGGGGTGGGCCTTCCTCCGGTTGGCATCATCCTGGCAAAAAGTACGTCAATTCATTTCTATATTGTCGCTTTAATACTTTATTTTGTCTCTAATTTAGAAATGTGATTTTCTGGTTCGGGCAAGCTGTTAATTAAGGTCCAGAGTGTGCAAATATATTTTTCTTGGGAACTTGATTGTAGTTTTGCATCATGGAGCTTGGAATATATATGAAATGATTCATCTTTCTTCTTCTATTATTCTCACGATGTGGTAGTGTAACTAGTCTTGGGATGGATGTAGTGAAGCTTTTCCTGGAGAGGCCATCAAGACGAATAAACTAGTAAAGTTTTCCTTCTTCTGTGAGATTCACGTCAATATAACCCCAGGCTTCTCAACAATCCTCATGGCTGTCTGATTTTCCGTGTTTTGGGCTTTCGCTTCACTCCGCTTGGCGTAATGAAGGGCTCGGTAATTTGTATATTTTTTTGAGTCAATTTAGCAGTCCATATCTTTGTTTAATGAGAGAGAAATATGATCTTGTACTACGATGGGCGCTTGGCCCATTGATTGAGATATCTGATTACTCCTATGTTTGAAATAAATCATGACAATAGTCCTCTGCTTTTACTGTTATGGTTTAGATCTTTATATTGTAGGGGGGTATTTGGTGGATAGCTCACCGAAAGAGGGGATTACAAGTGTATACAGACGTAATAAATTGTGAACTCGGTTTTTATCTTTTTTTTGTTGTCGTTTTTTTTTTTTTTTTCGCAGTTGCTTTGTTGACCGCGCATCCATATGTACACTGTGGGCTAAAACCCCAAACATGAAAGCAGCGTTGTGCTTGCTCCAGAGTGTTCATTTTCTTTTATATGTGCATATTGTCCATGGTGTTTAAGGGCATTTTCTGTGGGAAAGTTTCATTTTGAAAAGGTGGGGCGGTATTTTTCAGATATAACTGCAGAGATTCAGATACACACGAGAATTTCTCAGTTTAGTTTTATGAATTTCGCTAATTTCTTGTGTCTCACTCTATGAATTTGAATTGCGATTGATTTCGAAGTTGATCAAATTGGTTTTAGTTGACTTTTTTTTTTTTTTTTTTTTTTTTTTTTTTTTTTTTTTTTTTTTTTTTTTTTTTTTTTTTTTTTTTTTTTTTTTTTTTTTTTTTTTTTTTTTTTTTTTTTTTTTTTTTTTTTTTTTTTTTTTTTTTTTTTTTTTTTTTTTTTTTTTTTTTTTTTTTTTTTTTTTTTTTTTTTTTTTTTTTTTTTTTTTTTTTTTTTTTTTTTTTTTTTTTTTTTTTTTTTTTTTTTTTTTTTTTTTTTTTTTTTTTTTTTTTTTTTTTTTTTTTTTTTTTTTTTTTTTTTTTTTTTTTTTTTTTTTTTTTTTTTTTTTTTTTTTTTTTTTTTTTTTTTTTTTTTTTTTTTTTTTTTTTTTTTTTTTTTTTTTTTTTTTTTTTTTTTTTTTTTTTTTTTCCCCATGTCAATAACATGTCAATAATGATATGAATAAGGTAATGGTGTTGAATTGGAGGAGGCCCTCAAAACCTTCCACATTTGAAGCAGTGCAGAGTGCAGATTATCTCTCTGGAGCTAGAATATATATAATTTTTGAAATAAATATTATTTCCGTTGTTACTAAATTTGCCTGTTAAAAATGAGAACAGATAATAATAAACTCATGAATAAAAGTGCAAAGCATTTGAAAAAAGGTTGATCTATGACGATTATGGCTGACTGAAGAAAAAGCTAGAAAGAAAGAAGGATGTGGCAATGGCTTAGCGAGCAGATAGCAGAGCAGATGCTTTGCTTTGCTTCCTTCCACCATCTTTCTCATTTATTTATTTATTTATTTTGTGTTGTGTATGAAATGACAATAATTGTCATGTGTGTGAAGTGCAGAACTTGCCTAGATTGCACTCACACTCACTCATGCATCAACCATTGATTGGAGTTTGGATCCATAAATAAAACACATGCTAGTGCTTGTAATTCACAGAATCATTGCATTAACAGGTATTTGCACAAAATATGTCATATTGCTTTGATGATGTTAAAGCCTGTGATCAGTAATCCCTATGCGCATGTACTTTGTAAAATTTGTAATGTGCTGGTTGACTAGTTGTGTAAATACCAATGTGATTGTGCAAATACGTGGTAGTATATGTGTTCACGTTATTTCATCTTGTATTTCAGGAAATGGGATCCAACGTTGAGCTGGTATGGCCAGAGTCAGAGGCATATTCCTCACGGGTGAACAACTGCTCACATGCAAATTCATCCCTAGCTGTAATTCGAGCGAAGTTGAGTGCCGAACA